TGATTGTAACATAAGGCATGGCTGTCTAATGACTCTGGCTTCATTCTTTGTGAGATCAGTGCTCCTAACCTAATAGTCCAGACCATTAACTGGACTATTAGTCCAGACTGCAGTCCAGACTAATAGTCCATAGACTATCGGTCCAGTCTGCGTTTTACAGACCAGACTGATGGTCCAGTCTATGTCCATCAGACAGACTGTTGGTCCAGTCTATGTTTGTCAGACTGGACGGATGGTCTGGTCTGACTGAAACAGACTGACCAACCGTCTGGTCCAATGATCTCAGACCGACTGTCAGACTAATAGTCCCAATTTTCCTGCACGTCCTCCAAGCCAATTGAAGCCTGGCCACTAATGCCATCGTAACCATGCTAGCCCTGTTGGGCTTAGCGATTCTCAATTCCTGTCAGTGGTTAGACTTCAATTGGCTCAGAGAGAGAGAGTGCAAGAGCTTTTCGGTCAAGTAATTTCAACCTACAGAGCTAGAGGTAAATACGTCTGTCCACGTGACGGTATGAGTGTTTATTTTTCATCATCAGTATATATTTTGGGCCCGGTAACGGCGGTGCCAGTGATGGAATCGAACATGTGTGCAGCCACCATTTACTGCAAAACCTATCACAAGTCATGTCTTCTATTGGCGATCTCTCGAGTAGTGCTTCTGGCTGTAATAGCCGTCTGGACGATTCTGACCTTAACTTAGCCACTTCTTCTTCGGCAGCTTCCTCATCTTCAAATCCTAGCGCCCCCCGCCACAAGACATCCCCTAGCTGGCAACATTGTCGACTATAAGAGGGCAGGAATATACCAGCTGCCTGGGTTGATTCCAACGGAAGGAAATGGTGGTATTGCCAACCCTGCTTCGACAGGAAGAAAGCAGACAAGAAGTACAACTGCTCTGGTGGATCGTCCACTATCATCGATCATCTGCGTAAACAGCATGGAATTGTGCTCTCTAAGAGGCAAGACATCCACCGGGAAGCTACAGAAAGCCGCCTTGGAGACATCAGTTCCTTCTTGAGCAAAGAAACCCTGACCTCTACCAAGAGACGCAAGGTGACAGTAGAGGAGGATGCGCTTGACCAAGCCACTCTGCGCGAACTATACTGCCGCTACACGGTAGCTTGCAGTCTCCCTTTTGCTCAGGTCGAACACCCAGCCTTTCGTAACTTCATCCGCTATCTTCGTCCGGCTGCCGATGATCTCCTTCCAAGGTCTGGCGATACAGTTAAAACCGACTTACAATGGGGCTATGAAAACAAGAAGGAGTTTGTAAAGAGAGCTTTGCAAAATGCTCTTTCTTTGATCCATATTATTCCTGACAATTGGACTTCGCCGAATGGTTTGGGGGTCATTGGTTTCACAGTTCAATTCGTAGCCAAAGATCACGGTTTACAATCGCTTGTGGTGAGGATTAAGGAGCTGGAAGGAGAACACAGTGGAGAAAACATGGCCGAAGCCATCATGGAGTTCATACGAGAATATGGAATCGCTATAAAAGTTGGATATTTCATGATGGACAATGCTAGCAACATGAACACCATGATTGACAAGGTCTCTGACGAACTAAAGCGAGAGTTTGATGTTCTACGACCCTCTTCCTCACCGGCTTCGCTGTACCGGCCACATCATAAACCTGGCCATGATGGAATTTCTCATAGGAAAACGGCCGCGGACGACAGGCTCCTATGGTGGGCCGTCCGAAGAGGAGATTGAGGAATGGAGAAAGCGAGGGGCGATAGGAAAGCTTCATAATATCGTGGTCTATAACGATGCGACAATGGCCAACGAGGGCGTTCAAAATTCCATCGCTGACGTTCTTCCCACCATGGATTATCTCCTACACCACATCGAGGCCGCCAGGGAGGCCACCACCATCCCCCACTTGGCTACGATGATGGAGACTGCTTGGGCCAAACTGGCCGACTACTATGAATTGACAGAAGACTCTCCAGTCTATTCAGCAGCCACAGTCTTAAACCCTTCTTTCAAGTGGGCGTACATGGAGAAGACTTGGGAAGACAAGACGGAATGGATTGAGAGAGCTAAATCTCGGGTAGGGCAGCTGTGGAGGCAATCATACAAATCAACTTCTTCCTTGCCAGTTCTTCGACCAGGCTTAGCAGAGGAGCCAACTACGAGGCGACTAAATGGGTACAAAATGTGGATGAATGAGCAGAAGGCGACGATTTTCAACACAGACGATGACGAGTACGAAGTGTACTGCCGTGAGCCTGTTGTGATGACGCCAGACCCGCTGAAATGGTGGCTGGAGGTGGCCCAGCGAAAACGATTCCCTAGCTTGTCATTGATGGCCATTGACATTCTTTCTATTGCAGCCATGTCTTCTGGGACAGAGCGACTCTTCTCGAAATCAAAACTTACGGTAACCGATCAGCGAGGAGCTATGGACGCTGAAACTTTAAATCTCGTAGAATGTCTACGTTCCTGGGACAGCAGCGCCTTGATAGTCCCATCAGATGTGAGTTTTCTGCTTCATGAGGACTACCGTCAGCTAATTGCAGAGTCTAGTGTCGCTATGTCGATGCGGCTGCTGGGTTCAACCACTCTGATGCATTGGGGCGCGATGAGAGCGGTGGGGGATCAGGCACAGTGGAGATGACATAGGGGAGCTTGGAGGTAGAATCATAGATAGCAAAGGCTACAAGTCATATGTTGTGATTTAGACTAATAGTCCAGACTGCAGTCTGGTCTGATGATGACGGACGGACCAACAGTCCAGTCTGGCAAAGACGGACCGGACCGTCCGTCTGGTCTGACGATAACGAACAGACCAACAGTCCAGTCTGCCCATGACAGACCGACGACTAGTCCAGTCTGACCATGACGGACCGACTAACAGTCCAGTCTGAGGTTTCCAGACTGACTGTTTGGACTATTAGGAGCGCTGTGTGAGATGCCCGCTTTGCTGTCTGACAAGGGGTTCGGGGAGGAAATTGCCACACGCTTTGATGTTATAACGATAGTACCGCCGAACTTATTCATTTCACATGTTTTCAGGCAGCGGTGGGGGGGAGAAACCTGGTATAAGCGCTGGTACCCGCTGTGGAATGTTTGTTGTAATCCATATATACCGAGACTTTGATTAACATGGTATGACAGTTGCCATCCCAATGATGAACCAGTTCATGGGATAAAAGTCCTTCATGCGAACCAAACCCCCTGACATCCCACTACCCAACGCGCAAGAAGCGTGCCCATAGAAAAACAAATCCGAGGTACGTGCGGATCCGCATGACTACTTCTACTTGGACTAGCGATGAAAACCCAGGACAAAAATGCACGTAACAAGTGAGCAGTCTCCAGGGAAAAGGTCGCTGCTGTTTCACATTTGAGCAACGGTGATCAAGGTCTAGCGCTATCCGGTGACAATTAAGTATCAGAAGATCAAGGAGAGGGGTGCTGAAGCAACAAACGTAAAGGGAGCAGATAGGGTATATTGAGAGAAGCGTGCAATGATAACAGCAGGCTGCGACTTCCCCAGCTCAGCGCACTCATCACAGTCGAACGATATATAAAACCACGAGACGAGGGCCTACAGATGATTACAGCCACACGAAATATCTAAACTACCGAGCCCACACTGTGTTCGCTTTTGGAGGGCGCTGAGAAAACATATCCCAGCGAGGGTCTAGTATGCCAATGCGGTTTGTCAAACGCGAAGGGAGGGGGATGGGTGGGCGGGGTGGTGATGGTGGCGGCAGAGGCGGTAGTGACAAGGAGGTGGCTGAAGAGGTGATGGCATCGTTGTTTTTGCACTTTCTCAACCTTTGGAATGGGGCCTTGGTAGAGATGTATTTGTATTGGAGTGCAAATTTGCGGGTCCCAGTGAAGAAATTGATACGCGTTTCAATGAATATTATATGTTTTTGAAAACGTTGCCTCGGATCGGTGAGGTATTTTGGCAAAATATATTGCGTGGATGTCAAGCATATGATGAGTGGGCTGGAAGAAAGTAAATGGTCTTTTATTGAGGAGAAAGGGGCGAACTTTTGACCCCTTATATACTCGACGGCTTCAGAGGGCTGCGGATTTCAGAGATGGTCCTAGTGGTGGTCTGGAAGGGGTCAATGTGAGATGAAATAAACCACTTACACCCACAACATTGCCATCTCCACACTCGGCATCACCCGCCAGAGCAAAAACCTGTACAGTAAGTACATACAGGACCTCGAGCGGATGTATGAGGTATGAGGTATGAGGTATGAGGTATGAGGTATGAGGTATGAGGAATGAGGAATGAGGAATGAGGAATGCGGGTTGGCAGGCACAAGTCGGCCCTTTTGCGGCAAGGGAGGCGGGCTTACTCAGTCTATGTGATCCTACTCAGGACATACAGGACAGGACAGGACAGGACAGTAAATAACATCATGACATGCATCAAACTGACAAATGAAGGGCTGCCGTGCATACAATGCCCCGCTTGTACCCTCACTTTACCCTCACTCGTACCCTCGCTAAGTGTGTCCTCGTACCCCTAGTGTACCCTCGCTAAGTGTGTCCTCGTACCCCTAGTGTACCCTCGCTAAGTGTGTCCTACCCCTAGTGTAGTGTACCCTAGCTACTGTAAGTGTGTCCTCCTACCCTAGTGTACCTCGCTGCATTCAGCAGTCAGCGTCAGCCCATGGCCCCTGATACCCCATCTCTACTTCCCAGTGTACCTCCATACCCCATACCCCATACCCCATACCCCATCCCATCCCCCATCCATCTCACTCCCACCACTCTCACTCTATCAATCCCACTACTCTCACTCTATCACTGCCACCACTCTCACTCCCACCACTCTCACTCCCACCACTCTCACTCCCACTACTCTCACTCCCACTACTCTCACTCCCACTACTCTCACTCCCACTACTCTCACTCCCACTACTCTCACTCCCACTACTCTCACTCCCACCACTCCCACCACTCCCACTACTCCCATCCCCGCAAAAACCTGTCAAATCCCCCCCCCCACACCCTCAAACCCCCCACCCCCCAACTCTCCGCTCATTCCACCACCCATCCCACCCATCCTCCACCCCAAAGCCGCCGCTCCGAATATCCTCGCCCAGCTTCCTCACCCCATATCACCGCCGACTACCTCTCCGACGGCGACAACCTCGTCCGCTCCTTCGCAATAACCTCCAACAACCCTCGCCGACGCACATCCCCATCGGTGACGGCTACAACGTTACCACGGCCTGTCCGCCGCCCCTCGAACCTCCCTACCCATCACGACCTCATCACAAACTCCCCGAATCATGTCCTCCGCAACACCCTCCTCCTCCTCCTCCTCCGCCTCATCCGGCTCCTCCGCTCCTCCACCACCAACACCCTCAACAACCGCACCGCTACCCACAACCACAACAACCACAACCACAACCACAACCTCGACCTCCGTCAAACGCGCCTGCGACGCCTGCCATCGCCGAAAGGTGAAATGCGACGGCCTCTCCCCCTGCCGCAACTGCTCCTCCGCCCAGCTCGCCTGCACATACAACGCCATCCCACAAAAGAAGGGCCCCAAGGGCTCCCGCGCAAAAGTCATCTCCGAGCTGCGCGAGCAGAACCGCCAGTCCGCCCTCTCCTCCAAGGCGCACGCGCGCCTGCTCGCCGGGAATGCCTTCGCCAGCCCGCCACCGCTGTGCGCGCCTACGCTCGCTCCGACGCCCGGGTTGTTGACAAATGAGATCGTAGCCCAGTGTATCGATTTCTTCTTCGTGAATATGTACCCCACGATCCCCATCCTACATCGCGGGAAGCTGGAGGCGCAGGCGAGGTTCGCGGATAGAGATACGGATACGTATTGTTTGCTCACGTCGCTGTGCGCGTTCATGCTCATCCAGCCGGGGATGCCGGTGCCGGGTGACCCGATGGGGCTCGATAGCATGCCCGGTGCGAATCTGATGAGCGGGACGATGCTGATGGAGGAGACGATCCGCGTAAGGAAGGGGTATGACCACCTCGAGTCGCCGACGCTGGGGAGTCTGGCGACGAGCTACTTCTTGTTCGGCTGCTACTTTGGGCTGGATCTGCATAATAAGGCGTGGTTCCATCTGAGGGAGGCGACGACGCTCGCGTTGATTTTGGGGATGAACAAGGAGGAGTCGTATGCGCAGTTTGATGTGATTGAATCGTCGAGGAGGAGACGGTTGTATTGGCTGTTGTTTGTGGCTGAGAGGTATGTTTCTATTCCATGGTTTTATTGAGCTACAACTAACATATTCAGATCGTATGCTCTGCAACGACACCGTCCACTCACTCTCCCATCGACTATTGAGCTTCCTACCGCGAACGACGATCCGACAGAACACTCTGCCCCACTTACTGGCTTCATCCACCTCGTCACCCTCTTCAAGCCTTTCGACGACAAGTTCGTCGCTCTCTGGAACAAGACACGCGACGACTGCTCTCCAGCTTACCTGTCGGCTCTGCAGAAGCAGCTTTCGGACGCACTTCCCGCATACCTCAACAGCACCGAGTCCCAGGCTGCTGAGCTGCGCATCAACCAGCAGTGGCTGCGCAATGTGGTCTGGCAGTTGGGTATCTCGAACGGGTGCGTCAGCAGCGGCAACGACGACCCGAGCATGACATTCCAGTATCCGGTCGAGATCTCAAGAGACCTCATCGCGATGACCGCAGGCTTCTCCCCACATTCGATAGAAGTCCACGGCGTAGGACTGGTACGTTCCCTTGCCATCCAACGTACAACCCTCACTAACCCCTCCCAGGTCGAGAAACTCTTCGACGTAGCCTACTCCCTCACCGACGTCCTCTCCGTCACCCCACCCCCCGCCGACCCCTTCGCCCCCGCCCCAACCGACTACCTCAACCAATTCCTCTTCCTCCTCTCCTCCCTCCGCAACGGCGACACCCGCTTCCGCCCCCTCCTCATCGCCAAGATCCACGACATCCTCCCGCGTCTCGTCACGCCCATGCTGCAGACCCTGCCCGAGCCTTCATCGGGTATGGGTCCAGGCGCCGTGGACATCTTTGACGGTTTCGGGAATGCCGGAATGGGCGTGCCTAGCCTGCCACGGCAACAGCAGCAGCAGCAGTATGACGCGAAGCCATACGACAATGAGCAATACGACGTCAAGCCCTACGACGTCAAACCCTACGACCCAAAACAATACGACATCAAACCCTTCGAAAACAAACGCCTCGACGACGTCACATCCGCCGTCCACGCACACCCACACCACCACCAACAACAACAGCAGCAACACGCACAACACACGCACACGCACACACCCCCCCAACCCCCTCTCCTAGGCCAAGAACCCCTCCCGCCGTTTCAACCTGAACAACATCACCAGCAACAGCAGCAGCCGCAAACTCCAGCGCCGTATCAGGCTATGCATACACCGCTTGATTACGCGCCGTTGACGGATTATGGGTTCATGTCTCACTCGAGGACTACATCGCAACAGCAGCAGCAACAACAGCAGCAGCAGAGGCCCGGGATGGGAGTTGGGCAGGGGAGTGGGGTGTTTGGTCATCATACGCAACAGCAGGGCGATCAGCAGGGGCAGGGCCAGCAGCATCAGTGTCTGGGGTTGGAACAGCATGATAGCGGGTTTGGGGGACTGGGGTTGGTTGGGGTGGTGGGGGTGGTGGGGGTGGGGGGTGTGGGGGGTGTGGGGGAGCATTTGCAGTATAGGTAGTGGATGGGGCAGGGGAAGGGGAATTTAGGCCGAGCTCCCGAGACGAAAGGGAAGAAGAGTGGATGGATGTAGATGAATGTGGGATTACGGAACCACGACCACGAAAGATAGGCGGAAGGTGGATGGGTGTAATGCACACGCGAACATGGGGAGGAAAACAAAGATACCTCACCCACGTACGGTGGCCGGGCGATGGACGCTCTCTTATACCGAGCCCATCCATCCGTCAAGCCGCTCCCACCCACCGACGGATAGACGGATGCGCGACGCATCGTCGCACCGCATCATCCAAATCATTGCTCACGCTCCCTCCTACATTGGGGGGGAGGCAAACTCCAACGAGAAAAAATAAACAAAAGGAAAGGGAAACCGATCAGGACACGGGAACAACAACACAGCCAAGGAGTTATCAATGGGAAACAGGCTCATTTTGTAAGGGATATATTTGGGAATTGAAATTTATCAATCAGCTAGCTACGCGACTATTTTATTGTTTTTTTGTGTTGTTTGTCATAACGTGGGAGCCCAGTCATCGTCATGGCCTTTTTTTTATAGTATTCTTCAAGGTTACGGATGCGTTTTAGGGGTGGGCGGGTTGGAGTTTTTTTGACACTAGGATGGAAATTGGAAAGGGGCCCTAGAAGGAGGGAAAGGGATGAAATGAATGAAAGTTATTCCTCTCGTATATCTATGTCTGTGATATTGAATATAGCCCTACCTTTCTCCTTTCCCCCGGCATCCCACTCATTCCCCAACAACACCACAGACCAGCAAACACATCACCACCACGCCATCCCCCCACGACACCATAAATACGACCGATCAATCCTCTTTTTTACCATGGTCACAAAATGTGAAAGGTCACGATTATGTTACTTGCTGGACTGGGTGGGCAAAGACCATCGACGGCGTATTTAAACGGGGGTGTCTGTTTGGGACGGGCTGGGAGGCTGGGGGCGTGTATGGGGGAGTTTGGGGATGGTGGTGAGAAAGGGGTGGTGGTGAGAAAGGGGTGATGGCGAGCAAGCGAGCAACGGCAAGAAACGGGGCCCCCTCCCCCAGCCAAATACTTAAATCACCAACAAGCGCCAGTGCATGTCCGCTAGGAAAGCCAAAAAACGATGAAATGCTAGTCCTATATGCGGAGGGGAGACTGTAGAGCGTCCCTTTCATTGGAATTCTTCTCTTGCCAAGTCAAGTCAAGTCAGCTGTTCCTTCCTCTTTTCTTTCGGGCAATACATTCGCGCAGCTATCCGTAATGAAGGAGCTGGCAGTTACGAGAAGTTCCATGGGTTTGATCCCTTTGATATCTTAGGGGTTAGGGGGTGTGGCGGGGGTGGTGTGACTTGTTGGTATTTGGGGAGGGGGTGGTGGCGATAGGGGGGCGATGGCGAGAAAGGGGCCGATGGTAAGATATCGATACTCTGCTTTTTGGCAGTAATCGAACAATGTAAGGGGTGCTTTTGATAGCCGCATTATTGAGAGGTATGTAGTTATGGACCATTCGTAGTTCTCCAGACTTCTTTCCGACAAAGCGACAACGCGCCGCCCATGATGATGTAGGAAAACAACTCGTACTGATTCATGTGACAGTTACGATGCTAAAACCCAGCCAGTAATCGATCTTCCTTCCTTTATCAAACCCATCGTTTCCTTCCCTTGCTAAGTCAAATCAAGTCAGTCACTCCTTCCTTAGAAAATCAGTCGTTCCTTCCTTAGAAAGTCAGTCGTTCCTTCCTCCCTTCTTTTAGGCAACACATTCGGTAAGTCCGGCCGTCGTCTTGGTCGTTCTTTCAATTTAGTTGCCAGTCGTTCCTTCCTTTGACAAGTTAACCGTTCCTTCCTTCCTTTGGGAAGCCAGTCGCCTCTTCCTCCTTCTCCTGATAAGTCGATCATTCCTTCCTCCGTCAGCAACTCACTCATTACCCCCCATCCCGTCGCCCCCCCCCCCCTTTCACATAAGTTACACCAGAACAAACCACCGAGTCTGAATACTGGCTACAAACGCTTTCTCCGGCGAAGACGTTGAAAGGGGAATGTTGGGGGGATGGAAGGGATTGATTGGTTTGTGAGGAAGTTTGAAAAAAGGGGGGGGGGGGGGGAAGGGGTAACAGCAAGAAAGGGGATGGTAAGAAGAACGATCGATGGTGAGGAGAACACGCGACAGCAACTAAGCATTAGTGACAGCAACACCCCCTACACTCACCTCGAGTACACGGCCACTCCCCCTTCCTTCAGATATTCATCACTCCAAACCTCCGATCGTCAGTCCGACACCTTCTCAGGCTTTGGGGTGCTACATCGGCTCGCCTGAACGAAGAGACCTCGATGACGAAGTCTGGTGCTTCGGCTGGGGGGGTGTAGGGTGGGATTGTGGTGTAGAGCAGCTTATATGGGAAAGCTGCTTGCAAAAGGTGATGTGACGGTTACGTTGGTAAATCACCAGTTTCCTAGCAAGCCATCGTTCCACCCTTTATCAAATCCGTCGTTCCTTCCCCTCTCTTTCCAAGTAAAGTCAAGTCCGCCGCCCCATCATCTGACAAGCAAATCTCCCGTTTGGCGGCATACATACAACTCAAGACCTCATTGAGGTTAAAGCAACCTTTACCAGCAGCCAGAGCGTTGAGGACAGCGCTGGTATATTCAATCTTCAATCTTCAATCTTCAATCTTCAATCTTCGTCTTCCTAGTAAGTTAGTCGTGCCTTCCTTCCTTTTGGCAACCACTCTTTCCTTCCTTCCTTTCTGTAATAGCCGGTGATTCCTTCCTTTGGCAAGCCAGTCGTTCCTTCCCTTGGTAAGTCGGCCGTTCCTTCCTTCACCTTTTCTATTAGTAATCCACTCCTTCCCCCTTATTTTGGCAAACCGGTCGTTATTCCTTTGAGTAGTTAGTCAGTTGTTCCTTCCTTCTGGTAGCCAGTCAGTCGTTCCTTCCTTCGCCATTATATATCACGCCACGCCACATATCATAGTACAAAAATGCTGGTATAGAAGCTCAAACATTCATTCCATATTACCTACATACTCCACGCCCAGCCCACTCACCCTAACGCCCCCACCCCCCACCCAAACCAGCCACTTTAACCATCAACCTCCATCTCCGACCTCCCCTCCTTCTTAACGCCCCCACCCTTCAACAAAAAACTCCTCCTAAAATACTCATTCGGATGCACAATCGTCTCCCCCCGCCCCAAGTTCGTCCCCTCCTCCTTCGCCCTCTTCAACTCCCTCGCATGCACATGCTCAAACACCCGGTTACACGCCATGTGATACTTCATCTTCTCCCTATCATCCTTCACCCCCTTCAGCACGCTCCCATCCGTCACCCCCGTACGCTGCAGCGTCGCGGTGAGATTCTCGAGACTGTAATGCCGGTATGGACATCCGTGCGCTTCCCCTGGTCCGGGGGGGTGCTCGGTGAGGATCTTCTGGCAGGAGAACGGACTGTACCCCCCTCCGCGTCTATTCCCATCACCCCCCACATCACCATACGAATGCCGGATATTATACCGATACTCCTTATTAAACGTATCATCCGTAACAGCACTAAACCCACTGCGCCAATACTGTAGCGAGTCCGCCAACGACAAACCCAGACCCTTGAGGAAGAGCGTGTACTGCAGACGCGCGTAGTGCTTGAGGTGGTGTGTGGTGGCGAGCGTGGTGCCGAGGGTCGACATGCAGAGGGGGAAGTTGGGAAGGAGAGAGGGGATCGAGGCTGCGGTTATGGTGCCTGCTACCATGGAGGAGGGGGCGGTGGAGGCGGGGGTGAGGAAGGTGGAGGAGAGGTGGGCGAGGATGGGGGAGAGGCGGTCGTCCTCGTCGAGGCGGGGGAGGGCGCGGGAGGTTTGCTGGGGGAGTTAGTTTTATTTCCATGGTTTAGATTATGGGGGACTCACCTCAAGCGCCTTATCAAGCCTCGCAGTAAACTCCGCAAGAACCATACTCATCTGCTCCCGTCCCGGCACATACGCATAACCCCCCTTCAGCAACACCCTCCTGCTCTCCACAAGCTCAGGGACTTTCATCCAATCCACCTTAAACCACCCCTCATCCACCATCTCGCTCGCCTTCCTCCCCTGCCCCGCCGCCACAAGCTCAGGCAATAACTCCTTCCTCTCCGCCTCCCCCACAGCCTCCCACTCCAGATTCAGACCCGCCACGAACGCGCCCCTTTCCCTGGCATCATCGCTCTGGAACCGAAGCCGAAACAGCGCCGTCTCGACCCGCGCGAAGCGCCGCCGCAGGTCCTCGGTCGACGCGAACGCGAGGCGCAGGATGAAGTGGCTGTAGTGGTCTTTTTTCCTCTCGAGGGCAAGGTTGGGAGAGGCGCTGGAGGAGGAGGAGAGGGGGAGGTATTTATCCATTAGTGGCTTCATGTGCGCGGCAGTCTCGGCGGGGGTTTTGTTGCGGAAGGAACAGGCTTCTAACTCTGCGAGGACTGGGGGGGGTTAGCATCGCATTACACTTTTACATGCCACACTGCGCCCGAGGGGAAGAAAGTGAGGGAAGAAGGACAAACCGCGCAATCGGTCAATAGCCCACTGTTCGAACTGCTCGAGCGTGATATCTGCGGTCGGGGGAAGGATGTAGAAGTTCAGACGGTGCGGGTAGGTGTGGTCCTGAAATTTAGCGACGGCGAACTGTTTTTTGCGGTGGTCGAGTTCGGCGCGCCGGTTGAAGGCGATGCGCTTTGCATCCTGGCGGATCATGGTGCGCGGTGTTGTGCTGGCGGAGTAATGGGTGAGGTGGAGTGGTGCTGGGGATTGAGGTGAAGTGCTCGTTGTCGCGACACTGGGGATGAGGTTTGGCTGGGGCGTTGGGGGACGCGATGCGACGCGACGCAAGGGGTTTAAGTGGTTGCACGTGATTTTCATTTTATGGGTGGGGATTTTACCCTTTTGGACCCCGACGCGGAATTCTAAGGATTAATGATATACCTAATAGTTTACTGCTTACAGTAATGAACGCCACTGTACCCAATGCCTTGACTCGGAAGTGCTTGGTATGAAGTCTTGCTGCCTACTGTAAGTTTCCAATAATATCAAATGAGATCGAAGCTGACTTCTGCAGGGTTTGCCGATAAATGTTTGTAGAGCTGCGCTGAGCTGTGTGGAATACTGACTAATACGTTTCCCAGATGGCCGAAAACCTTCTCTAATCGCTGCTGCTGTGTGGACCACAATCGGTGTCATCTTCCAGTATGCTACCACACGGCCCGCTTCCCCTCCAACATACTAATGGGAACAGGTCTGCGGGCTCTGGTAAGCTTGCCCTGATGTACGTGGGCCGTTTTGTTAGTGGAATTGGAGTCGGGGTATGTACTTCTACTGTCTCTTTCTATGTCAAAGTTTGAGATTCTAATGAACATGCAGGCCGCTTCCATGTTGGTGCCAGTCTACATTTCCTAACAGGCTCCTGGAGCCATCCGCGGTGGTTTAACCGGTCTGTACCAACTATTCATCGCCACTGGTGTCATGCTTTCATTCTACTACGGCGCATCATTGCACATGAAGGGCAAGGACACCTACGTTATCCCTTTGGCTCTCCAGATGATGCCCGCCGTGTAAGCATCCATGATCCCATCACTGATAAAATGATCCCATCACTGATAAACGTACTTATACCAATCTAGGGCTCTCGTGATCGGCATGCTCTTCTGTAACGAATCCCCCCGCTGGCTTGCACGCCAGGACAATTGGATTGTGGCTAAGCGCGTTCTCTCCTTGACCCGCAACCTCCCAGTCGAGGACGAGTACATCCAGATGGAGCTTACCGAAATGGCTGACCAGCTGGAGAATGAGCGCCGCCTAATCGGAGGTGCAAGCTTCATGGACTTGCAGCGCGAGATGTGGACGATCCCCGGAAACCGCAACCGCGCGCTTCTATCCATCGGCCTCATGGTCTGCCAGCAATGACCGGAACGAACGCCATCAACTACTACGCACCATAGATCTTCAGTGGCTTGGGTATCACTGGTGTGAACAATGGTCTCTTCGCCACCGGAATTTACGGTATTGTCAAGATGGTTACGTGCGCCGCCTTCCTGCTCTTCGCAGCGGATTCCCTCGGCCAAAGGAAGAGTTTAATCTGGGCCAGTGTCGCGCAGGGCTTGGCCATGTTCATCATCGGCATCTACGTCCGTGTTTACCCGCCGGAGAACAGCGCCGATGGCAAGATTAACATTCCACCATTCGGCTACGTCGCGCTCGTCTGCATCTTTCTCTTCGCCGGTTTCTTCCAGTGGGGTTGGGGCCAGTCTGCTGGATCTACGTGTCTGAGATCCCCACCGCACGTCTCCGTGGTCTCAACGTTGCGCTAGCTGCTGCGACGCAGTGGATTTTCAACTTCGTTGTCGCCAAGTCCGTGCCGATTATGCTGAAGAACGTCGGAAAGAAGGGCTACTTTCGGATTGTTCTCCTTTGCCATGATGATATTTGTGTGGTTCTTCGTGCCGGAGACCAAGGGTTTGAGTCTGGAGAGGATGGACGACTTGTTCGGTGTTACTGAGCTGGCCAAAGCTGCAGACCTTGAGGGCTCGCACACACCGACGCAGGAACTTTCGCATGGAGAGAAGGCTACGGGGACACACGTTGAGAAGCGGGCGCTTGCTTGAGAGTAGCGTGAAGGGCGGCTGCGGATGGGGATTTAACCGTAGTTGGGTGGAAGAGCTATGTTATTGATCTTTGCATAGCTATTCTAAGCTTATCATTATATCCCGTTTCAGTCCTATTCTATTTCCGTGTGGCATAGACTTAAACCTCTTGATATAGTCGGAAACTGAACCTGACAAGAAGTAAAGCAATCTGTAGAAGCATTGCGTACTTCGAGTTTGCCTTTGAGGCAGGGCATTCTACCATCACATCGAAGGCAAAACATCTGGGCAAAGAGCAAAAGAAGAAGGAATACACCGCTGCACATTTTTTGTCGTGTGCTAATTTCGTTGGTGCTGTTGTCGCTGGTGTCCTGTTGCCGTTGGCGTGCTGTTATCGTTGGCGTGCTGTTGTCGTCGCCAGATTGTTCTCGCCACCCCAATGACCCCCTATCGCTGCGTGTCTCAAAGTCCCCCCCTAATAACCGACGGCTACGAACGCTGCAAACTCGTGTTTTCGAATCTCAACAACGTGCAGCCTGTCACCATCCGCACCCAGACTCTGGGTTCTACTTCCAATGCTCCTTCGTGAATGCATCGGCTCAATCTCTGCTCCCGGTCTCGGCCTGAGCCACACACTTCCGCTCGCAAACGCATATTCTCCTATGTCGCGCTCAAGGACCCCCCTTTTATCTCTACATTTCTGATTAAAAGAGAGGGGAGGTGGTTAGAACATGTAGTTATCACTTCAATGAGGGACATAGCAAGTTATTTCCATTCATCTCCCGTATATCAGCTCGAATCAAGGGTATCTCTATGCACATTAAGCATCACAGTCATCTCTCGTCCTTCATCCCGTATCCTCATCAGCCATGACACCATATCCAACCCATAAACCTCATCCAATCCCAAAATAAATCCTCCATACTCAGTAACCAGCCTGCTGATAATAAGCCAACCCGTGACCGCGAAGCGAAAGGAGTCTGTTGCTCCATGAATGAGATGAGATAAGATGAGGCTCGCGCCTTTATCGTCTTCGATGCAGGAATGATCGCATTAAGTCGCCCAAATATGCGTCGCTCAAACCAAAATGAAATAAAAAAACAGCAGCCCAAACAAACAACGGCTGTATAACATGCAGGCTGAAACGCTAACACTTAACAGTACAAAACTCCAAATGCAACCTCAGACGCTCGCCGTCCCTCGCCTCGGCACCTCGGGCTTCTGCGCGTAAGCAACCAGTAGCTTGAAATTCGTCTCCCACCTCTCCGCCTCCTCGATGACCTTGTCATCGGCAAATATGCTCGGTCCATTGGCGCTAGGTGCCAAGGCATCGCTTTCATAGCACCGGCTGAACCACCATCTCCCGACCTTCGCCACCATCTTCGTGATACCCTCGTCACCTTGGGCACTCGAATCTTTCATCAGGTCAGCCAAGCTGACATCCTTCTTCAACCCGCCGTCACTGCTTCCTGGCGTGCCGTCGCTGGAGGTATTGGGCACAACACTCGCAACAGGGACGCCGACATTGCAACTCTTCACATCAGTGAAGCCTCGCTTGCCAGTTAGTCGCAGCACCGTATCGGCCATGGAGACCAAATTGACCTCTGGGTTCCGCGCGCTAATGCCGATCTTGAGCTTCCGAACTGCACGCCTTGTCTTGGGGCCCATGTTCATCATGTCGAGGTCCAGTATTGACATCTCGAGGTACCCGGAAAGCTTGAGCACGCGCTTAGACTCAGCAATCAGATGCTTCATCAGGGATTCCGGGCCTGCAGGTGGGAAACGGAGGACAACGACCGTGAATGTGCTCGGGGTGAACGGAAACTTCGACATCAAGTCCATATGCTGCACCTGGCGGTGGTTTTCCGGGGGTGCAGGAATAGCAACAGCCGATACTGACATGCGCTTGCCGCTGTTGCGGCCAGGTGTGGGCGAGAGATTGTAAAAGGTAGTCTCCGGGTATGTCTCTGCGGCGTAAAAAGACCAGTCATCGTTACCAAGTCCATCAATCACGAGAATAGAGTGATGCTTTGTGTGATCTGGGTTGAGAAGCAACTCGCGTGCAGGGCTGAAAAGAACATGTCCGAAAGTCAGCCACTTGCTAACAGTCATCGAGCCAATGCGGAGGTTGACCTGGGCGGCTGGCGACTCTTGAACTGGTTCCAACTTCGGTGCATCCAACTCGTTAGACCGACGAGATACATCGCTCGTTGAGGCAGACTTCGAATGTCCCGATGTGGGTCGTAGCTCGTTTTGGCTGTGGTAAGATGAAATACGCCTAGCCTTAGCACCGCTGGAAGTTCTATCACCATACACCAATATAACGTCCGTAAAAGACATTGCTGTGGTAGGGCTAGGAGCTCCAAGGGCGTTCCTGACCGTTGTCCTCAGACTTGGAGGGCGGGGATCGGCCAATTTTGGCACCCTCGACCTCTCATCAGTTGGTGGCATCACAGCCACAGCATCAATGACAGGCGACTCCTTGGCTTGATACTGTCGGGTTCGTCTAGTCTCAAATTCTTCGTATTGGAATGGCACACCATGCGAGGAAGTAGCCGATAGAGGGACCTTATCAGCATCGGTCTGGCCGATCAGATCATCATACTCAAACCAGACCTCGTCCTCTTCTAAAGCATCGTCAGCTTTTGGTATAATGGCCGTAGTTCCGGCGTAGCTGCTTCCAGTACCAGAGCTGAAACTAGTGCCGGTCTCGGAGCCTTTCCTTGGCGATATTACAAGGAAAGGCGGCTGGCGGTCAGTTTGTTGCTGGGAAGCTGGAAGTGGTTGCCGGTTTGGAGACCTCTCTGGGCTTGGGCCATTTGCAACAGAGCTTGGGTCGACAATAGAGAGCACCCGAGTCTCCTTGATCATGGTAATCCTCGCAAAAGGACGAGAGAATGACTTTGGGGAAGTAGTGTCAGGCCTGGCTTGGACGACTCTCGGAATGCGACCAACTTGGGCGAGTCTGCTTGGTCGAGCAGCTGCTGGCTCAGGCCGCTCTTCCATTTTCCACATTTTCGGTATTTCTGGACCATTTGGAGCCGTTGCTGTAACATCTTGCTGAGTTGGTGCTGGTGATGGTTTTGAAACAGGAGTTTTTGGCGGCGGCAGCATATCGCTCGATTTCCCAGAGTTCAGCAACTGTGCAGTCTCAGCTTCTCGCAAAATATTTTCAATGTCTTCGGCGCTCAAGACCCTGTCCTCATCTGGCTCAGATGAATCCATAATAGCGTAAAATGGGACATCTTTCTCCTCCGGTGAAACAACCACAGGCACTGGTTTCTGCTCCATCTTCGCGTTCTTCGCTCGTTGGAAGAAATTCCACTTTTTCGCTGGCGAGGTGGTGCGCTTCGTAAGCTTATTGGGTCCATTCACTTTCCTTCCTCGGTCTGCTCGTGATCCATCGGAAACATACGCAGTATCTAGACTGCTCGGTCCTGATTCGCCAGCAGCGGGTATCTTGATTGGAGCTGGGAGATTCAGGCTCTGAAGCTCACTCTTATTGAGTCGTAGTAGTGACCTTCTCACAGCAAGGGACTTCTTGGGGTAGAAGCTATCACTGTCACTAGTATCAGAAGTGGCTTTTGAAGCGAGAGACACTGAGCTATTGTTCGCAGTGGCGTTCCGCGGCATCGCCGATGGCCACAATGTCGCCCTCTGAGCTTCACTACTGAGGTTGGACCTCGACGACATGGCGCTGCCTTTTGATTCCAGGCTTGGGAGTGTCAAAGGCAGGCTCTGGTTGCTTTCGGTGCGGCTGAGAGCCAGACTGTTGTTAAAGTTTTCTTTGACCTCGCCCCCTCCAGAAATGACGACTGGGCTCATTCTCTGCGACAAGAAGGGATCGTGCATCGCAGTTAGACTCGAATAGCTATCTTGAGAGCCGATGGAGCCCGCATTACTCGGCCTCCTTTCCCGGTTGCCGGTAGTGTTGTGTCCACGAGATCCAAAGCGATATCCCTCGTGGCCCGTTCCAGCAGCCGGGCCTTTTCTTGTTGTCTTCTCCTGTTTATCGGTGGTCGGAATATCTCCAGGGGCAGTTTTTGTGCGCCTGCCAAATAATCCAAAGCGATGTTTAGGTACTTCTGCGGACGGGCTGGGTGTGCGAAGACCAGGGCGCGTTTGGGTCGGTTCAGGACGAAGATCAGGAATAATACCAAGACCAGCTGGTGAAGGTGTAGGCTCGCGCTGTATTTGATTCACTGGGCTTGGAGCACCACTTCTCGGCAGGCAAGATTTCGTGCCAGGACGGGTAGCAGCTCCTGCTTGAGATGAAGCGGTGGGGCCACCGCCAAACCCTTGTCCACTTAAACGACGGTCTGCTGCCGCAGGAACCCCTGATAAATTCGATTGCACAACGTTGACAGTATCTTTGATACCTCGAAGATCTGGCGTGCCATCGCGACTGGGTCGTCGAGGTGGTGCGACGGCCTGTCCAAGGTTTGACGACTTGATGTTAGTCCGCGGCGAAGTGACATTCCTGTTTGGGACATTTGTGGCTGGCGCGGCATTCATAACCGGGCGAGCAGGGGATTTTGATGCCTTCGATGGCGAGTTATCTGTCGAGGAAGCTTCTTTGAATTTCTGCGATGACCTTCTCGGAGGCGGGCTGGGAGGTAGAGGTGACAAACGCGTCGTCTTTTTCTTAGCGCTATCATTTTTCTTATCTTTCCTTCGATCCTTGACAGTGGAGCTGGATGAAGAGGAGGTAAGTGATTCTCGAAGTGCAGGAAGCCCATTTACATCAGGTGCTACGGCGTCGTTTTCCTCTGAGGCGCTGCCCATGCGCCTTCTAGTTACTGGGGGACGATTGTCCATAGGGCTTCCTTGCCGCAAACGAGGTGTCCCTCTGAGGGGAACCATAAGTCCAGGAGACTGCGAAGACATCGAAGTAGGGGTAGTGTCCCTACTGTAAGGCCCAGGCGCAGGTGATTCGGAGAACCGGGTTGATGGGCTTGCACTGTATCCGCTGAAGACACTGTACTGGCTATGGCCACTAAGTCCTGAGCTCAACGGAGTAGGGTTTGGCGGCAAGTCCTGTGTCGACAGCTTGTACGGTATATCCGACACATCCCTCTGATACAGGTTTGCAGGCGCAGTTGTTCCAAAGCGATATCTATCTAGCTCAGGTATTATCTGGGGTGGGTTATCGAGGACGGGTATTGTCGGTTCGGCACAAAATCCGAGTTCCTCGGGGGCTCGCATGGAAACTTGGTTGTGTTGTTTCGACTGTTGCAGTGGCCATGGTGGAGAAGGATCTGCCAGGTTATTGGGGTAGGTATTCTTGATCGGTTGTGTAATAATGGATGGTTTCTTTCTCAGGTTTCGCGGCTGTTGTGGCTCGGACTTGTCGTCGGTAGATCGTGCCGCAGAAGGTCGACGAAAGCCAAAGTTCGATCTTCCAGTGGGCATATATTCCGATGGATTCGCACCTGTGCGAGGCTTTGGCAGATTCGATGGGCGTCCATAATTCTTTGGCGCTTCCAGCCTTGGTTCCATCTGCACCGGCACTCTCATCTTTACCGTCTCTTCAAAAGGCCTTTCCACACGCTTCGCTCCTTGGACGCGAGTTGAGTTGGCCACGTAATGTCCAGTCCTTGTATCTTGATATCTGTATTCAGGCCTCGTGGGCGGATCAAACCCAGATCTATACGAGGCCATTATAAATCAACGCCCCTCATGCCCTATATGCGATGTTTCTAGGAGAACGTTGGATTATGAAGATGCGCTTGATATTATATTCAGCATAGTCATCCGTAGGAACTGATGCTTTATTGTCGTCGGTATCTAGGGGCAATGTGAGGTGAGCCAAGGGAGGGACAGTAGGGAGATCGGGCGATGAGTCTTACCCGTACGAAGAAATAGCCACGCCCGCGAGGACGATTAATTAAATCTTGCAATAAAGGCAGTCAGAAATAAAACGCAGGGTCAAAAGGCGAGTTCCACTATGTATCAAACAATAGTAGAAGTTGTTCCCGTTGCGAGCACCCAGGCAAACGAAGGCAGGAGGTGGGATAAAAAATGCGATGATAAACGGCAAACGGCGTGCAATGCTCCGGGAACAAGTATATATGGGGGCGAAATATAGACGGCAGTGGCGGTAGTTGCTGTACATATCCAATGGTCTTTACGGGCACGCAGCCTCGACCTCTATGGTCCAAGTTACCGCTCCGTTGTGGAGGTCAACACACTGATGGGGCCGTCTGTTTGACAGATCCCAAGTGGAGACCGGTCTCGGTGGCGGGGTCGATGGTGCGGATTCTGGAAGGGCGCTTGTCGATAGGAAAGTAAGACCCGGGATGTCTTAAACAGTCGAATTGATGGGGGGCGTGGGCTGGGAGTAGCCTGGGATAGATGGAAAGGTGTATCTGAAAGAGGCGAAAGAGCAGTCTTGTATAGGACGAGTATTGCTCATGGCGATCAACCCAACGAACATCGCGATACGACTCGTCGAGCACGACCATGGGCCCTGCATGAGCGAAGCAATAGGAGACGCCGAGACGCAGTTGAATCGGCGAAGCAGAGCTCCTATACCACAAGCAGGCAAATCGAAGGCCACATCTTGCCATTTTGGAGGAGACTAAGGTAGGAACTGTGCAGGGTGGGATCGCGAACGCGAAGGCTGGGCCCATCACCGCCACAACCATGCCAATGTGCCTAGGCGGACATGCATGGATAGGAAACACATAAGGGCTCGCGGTATCCGTGGCCTATGATGGACATCCAGGTGGATTTCCATGCATGCTTTTCGTCCAATGGGTACTTTGCGATGAGGCAGAATTGGTTGAGATTCCAGTGATAGTGATGCCAGTGATGGTTGCAAGTCACACACTCTCCAGATTCGCCGGCTCGCTGGCTAAGTGGGAAGGCAAAGCGGGACATATGCACGTCTCTTGTCGGCGGTGGCGATCATGCCACAGACGATGGCGCTTGTTGGTCGCCATGGGCCTATACAAGCTCATGTTAAGTACCATTAGTACTCTATTTCTGTAAGGTCGCAGGAGCGGTCTGTAGGAAACAATGCTATGTATGTATGCAGCTTGCTCAAGCCTTGGAAACTAACCTGCATTTCTATCTGTCATTGGGTGCCTTCATCATGTGCCTTACACCTGACCTGTTGGATCGTCAGCTTTCAGTCAGCCTTTTTACTCCTTCCGCGGAGTTCATCCCCTTTACCGTCCGCGGATCCCATATGCCTCCAACAGCCAACTATCTGACGGTCTCGTTTGACTGGATGGGCGCTCGATCCGCCTCATCCATTTTCAGAAGGTCCGTATGGGATTGGCGATATTTTGGGGCTAGACACTTCTGTAATGTCATTGGAGGGGTTGAAAAAAAAATCCCGATTATTCACACCCAACCGCCGATCAATAGTCCAGCGGCTCCCCGTAAGCTAAAGCACTAATCTAAAGCACTATCCTCGCGTGAAACAGGACCCTCGATTGTCTCTGCCCTCGATTGTCTCTGCCCTCGATTGTCTCTGCCCTCGATTGTCTCTGCCCTCGATTGTCTCTGCTTTTGATTGTCTCTGCCCTCGATTGTTTCTGTTTAGTTATTGAGATGTCTCTCCTTACCCGCAGCCGTTGAACGCCATGTAACCCAGTCTCCACTGTAGGACGATATTGATTGCAACGGCCAGCACCAAATCCTGAATGATCCTCTTACTTAGTACATTCTAGTAATGAGCTGAATGTACGTGTATCCATGTCGCTCAACTCAACTTCCTGGGGATCCCTCCCTTGTAAAACTGTTCAGGGCGATCGGCATGACTAGAATTTTCTGTCTCCCAGCATAGCTGAGCTATGCATGCGGTGACGCAGCTGGTAGTACCAACGCCCCATCGGAAGCGAGGCGCAGTCAATGCATAAAGCACTCGCCACACACTAAACAGCTGCCTTCAAGGGAACGCCGATAAATGACGTGGCATTCGCAAAACTCTCAAAAATTGAAGCCTGATAATACTTTTGCTGAATTTGATGTCTCCCAAATCGACGAGATGCAAGAGTTGGAGGGTGCGCGCTTGATTCATGGTGAAGACCCTCGTCTGGAAAGTGTGGTCAGTGAGCAGGGTTCCTAGACCTCTGATTGGGCAAGGCCATTGTGACTGGCGCCTCGACGCCCGCAGCTATTGAAAGTAACGTGATGGCGAAGTGGTGTCCTCTTCCTGGTATAATTCAATTCTTCAAAGAGGGTGTGGACTTTGTTGACGGGTGCGGGTCAGAGTGGGAGGAATGGGCCGGCCCATGTGGGTAGCTTACCACAATGTCTCTGAAGGATGGGAGATATACCCCGATTGCGGAAAGCTTTTATTGGTGTGGCATCTCGAAGGAATCCAACGGCGTTGGTGAGAATAAACGGGTCAGTTTATTGAAAGGATGCTGATTCAGCCTTGGGAAGCCACGTTTGTAAGACTCGCCCGTAACTCGCTTTAATGGGATGAAAAGATCTATGCGGCCAAGTAGAGTTCGCCATGCTTTTTCCTGGTTCCCCTGTCAGTGTTTGCTATTCCAATAGTCAGCGCGGGTCAACAACTGGTATATTGATGTTGATAAGTGATCCATCAGATTTTAGGGGGTCCCTGAAGTTTGTGGTTTTGGTTCGTTGTGGGGTGATCCGTCGTTCCTTCCTTCTCCTTTCCATGTTGTTGGCCCCTTTCCAGTCCAGACGATTCAGCTATTGATTCAGCGTATTATATTATAAGTAAGACAGTACGGCTTTAATCTATTGTGGGATTAATCGCCGCACACCTATTTGTGCCTCACCTCTGCCCAACCCATCCGACCTGGCCCTCACTATCCAAGTGCCTACGAAAGCCAAAAGTGGCCGTCTTCTCGTTGAACCGCTAACTCAAAGGTATTTAAAGGCCAACATGTCTCTCTTTCGCCTGTTCATCCCCATCTCTTCTCTTTCACGTCTAATTCATTCTATTCTTCACCCCTCCTACAAGCCTTCACTCGTAGTCACTCTTTTCAGTCTTCAATACTCCTCGTCTGCATTTCTGTTCAGTCACTTTGCACCCTCGACTCGATTCTCTTGGAACATTGGTCCGGTACCGCATGAAGATAGGCGGCCAGATCACTGGGTTTAAACAAGTCACGAAGCCGTATTTGCTACATGACGGAGCGGCTAAGAGATCCTGCTGTCCTCAACTAATGTTTTCCCTTTGGCACAGCCGATGTTAGTGACTCCGTTCAAAACTTAATCTTGTAGCATGCGAGTATCGACACCTTCCTTAAACACTACCTTGATCGGAATATCAATGTGGATGTCCAAAATATATATCGGGACTCGAGCCGCAGAAGGCCTTAATGAGGTTCGCATGTTCAATGAGCCGGTCGATCGACCCCTGGCGCCCCTAGAAGCTGACTTCTGCGCAATCAGCATCGGTTAATAACCTTCCATATATTGTGAAATTGTCTCAGATCGCAGCCCAACTGTCAGGGTCTCCAGAAGGCAGCCGGAGAGAAGTGCGCTATCAGAAACGCCTTACGAGCGAGAGAGCGAGCTTGACATCGTCGATCGATACAAGAAAGAGCAGCCTGTCATTGACAGCGAGCGACAGCTATCTGGTAAAGTGGTTGATGAGGACGTCCGAGGTGCACTAGAGCAATCGGATCATATGACGCCTGAACAACTGCTTCTAATCGACGCGGTTTTGACATTGCCCGAGACGTCGCTGGAAAGTGAATGTTAACGCAGGATTATGGCTATCAACGCCGTCACGACGTACTGCACTGTCGAGGAGGGTGCGACCTTCCGTCGCAGTCGCGCAGGTCGGCTAGTTCCACCCGTCTCCGCAATCAAAGCCGAAAAACTGCTGTGGTCCGAGGCATATATCATGCTCAGACATGCAATATCGTCGGTTACGACGGATAAGAGGCCAACTATATGCTTCGCATGTCTTGGGAACCCGAACCTGACGATTCGGGAGAGGGTCGTCTCGTTTTCAAGTCCTGGCTGCCTAACGAGGCACTTTATGAGAAAGCACGGCTCGAGCATCGGATGCATTTTCAAAACCACGAGAAAGTTCACGGAACTGTCTCGCAATACTGCAATTGGATGGAACCACTCAGAAGTATGCAATATGGTTTGCCTGATTAAGCAGGTAGAGGAAGTAATTAAATAAGGAAGAGGTGTCATCGTTTATATTTTTTTATCTAACTTCCCCATCATGATCCATATCAGTCTACGCCTTCAAGAAAGGGTGACCTGACTCTGCATAGCTTGGTGATTCGTACCCGTAACCCTGCAGCCGTGATGCAATTGGTCCCCCACCTTCTTTCGTTTTATTTGCTTATATGTTTATAACAACGCCCTCGGCACTACTGTAAGGCATCATGTGAGGCCGCCCTGAACTCAGGGGCTGCCTGGCAGTGGAGCCACTAGGGCTCGGTAAACTAGGGCATGTAGGAACGTAGGATATAAGGAGCTGGAAGCCTCAGAAGGAGGCCTCCAGCCGATAGTCGCTGTATTTACGTAGACCTATTGTCCTTACAAATACGATACCCCTTTCCTGCCTCTTGACCTGGTTCCCTGGACTCCTGTGAGACCTTGGGCTTACGCGCTACAACTACCTTTCACATACGAAGCAGTTCCTAACTCTACACTAACTAGTATAACCCGCTCCATGGTGCCTCAAAAACTCTGCATTTGACTTGTCAAGTTGCTCTCTAGGTGTAGATAAATCGTAGAGGTAGACGACCTAGCCACTCGATTTTGCAAGAGAGTCTGTAAGGATTGGTCAGACATATGACCAAGCCACTCTGAAGTTCGAGCCCCAACGCTGATTCTTGGCTGACATTGTGGCGATTCGCGGTAGGGGCTATTATATTCATGGGTTGATGATCGTTGTATTTTATTTAAACTACTGCTCTGAAGCCTGGCCATAATAAAGCTATTTCGGTTAACGTACATGTATAGCGAAAGCGCCAAACAAGCGAAAGCGCCAAAATGATGCGGTGACCAAACCCCCCAACTAAATGTTAAATTCCTCAACAACAAAACATGCCCCATAAAAACGATGAAAGCCAATTAGTGCTAGCTATCCAGGCTATGCAAAGCGACCCAAAGTTACGCCTTCGAGTTGCTGCTAGGATCTATTCTGTGGACCACCGCAAGCTAGGTCGTCGTCTAGAAGGTGTACCTTCACGACGCGATATCCAAGCCAACTCATGGAAATTAACTAACCTAGAGGAGTCCGTCCTTGTTCAGTATATACTCGACCTAGCTGCCAAAGGGTTTCCTCCTCGGCTGTCTGTTGTTGAAGATATGGCAAGTCGACTACTTGCAACACGCGACGCGTCACGCGTTGGGTCGCGTTGGGCTTCAAACTTTGTTAAGCGGCATGTAGAGCTCCAGACACGCTTTCAGCGCAAATACGACTACCAGAGGGCTAAGTGCGAAGATCCAGAAGTTATTAATGGCTGGTTTGAGCTTGTGCGTAACACAATTGCGAAATATGGTATCGATGAAGCAGATATCTACAACTTTGATGAGACTGGGTTTATGATGGGCGTTATCTCAACTGCTATGGTTGTAACAAGCTCAGACGGGCGGGCAAAAGCAAAGAAGGTACAGCCTGGTAATCGGGAATGGGTTACAGTAATCCAAGGCGTTAGTTCTCAAGGTTGGGCAGTACCACCATTTATCATTGTTGCAGGCAAAAACCACCTTACATCTTGGTATGAGAATAGTGGATTTTCAAGCGATTGGGTGATTTCTGTTACTGAAAATGGCTGGACTACAAACGAGAGAGGCATGGATTGGATTCAGCACTTTGAGAAGCATACAAAGGCCCGGAGTGTTGGTGGTTATCGCTTGTTAGTCCTTGATGGTCATGAGAGCCACCACTCAGATGAGTTTGAGGAATACTGCAAGGAACACAACATTATTACGCTTTGTATGCCTGCTCACTCTTCTCATCTACTCCAGCCACTTGATGTTGGCTGTTTCGGCCCGTTAAAGCAGGCCTATGGTCGGCAAATTGAAGATATGATGCAGGCTCATATTTCTCATATTACAAAGGATGACTTCTTTCCTGCCTTCCACGCTGCATTTATCACTACAATGACGGAAAGTAACATTCGAGGCGGGTTCCGAGGGGCAGGGCTTCTTCCATTTGACCCTGAGAGAGTGATATCTACACTTGATCTTAAGTTAAGGACACCAACGCCTCCAAGCTCCCGCCCAGGTACTGCTCAACCTTGGGTTTCTCAGACACCAAACAACCCAATTGAAGCTATGTCACAGTCTACATTTATTAAAACTCGGATTTCACGCCATCAAAATAGCTCTCCAACCTCAATCTATGCAGCTGTTGACCAGTTTGCAAAGGGTGCATCGCAAATAATGCATCAATTAGCACTGCTAAAGGGAGAGAACCAAAACCTACGACAGGCAAATGAAGTACTAAGCAAGCGCCGGAGAGCTAGGAAAACACGACTACAGCAAGGAGGATCACTTAGTCAACAAGGGGCGCAAGAGCTACAGGATGAGAGGGATGTTGTGCAGCAGGTAGAGCAGGAAATAAGGGCAAGCCGTGGTCGGAAGCCAAGGGAAGAAACCCATGCCCGTCACTGTGGCAAGTGTGGTGAGACTGGGCACAATGCGCGCACGTGTCAGATTGTAATAGACACCTCTGAGGAAGAGGACTCCGAGTAGTTTCAATTGATTTCTAATGTTGTGGTAGATTTATCGCAATGTTTGTCATGAGGGTAGATAATTTTGGCGCTTTCGCTTGTTTGGCGCTTTCGCTATACATGTACGTTATTCCTTCCTGATTACTAATCCATTCTGCACACTCACCCCCTGATCATTTTCTTCGACACATGGTGTTGAAGAAAGCGTCCCTATGAGCGCTCCTAAGCGACCAAATAATAAAGCAATCCACCCCATTAGATACCCCATCCGATACCCCAGCCTCAGTTCCCAAAGCTATCCCATTTCTAGCTATTCATGTCCTGCAATCCACTCCATTTCCACCATTCCATTAGCAAATCCATGTCTCAAAAGCATTCCCCATCAATCAGCCCATATGAAAGAATACCAGCCATGACTCTCAAAATCCCCTCTCGTCTTCTAACACCTTCCTTAATCTGAGCCCGCAACATCTCATTTTCATCCACCAGTCTGTTGATTTCTACCGATTGCTGCTTGAGATATCGTGATGTAGGACCATGCAACTGTCCCTTGGGCTTTGGTGGTGCACGCGCAAGATCTCTTGCAAGTCGGATCACATCAATGACATCCAACCATTTTTCTTCTGGGATCGCCCGGGGATCCATAGGAGGTAGGTGGTTACAAGTGTTTGAAATCCAGGCCCCGATTCTCCCAGAACCGAGGGTCATGCTCATCTGCTGTGTCAGCAGGAAAGTGGATGAAGTCATCCCACCAACTTAGGTCAGGTTGCTGTGGCTGGTATTCCTCCTCAAATGGTATTCCCTGTTCACGATTTAACGCTGCCCTTCGCCGGATCTCTACATCAGAAAGTCTTTGCTCCCTAAGAATTCGTTTGCGCAAGTCCTCATTGCGCTTGAAGTGTACCTCCCATGGTTCATCCCCTTCATTGTGCCTCTTTCTAGACACAAATAACTTTAGGTCATTTAGATGGAACTTTCCCTTGATTTGGTCAGAGTGGAGTTCCTGGAGAAAGGCTGACTTGCCACTTGGCGTAAGTTTGTGCAGAATGTAAGGGCCAAGCCAACGGGGTTCCAACTTGTGACTATGATTGTTATCTTGTGACAATCTTCGTAGTAAGACCAAATCACCTCTCTTCATTTGGGTGTATTTACGCAGGTGCATTTCAGATTCCTCAGCGTTTTTCTGTTGAGATCGGAGACGAATTTCAGTAGCAGTGTCCCGCATTTCTTCAATCTTCGCCATGCGCACGGCATACACTTTGGCTGGATGATGCCCATCAAATTTAGGAATGAAATTTGGCTGCTCAATCAACTCCTTGCGTATTGCTTCATCTATCGCCAAATCGCCAGGTGTAAAGCGTGGTTTAAACCCGAATAGCATCTCTGCTGGGGAAACTCCATAGATTGAGACTTGTTTAGAGTTAATTACATTTACCACGTGCGGAAGCAATTCATCCCATTCAAACAGTAATCCTGCACTATCCTGGAGGATTTTGCGAAAGATCCCGGACACAAGTTGCACATATCGCTCTGATAACCCAACAGACGACGGGTGTGATCTTGGGGCTAGTACAGATCAAATTCCTTGTTCTTTGAAGTATCCTTGGGTTTCGTCAGAAATGAAATGTGACCCATTATCTGTATATGTGGCTAGGGGAACCCCAAATGGACGAACAATGCGCTTTTTGACAAATTTAACAGTGGTTCTTGACATGGCATCAGGGACCGCCTCTGCAATGAGGAATCTGGTCATGTATTCCACTGAGAGAATGATGTACTTGTTTCCGTGCTTTGTTACGGGATATATTGGGCCCATATAATCCATACCAATGAGATCAAATGGCACCATCTCAAAGACCGGGGACAGTCCAGTAGTTGGTCGCAATCACCCGACAGCCTGACACGACGAGCACGACTTGCAATATTTTGCAATATCCTTGAAACGGGTCAGCCAATAGACTTTTCCAACAGCTTCCCGCTGTGTGATACCAATGCCAAAATGGCCATGGACATTGTGGAGGATTCTCAATTCATGCTGGACTTGGTCTTTTAGAACACATCTCGACTTAGCTCCGTTCTTTTCAACATAAAACATTCACGGTCCAGAGGGGGAATCCCACAAGACGAATTTCACAGCTAGACGACAAAGATTTCGGCGTTGAGAGACATTCATCTCTGAGTGTAATGGGATCGCATTATAGGCCTTGTACTCAATAATATCTCGATACCACTCTTCCTTTAGCCATTCTTCCCAACCCTGAAGTGTTTCGGCATTTAATTGTTCAGGCGATACTAGAGAATATTGTGGAGGCCACTTCGAATACGGCGTGTGTTCTGCTAACAGGCAGCAAGATCCATTTTTTCATCAGAATCATAACTGATGGTAGCAGAAGAGAAATATTTGTTAGCTGAGTTAATCGGAGTTGACGCGATTACATTAAAGCGGCTCAAACCATCTGCAATAGCCAGCTCTTTTCCAGGGACATGGGTGTATTCTAAATCGAATTTCGAGACAAACAATTGCCAGCGACAAATCTTCCCATGTGGGTCATCCGCTTTAAGGACAGAGACTAATGCCGAATGATCTGTGTAAATCTTGACAGGAAACTTGGTGCCATGTAATAACCACTAACATTCTTCTAAACACTTGTAAATCGCGAATGCCTCACGTTCAGTTGTATGCCATTTCGACTGGGACGGGACACGGCGTACCGGAGACGACGGTTCCAGAGCCAACCGGCTGGATTTGCTTGGAAGTCGTATTTGAGGGGTCGCACTCGAGGTCACCGTCGATCCAGGCTAGCATATCAACTAACCGAAAAGAGTAAATTCGTTGGAATTTGCTGAGGCATTGGGTGAAGGGAATTGTGATCTACTGGAGTGGAGGTGCGGCAACTGCCACATGGCGTGTGAAAAGCGAAATGGTGGGGAGCTATTGTCATCGTATTTCACAAAGTCTCACAAGAGAAACCCCACGTTTGGAGGACAGAAAAGAGAGAAGGGATAAAAGGAAGGAACGCCTTCCTCATTCCAGCGTGGTACGGCTGCGGCTCACCCAATCGCTTTCTATGAAGTCCTTCAAACCGTACAAGCATTCACGTACTTGCGGTCCACAAAAATCCAGCGCATGTCTAAGGGAGTCCAATGAGCTGAGTCGAGGGTTTTTGTACACGCTCGAAGATCAGAAGGATCAAACACATGGCTTTTGCGTAATACGGCTGCAATATACCTGCAAAGTAATATAATTCATTGCTGGTCAACGGCTGAAGGGTAGGTTACAATTCAGGTTGGAGAGCTGACCATTATCATTATCTCCTTCGTGTTTTCACATGGCCGACTCTCTCATCACCAACTTGCCTCGTCCCCACATATGCCAGTCCAGTGTCGGGTTGGCCGGTCTCCGTTCTCGTCGGTGAAGTACGAAGTTCGCAGTGTCTCGTGTGGCAGCACTGTGACTTGAGATAACCCGTTGAAGCCACTCAAAGTTTGACGTCCTCGGTCTATCAGAGTAGCACTACATACTGTAGTCATCAAGGGACATGGATAATGTGACAGTGGGCGTACGATGTGTTTGCAAAATGAGAGACCAGAGGCTGATCGCACAGACCTGTAAAGTAGTGCTACCTTTCTAAATGAACAAGTCTTAGGTGCCTCCGCTAGCACTGTGGGATTTTTGCAGCCAGTGTGTGTACACAGCCGTGCGACTCTTTTGTCTCCTATATCTGGCTTGTTCTATGACAACAAGGAGAACATCTTCCATGGCACAAATATAGCATGTTCTAGCCGATACATTCGTTCTCCTCTTTCCCGAGGCTGTCATAACCGAGGTAAGTCATAGCAGGCGGTTGAGACCACTGGCCTTGTGGTGGAATATCATACTTGATATATCGCCCAAGGTGTATCAAACAAGGTCCATCGCTCGAAAGGTCCAAGATTGCAGGGAAAGCCTCAGCGACCGTGACTAGCCCGACTATTGTTCAAGCGCCGAAAGATCAAAGAAGCACCCCCCTATTTTTTGGTCGAGCTAATCTATCCTGGTTGTGATGGTGGCGAGATATATTCCGAATTAATCAAAATGCCCCAAACAGGAACGACTAGACGCAAATCCGGGGTGAAAGCGGAGTAAAGTATTGAGCTGACACCCCCGGCTCAGCTATCCTCATAGATTTAGTACTCCATGTATTGCAGGGAACAGTGTTCTATACTGTAGATATGTACCTGTCATAGACTTACAGGTCTCAAGTATGGCCTTCGAACCCGACCCATCCCTTTCGTTGCCAGATTCTAGGGAGGAAATGAGGGCGTGACCCTCTCGTCGTCGATGGGTCTTGTATAACTTCACATCAGTACCAGCGATTTGCGACGCCACGACGGAATACTTTCACTGTGTTCGAATCGCTTGGAGTCAGCTCCGCCGCTCTTGGCTCCCGTTCAATGGTTCAATGGTTCAAACGGAGACTACCCGTCACACTTAACGGCACAGCGTCCCACTACCCACCACCCTCTATCAAATCCCAAGTTTTGTCGATGCCGATCTCCAACAAACATTTCCCTGGCGACCGAAGAAAGTCAAAGTCCAACAGCTAGTCTTTGAATAGTCCGAATAGCGAAATATCCAACATCTTGCCTCTCGGTTCTTCAATTGCGATCGGCATTGACATCCGCGACCTCGTGCGGGGTCCCTTGCGCTGTCTCCTCACAACCCCCGGACCCCATTCTGAGAATCCACCACCAACGCCACACAAACACCCAGGCTTTGATCATGGGATCATCGCTTTATATAACTAGCCTGGCTGCCCCTCCCACGATTTTCTTTGAGATTCGACCGAAATCTATTTTTCCGCGTCCGATTCGACCCTGCCCCAAATTTATCACTCGTAGATTTGGGCCCGTTTGTCCAACGAACTTCCGCACATTGGTAACGACGAACGCAGCTCATCGACCGGATTAGTCGCAACCGTGGTTATGGCAGTAGCAAGCGATCTCGATAAGGCACATATCCACTATCTTGTCGTTATAGAGAGGGTCACATCAGGGCTCTCAGTGGCGGGATGTCTCTTCGTTATCATAACCTTTCTGATCTCGAAGTCGTTCCATAGACCAATCAACCGCCTCGTCTTCTTCGCATCCGTGGGCAATTTGTTCACCAATATTGCAACAGTCACCGCTGTGGCGGTTCTAGACAATGAGAGTGGCTTCCTCTGCCAGGCCCAGGGGTTTTTAATCCAGATGTACGTTCTGCAATGCAGTTGACCCGGCCTATAGTTTGGAACTATGCTTTGAATATTCAAATACTAATACGATGGCAGGTTTATGGCTGCGGATGTCTTATGGACACTGGCAATGGCCTTTAACGTTTACCTTACCTTCTACCACAAGTTCGGCATCGCGAGGCTAAAGAAAATGGCTCTTGTCTCCCCAGAGCCGCCATTTGGGGAATGGAAGCTAACAGCACAACCAGGCTCGTTATCCTTGTCACGTTTGGAATCTACATTCGCGCTGGCCGCGAAATCTACAACAAGCGTAAGCAGCTTCGCCAATTCGCCTCGAGTGAAATTGGTCCCGGCATGATTCCAACGAACCCCTTCAATCAAGGCGCCATCCACGAACAGACAGTTGTCGCCATCTCCTACGAAAGCACTGCCAACCACCCAACCATTGATATCAACGACCTAGGCCGCCAGCTATCCGCAGCCGACCGACGCCACTCGGGCCAAAATGGCCAGCCGCAGTATTCTGTTGCCGTCTCCGCCGTTCCTGCGGTCTACAAAATTGGCAGCATGCCTCCCTTCCCTTCCGTACCCAAGCGCCCAAAGAAGACGAAAGAAGAGAAAGAAAGGGGCGATGACCCCACCCTCAAGCGCTACCAAACTATCGAAGCCAGCCGCGCCGCCTGGGGCTACACTAAGGTCGCCGTGTTATTCTTCAGCGCCATGTTAATCACCTGGATTCCATCGAGCGCCAACCGTCTCTATGGTGTCGCACACCCGGGCAAGATCTCCATTCCCCTTACCTACGCCGCCGCCTTCGTGCTCCCTCTTCAGGGATTCTGGAACTGCCTCATCTACATGATCACCAGTCTCAACGCCTGCAAGGAGCTGCTCGGCTGGATGGGCCTCAAGCGCTACAGCGATGGCACCCTGCGCCACGGCGGCCACGAGAGACGCAATACCTTTGGAATGACGAACATAGATATGGGGAGAGGCACGCGCATACCGAGCATGGCGGGCGATAAGGATGTCAGCGAGACGGAAAGCACGGTAGAACTGGCGACTCAGCGGTAGCCGGCGAGCTGGCTGGGAAGAAAAGCAGTTTAGTTGTGCTGTGCACTCTTAGCGATGGCGTGTCGGCGTTATGGCTGTTCAAGATTTTTTTTAAGAGTCCTGGGACTCAATGGGGCGATCTTCGGGGTTCGGTGAGGCTGCAGTGTCGCGGCAAAGGTCCCCTGACTGTTCGCATCTACAGTTATGTACGCGATATCAAAAATCTAGTTACCACTGTATATAGTCTACAGTTTGGATAATATACGGAATATAATAGGAAGAATAGATCTTACATATGTACATGTACTGTCCGCATTTGTACACTGGGTCAGGGGATCACGTGAGATCACGTGACTTTGCATGGCATATTCTTAATAAAATCGTTGTCTGTTCCTTCAGGATACTTCAGGATAAACCGTCCTGAGAGGGTTTGTTTTCGTGCAGGTAGCCCGCGCATAGCCGGATAATGCAGGTAGATAGTAAGAACAAAGAGACAGTACCATTCTTTGTGCGCATATTCTGGAAATGTCCAATATAATCGAGTATAACATTATCAGGAACGAAAAAGGGTGATTGGTAGCCGAATGTTTCGTCTTAACCCATATATTGGAGCGACCAATCCGAATGGTTCTAGCTGGTTCGCCGCGGCTCGCGCTTGCCTCGTTAAACATTTCGGGTACTGTACTCCTACAACCCACTAGCGCCATTGGTGACAATTTCCTCCACTCGATTCCAGTCTTTTGGCCACCTCCAATATCAACGATCAAAGTTCCCCCCCCCACTACAAACGTCTCAATCGACTTCTCTCGCGTCTTCTTTTTCCAAAATACATTATCATCTCTAATAAAAGGCCTCAAAGCTACCCTGTGTCTTGTCTTTCTACACTCTCTCCTGTCGGATTCTAGCCTTCCTGTGGTTTTCGTTTCTTCAAGCGAAACAAATTCTGAACGAGTCGAAAAAGAGAGCACACGACTGAACGCTCAAATACATATTTGCACCCATCTACACAACCTATATATACCCCACGTCGCCCCATTTACGTCCTACGACTTCTCTCGAATTCATACTCGGTAATCCGTGAGGTCGACAGTCCAGTCAACCTCACCCTTTTCAGCCAACACAATGGCCGCAACCAGTGGAGTTTCGAACCAGCAGGAGCCTTACAAGAGCGCCACTGAGCAGTATACCAACACTGCCAGTGCTGCTGAGACAGCGAGCGGAAACGCTAATGGCAGCGCTGAGCTGTCCAAGGACGAGATAGGATGGTACTTTGTTGAGCAGTACTACACTACTCTCAGCAAGTCGCCAGAGAAGCTTCACGTATGTTCATCCAGCAACCTCATATCGTAAATATGCTAACAGGCCCAGCTCTTCTACGGCAAGCGCTCCCAGTTCGTCTCTGGCCTTGAGGCTGAGGTTGCCCCAGTCTCTGTCGGCCGTCCAGTAAGTTATCCATCAGACATATTACAAATCGTTTGCTGATTCATCTAGGCTATCCAAGAGCGTATCAAGTCTCTTGAGTTCCAGGACTGCAAGGTCCGCGTCTCGAACGTCGACTCCCAGGGCTCTGACGAGACCATCGTCATCCAGGTCATTGGCGAGACCTCCAACAAGTCTGCCGAGCTGAAGAAGTTCGTCCAGACCTTCGTCCTCGCCCAACAGCCGACCGGATACTTCGTTCTTAACGACATCTTCCGCTACATCAACGAGGAGGCCGAGGAGGAGGTTGTTGAGGCTGCCGTCAACGAGGAGGCCGCTGCCCCAGCTACTGAGGACATCGCTGATGTCGAGATGCCCAAGGCTCAGGCCAGCGTCGAGGAGCCAAAGGCTGAGGTTATCGCTGATGTTGTCGACAAGAAGCTCGAGCTTGATGCTGAGCCTGCTGTCCTCAAGGAGCCCCAGACCAACGGCACTGCCCCTGCTGCTGCTGTTGAGGCCGTCGAGGAGACCGCCGCTGCCCCAGCTGCCGTCTCTCCTGAGGTTGCCGAGAAGGAGCTTGAGGAGGAGGCTGCCAAGACTGTCGAGATCCCCAAGGACCCTCTCCCAACCCCAGCTGTCACCGAGGCCGCTGCTCCCAAGGCTGCCCCAGTCCCAGCCGCCCCAGCCAAGCCAATGAGCTGGGCTAACCGTGCCGCCGCTGCTGCTGCCGCCGCTCGCCCCGCCATGCCAGCTGTCCCACACCCGAAGACTGCCTCCCCAGTTCCCGCCCAGCAGCGCGCACCCGCACCTGCCGTAGCACCCGCCCAGGCTGCAGCCCCCGCCTCCCCAACCACCAACAAGGAGAACGAGGGCCCTCAGTCCCAGGGCTGGCAGACTGCCGGCGCTGACACCAAGCGCCAACGCCCACAGTCCATCTCCGCTCCTCTCGAGAAGGAGGGCACGATGGGTTACGTCCGCAACGTGACCGAGGCCGTCCAGGCCGATGCTCTCCGTGCCGCTCTTGCCGCCCACGGTGAGCTCGTTTACTTTGACATCAACCGCCAGAAGAACTGCGCATTCGTTGAGTTCGCCTCCTCAGCCGGCTACCAGGCTGCTTTGGCTGCCAACCCCCACCACATCGGTGGTGAGGCCATCCTGGTCGAGCACCGCCGCCCAAAGTCCTCTGCTTATGGAGGCGCCGCCTATAACACCCGCGGAGGGATAAACAACCGCGGCCGTGGTGGCTTTGAGCGCGGTCCAGGTGGGCAGAGAGGACGTGGCAACTTCGGCGGCGCCGCCCGTGGTGGTGCCCCTCGTGGACGCGGACAGAGCACCCCTACCACCGCTTGAGAGGCTACTATTTAGCGTCTCGCGCGTCGCCTAACATCTGACCGGCGCCCACGACGTCCCCTCTCCCCACCGTCGTCTAGGTTTTCCAAGATCGACTTGTACTCTTATCTCCGTATCATCACCACCAATCACCATACCGCCAGCAGATCCCAACCGTCTCCATCCCAACCGTCTCCATCCCAACCGTCTCCATCCCAACCGTCTCCATCCCAACCGTCTCCATCCCAACCGTCTCCATCCCAACCGTCTCCATCCCAACCGTCTCCATCCATAACTATTCTCATGTCTCCGCCGGGCGCAAAGCGAAAAAGTTACATTTTTTTTACTTCGGCGACGCATCCACGACACAGCAAGGAAGGGGGGCGTTTTATAGCATCGTTTCTGTTCCTGCTTTGGAGGATCCTCGTTTTTTGTACGCTTGTTGAGATGGTGCGGGTGGGATTTGAGCCGGTGACGATGGGATTGCCCTTTGGTCTCTCTCCTTCGAGGGACCTTCCTATAATTTTATTGTTTTCTGTTTACAGCTTGCTTATCTTGGAGCTCGGCTCCCTACGATATGATCGATGGACGCCCGCTCTCTTTCTTGCTCTGTTGTCTCGCAGTGACTCTTCGTTGTCTTTTCTCTCTTGGACTCTCCCGCGCGGTTGGTCGCGCATGGTTTAATATGCATAGCACGTTTTTTTATGTTTTGGGCGGGCGCGGGCAGGCTGCATGGGTGGGGGTGTGATGGGGCTGGTTTCTGGTTGTGCGATTGGGACGGCTGGGGAAAATGAAGACGTTGGTGATGTCTTGATGTAGTGGTGTAGGAGTGAATGGGGGGTGTAGATGGGGGGATGAATGCTGGGGGAGGGGAGGCGAGAGAGGAGGGATGAGAGTGTATCAATCAATCTATATAAGCTTTACGGGACGCACTGTGCGTTGGGTGATTTAACCGGATTCGCACACAGTGCTTGTGATGAACACATCCGACATGATGCCCTCTCTCTATGTACGGGTTCAGACTTTGATGCGACGCGGATGAGAGCAGCTTTTATACCGGAATGGGCCATCCGAAGGAATGGCGACAAGATGAGGGGTTCTGGGGGATCCGTCATGGGGAAACTGGGGACGTGGATGGCGGAGGCGCAGGGCTGGGCTTTGGCTTCGGCTTGGCTTGGCTGTCTGTGCTTTGTTTTGGTGAAAGGCCGACATCTCGCTTACTCAGCACCAAAGCCCAAACCCCAGACAGACACCCACGATGGCTAACTTGGTTCTTAATTATATAGGCCAGCCTCGGTAAGTTACTCTGCGAAATTATGGCACTGCATTCAGCAGTTGGAGTATATTAAGTTGAGTTATACCACCGAACTCATCCCACTGAACTCATCCCACTGAACTCATCCCATTGAACTCATCCCACTAAACTCTGGCCGACGCCACCTCTCCCGTGCCCTGTTGTTGTGACGTCCGTCATCGTCAGTGGGGCCAAGACCCATACCCCTCCTCCTACTGCCTGTTCACTCCGCGATCTCCAGTACTACTGTGGTTCATGTGAGACGTTGTCTTCCGCTACGCCAACGAATCAATGAAACTCGAAATTCCGCAGTCGTCCCTGCTTCATTGCATGAATGCCGCCCTGCTTCCTCCAAAACACACGCACACAACGACCGACGACGACGATTTAGAGCAACCGCCGGCCGGACTTGCAATTGACCGCTAGACGAGTTGCCGAGACACCACACCGTTGGGTTTGGGTTGTGTGCCGGACGAAGCTAACGGAGACGAAAGCTTGAAGGCAAGGCTTTCGTTGAGTGGTGACGACAAACCAGAAGGCTTCGTGTGAATTGATTCACTTTCCACAGACAAAGGCTGGGAGGCTACCAGAGGCGTCCAGAATGATAGAGTGAGCGAGACCGCTTCACGATTGTGATACCCTCGACTGGTTAGAAGCCGCGCAGCACAGATGGACCTCGATATCATAGTCACCGCGCCTATGAGCCATGATGAACGGGACGACGAGGCAAGAACGACGAGGCAGAAATACATTGCTCTCTCGCCGCAAGACGACGAATTGGAGGAATACACAGACCGGGATGGGGCGGAATATACGCCGCAGCCTTGGTCAAGCACGACCTGCTCGTCCATCAACGAAGGCGCTGGAGATCTTGAGGACCTCCCAGCACTCTCCCAGACGGCGTCGCAACCTCGCAGAGTCTCACTTGATCAATTCTACGTGGAACACCACTTCCCAGATCGAACTATACACCCGCCTCCTCCGACTCGCCCCCCTCCTCCAATCCGCGATGCTCCCTTACCAACTAACACCACCACCACCAGCGCCGAGTCCCAACCCCCCCGGCTCACCGCTGACGACCTGGTCCAGCAATCCTCCCTCTCACCACCGCCATACTCCTCCAGCATCCTCAACCGCAGCGCCATAAATATCACTCCCCGCGTCGAAGAAGGCCGCGAGACCCTCCCCCCCTACACCTGCGACCTAACACTCACTGCGCTCTTCATGCGCAAATCCGAGCTCGAGGGCACCCACCTCGGCGAACCCTCCGAGTACTCGAATCCTCTCCGTCGAGCCCCAATGCGCACCTGGCACCGCGTCCAAGTCACCCTCCAAGGCACCTCCCTCACCATAACCCCCTGCCCGCGCCTCTCCCTCAAGCGCTCCAAGCCCCTGGCACCACCACGCTCCTACTCCCTCCAACACGCCGAGGCTGGCATCGCATCCGACTACCTCAAGCGCCGCTACGTAATCCGCATCCGCGTCGAAGCCGACCAGCTCCTCCTCGCCTCCGACGATGCACCCACCCACATCGCCTGGCTCGAAGCCCTCGCAGCAGCCATCGACCTGGCCCCTGCCCTCGACGAACGCTCCCTCCCTGAAGACGCATCCCTCCCCCGCACCCGCCGTCGCGGGGTACACAACCGCTTCGTCGCCCCTGGCAGCGCCGCCGCCCGCCGCACAGCAGCCGCACGAGCCGCCGTCGCCTCCGCCGAAGCAGCAGTAGCGCCTCCCCCCCGCTACGCCGACGTTCCCGAGGCCCCCGAACCTATCCCCGAACCTGTCTCCGAGCCTGAACTGGAACCCGCACCGATCCCGGACCCCGAACCGGACAACCTTGCGCCCCCGCCCTCAGTCATAGATTCCTCCCCCTCATCTAGAACTTCTACAGACACCCCGACCCTGACAGTCCGCCCCTCCCACCGCCCGCAACCGGACCCCTACAACATCTATCCCGCCACCCTCGCCGCGCGCGGCGCCCGCAACTCGGCCATCACGCGCGACGGGAAGTGGCGCCCCATCCACAACTGGAGTCCGATGTACGACCTCATCTACGCGAAGCGGTGTATGGCGACGCTGTTGAATGGGAGTCCGCGCAAGGGACCGTTTGTGATTATGCAGGGCGAGAGGTGGGTGGTTGATTGGGAGACGGGGAAGTGTGCGAGGTGGGTGCCGAAGGGGGAGGGTAGGGAATGGGGGTTGCCCAGGTATGAGAATTAAAAATTGGTGTGATGATTGTGTATATTTGAGCGAGCCTGTTTGGGATTGGTTTGGTCTAGATGATGGGGTTACTTGACGTTGGATTTGGCATCGAGGCTGTCGAACGATAACATTTTGCATATCCTTTTGCATACCCCCTCTTTTATTTTCACTTTTTGTTTTGTTATGTTGGCGGGACATATAGATACCGGAATGGGCTGGGCTGGGATGGGATGGGATGATTCCAAATTTGAATAACTCACATAACGAGTACTACGGGGCACATTCTCGTGCCAGGTCATGCATAGATTTAGGAGTTTGGGAATTCGAAATTGAACATGAATTTGTATTTGAATTTGAATTTGAATCCTGTGCCATAGTCATTTTTGCATAGGTGATTCTCTGTCGCATCATGGCATCATAGTGCCCGCCTGAACGCCGTTTTGATATACCCCCAGCCCCTCCCAAGCTCCCAGACAACCATATAAACAACGCGGCCGCCATCCTTCCATCCCACACACTACCCCCTCTCAACCCCACTCATCTCACCCCCCGCACTCTCCAAATCCCTCACAATCCCCTCCACCCCCGCAACCAACCCCTCAATCTCATCCCACTGCCCCTTCACCACCTCATACAACTCCGCATTCACACTCTCCAGCGTCTGCTCCTTTGCATTCAACCGTCCCTGCGCCGCCACCAAACTAGGCCCAAGATGCGCCGCCAATAAGTCCGCCGGCGGCAGTAAATGCGGTCTACACAACAACAACATTAGCCCATAATCCCCATCAATCCCCATCAATCCCCATCCACTCCACTCCATCGCAAAACTTACGCAACATTCCCCACCCCCCTCCCCTCCCCCCCCCCGTTCCCTCCTCCCCCTCGCCTCCCCAATCAAAACCTCCAACTCGTTCAACCTACCAAGCACCCCCCGCTCCTCAAGTATAGCCCCAAAATCGGCACGCGCCGCCTCGCGCAGCCGATCGACCATCTGGGCATGCACGGCGCGTAGTGCGTCGGGCGCGAGGGTCGACAGGAGGGGGAAGCAGGCGAGGAAGGTGGGGGCGGGGAGGGCGGAGAGGGTCGAGGAGAGGGCGGCGTCATGGAGGGTTAGGAGGGCGCGGGCGCGGGGCCCGGGTTCGATTGGGGGGACGGCCTGTGGTTCGGAGGGCGAAGGGTCTTGTGCTTCGGTGGGGAGGGAGGGGTCGGTGGCTGCGGTTGGCATTTTGTGGCGCGGCCGAGAGACCTGGTGGATATTGTTGGTCTGGGGGCTGCGATCGTGATTGTTCGGTTTGTGGATAGTGTGTGAGAGAGGTGAAGTCGGCTTGGGAGTTCTGGTGATGGTCAACGTTTCTGGTGATGGTGTTTATGGGCGCGAAACGCGAGGGGCGAGGCTGAGGTTTTGTGGGTTACTAACATGGGGCGGGGAGGTTTGGTGTCAGCCTTGTGGGGGATGTGAGAATTAAGGGATTGAGGTTGACGGGACTACAAATACCAGTCGGTGCTCGCTGGACCTCGAGAAAATATCAAGAACAAAGAAATACGATGAAGAAAATGGACCTGTTTTCTGTCGCTGTAATCAAGATTGGAAAGCAGGCGCAGCTGCCAGCGGGAGCCACGTTTGTTGGTGGTGAGAAGCACCACCAACAAACGTGGCTCACCGTTTCATGATGAGAACTTTTTTTTGGCTAGGATTGTAGGCACTTGTCGTCGATGAGCGTCTAACAAGGCAGGATTCGTTCCTTATTGCATCAATTACACTACAAAACGCAACGGAGAAGACCCGTTTAACTGGAGGCCGTTCTAATTGCCCTTGGCTTCCGCTGACTTTTGAGAGGTTGATCAGCATCCATTCCTCTGCTTGAGGTATCTCGCAGCTATCTTCTGTATCGTAACCATCTTTCCAAAATCATGACTCTCCAACGAGCTGCTCATTATCAAGGTGAATTTGGTATCATGTCTAGTTTCACTCAGTCGACAATGACCAAGCCCGGCTTATTGTCTAATTTATTTTACAACATATTACCCCAGAGGCTATTTTCGCCACTAGCACATAAAATAACACCACGAAACTGTGTGACCTCACCACCGCGCAGAAGTTCATAGCGAGCACCGACGTCGTCGCAAAAGCCAACTTGGAATCTATTTGTCTTGTTGGCGTATGGGTATTCTTGCCGCCATTATATTCTCACCGCTGGTAGTGTTTTGGTACCGGCGAGCATCCTGTCAACGGACTTCCTGTCACATGGTAATCGTTTGTTGGAACTATTCGCGCCGAGACTGTCTCATGTCCGTAGTTCGCCATGCTTGAAGCCGCAGTACCACCATTCTTTCCATTTTTTAGAGGGTTAATGACATGAGAGATTGTGCCGAGCGTGTCCTTTGCTTTGCGATATATCCTTCTCACGAAGGGCTCCTGCCTCTTCTTTCGGGTCCGAATATGGTCCAGTCGATAGATCGCAAGAAAAGGGAAGAACAGAATTTCGAATCATTTCCCCTTATCACGGTCCATTAATCACCCTGCGTTCCTTTTAGACTCTATAAGGCTCGTCACATTTAGCTGTCGATGCGGGTTGCCGGCCACCAATGCGAGCAGCCTTGCTTGTAGGTCTCCAGCAGTATTACGCCTCGGATCTTGCCGGGTTTCAAGGGATTTTTATAATATTATGCTTAATGTCTATTGTGATGATGTTATGGCACAATGTTATACTTTATAAGAAATCATCAAGGACATACGTGGTGGTGATGCTATTCTCACTAGCCAACCATATCACTCGGCGAGGCTGTACCCGTCCTCCGTTCCCGTTGTCCCGCCATCCAACTCACCTCAGACCCCTGTCCAGCTGGTAACCATGGCATCCACAGTGTTCTGTTTTGTACTTCGTCATTGAGACAGTATATCCCTATTCATATCTCACACTTGGCTTCGGCGACGTGGTTTTTCATTCCCTTTCACCAGTTGAGACATCTCGTCTAGTCACTTCGCCATATAAACAAACCCCACGCAAACGATACTCTCACCGCCGCTGCCAAACGAGGCTGGCTGGCCGTCATTTCCTCGGAAAAAGCGAAACTACATATCGTCGTCGCATATCTTGGACCCAGATTTCGGACTCAGATTTCGAAGATTATACTTAAACCTCAAGGCGCATTGAGGTAACTCTCATCCTACCGTCCGCCAGTTGGCGGCACCAGCCCTGCGATGGCGCCAGCTCCGGTCGATGGACTCTCGCCGCCCGGGAGCAGCACATACTCCTCAAATACCCTCTACGTCGGCGATGGAACATGGGACAGCCAGAGGAACACGTTCCTGCTCCCCAATTTGGTGGGACTGAATTTTGAGACGATGCGATATAATGGTAAGCGCATTCTCTTCCTGTGATGCTGACCTACTCCGCGCATTGCTGACGAGGTTTGTTTAGGCATGGGAAACCGTTTTGCATCGCAACCACAATACCATTACCTGATTAGAGCACATGGGATCATTGCGGTGATCGTATTTCTGCTCCTGATTCCGACTTCGATTTTGATGTCTAGGTTTTACGGCAAGATACCAGGACGTGGAGTGAGATTCCACATATACCTCAACATTCTTGCACTATTCCTCTCGACAGTCGTCTTTATTCTCGGATTCATGGCCGTGGGCCCCTCCCGCAGCCTCACAAACCCGCATCATGGACTTGGCGTCGCTATCTACGTCTTAATTCTCTGGCAGACCTTGGTTGGCAATTGGATTCGCAAGAAGTTCAAGAAGAAGATGTACAGGCGCCCTCCCATCAAATTGATGATCCATCAGTGGATGGGCCGAGCGACTGCGATCCTAGGGATTGTTCAGGTCCCGCTTGGTTTGGTACTTTACGGAAGTCCGAAGTGGACGTTCATCCTCTATACGCTGTGGATGACATTCCTCTTGATATTCTACTTCATCGCCCAACACAGGGCGTACGGAGACACACATCACCAACGGGGACATGGAGGACACCTAGAGGGCGGAACGGTTATTGAAGAAAAGAAGAGCGGTGGCTGGGGGAAGTACTTCGCACCTCTCGCAGCAGGCGCTGGCGCTGTCTGGCTCGGAAAAAAGTTCTCAAACAGGCACGACGATGACGATGAAGTGGTTCCATCTCGCCACGGTTCTCGACGCGACTCTCGACGCGACTCTCGACGTGACTCGGGCAGCTACTGTACCGAAGATGAAAAGCCAGACCACAAAGAGGGCGGAGGTCTCTTCAAGAAACTGATGCTCGGTGCGGCTGTAGCAGGCGCTGGCATTTTCGCTAAGAAGAAGTATGACAAGAGGAATGCGCACGACGACGAATATTCCGCTGTGGCTGGTGATACCCCAAGTCGCAGACCCTCCAGACGACATGACCCCATTGGGAGCGATTACACCGAATCTACCATTGAAGTCCGAAGAGCAGATGACCGCCCAGGATATAGCAAGCTTCTCCCTGCTGCCGGTGGCGCCGCATTGGGTGCACTGGGTGTAGCAGCTATTGGTGCTGCTAAACGCCCCAGGACACCACCGCCAGTTAAATCCCCACGGAGAAACCCAAGACGCGATAGCTTTGACACTTATACGTCCATTGCATCCCCATCTCGCGTCAATGAAAGTGGTGGGCATGGAGCTCGAAATGGTATCCTCGCCGGCCTGGGACTCGGTTGGTTGGGCAAGAAATTCAAGGATCGCAAGAACGATCGTGAGCAACAGCGCCTCGACGACATCCGCCGCCAAGAACTTGAGGATGAGAAGCGATTAGAAGCAGAGCGACGATATGGAAACCGCCCGCCGAAGTACACAGGAGATGGACACCGCCCGCCCAGGAGGCATGATTACGATGAAGAGAGTGACCTGAGCTCCGACTTCACAAGCCTCCATCCCCGCAGAACCGGCGACCCCTTGCCCCCATCAAACCTGGGCCCAGGCGGCGCACCACCAATTGTCGCACAAGGCAGCAGGCACGACATCGTTGATCCAGTTCCCATGCCTACCGGCCCACCTCGAGACGGCCACGACCGCTTCGAAGACCCTTATCTACCCCGCCGTCAAAGCTCGCGCTCTCGTCGCGACGCCGAAGCCGCAGCCGCAGCCGCAACCGCGGGTGCCGCCCTAGCAGCCACCGAAGCCGATCGCCGTCGCCACCGAAGCCGTAGCCAAGGCGGTGGATACCGTGACGATGAGAAGGACGGCTCTCGCCCCTCTGCCACAGTCAAGGTGCGCGTCCGTCCCGAGGACGTGACGTTACAACGCCTTACGCGTGAGGAGGCCGCGGAACGCGACGCGCGCAGACGGCGCAGACACTCGCTCTCGGACTCGGAGATCTCGGCGGGGCCTTCGGGCAGATACCGACGAGACGAGAGTGCCAGCCGGGCAGCGGCGGAGCGACGTGCAGAGAGGCGCGCAGAGGCGGACTTGGAGCCTCTAAGCCCACCAAGGCCGGCGTTTGCGAAGGGCAGGGCAAAGGATAGCGCGTATTACTCCGGACCGTCGGGTGGGAGCGGAAGGCCTAGTGGGCCCGAGAGTATAGGGAGTCCGGACAGTGGGCCCGCGTATAGTGGGATGAGTCCGACAGGGACGGGAATGAGTGAAGACCCGGCGGAGAGGCGGAGGAGGAGGAGAGCGGAGAGGAGCAGGGCGGGTAGCCAGGGAGGTCCGCCTGAGTTTACTTGAGGTGGTGGAGAGGGATGTAGGGATGGGCGGCGCATTTATGGTGTTGGAGCGTTTGATTTTGATTTAGGGGGGTTTTGGGACGATGGATAGGATACCCGTCTTCCGATGGTGGGATGGGATATGTACATGTATGAATTGGGATGTGTAATGTGCATATTTACAGCGCGAGGTCGCTGCTGTTAGAAGCATCCACATACATGAGATATGAGAATAGGAAGACGTTCATGTGCTCTGACAAGATTGTGTAGCTCCTTTACTTGTGAGAATAAATTATTCGGGTGTGATACCCTAAGTTCTTCCGCCTAAATCCAACGACTGTACTCCGGTGCAACCTTTGCGCGATATTATCGTGAGGTACGCGGCGCTGTGATAATGTGAGTCTATGGGAAGCAATTTATTGTACTCATACTCATGAGTAAATAAATCCTCGTACTCATACTCATACTCAGATACTCGCGAGTTACTCAAGTAACTCATGAGTATTCCCTAATTAGGATTAGCTTTGCTTAGTCAGCCCAAAATAGAAATAGAAATCTACGGCGGATAAATGGATTTGGGGAGTAGTAGGCCACTTCAGCTGTGATGTGGTGTAGCTTTAGCCTAGAGTAGTTAGTATATAGCGTAATATACGATAATTTGAAGCTGGAGATGTCGTCGTATATAGGTACATATGGTGATCCGCCTGTGATTCTGCCTATAAAAGTGATAATTATAATGCCAGGAAGCCAGAGCCAAGCCTGAGGCCGAAGCCGGAGACAGAGAACGAGGATGATATCGTTGTCGGGTCTTCTTGTCATCCTCGCAAGTATAGTAGAGGACAAAGAAGAAGAGCACCGAATATAGGCTCGGCGTCGTCAGTATCATCATCGCCGTCATATTCAGCAACGCCGGTGCATCTCATTTGAGAGTTTGGACGATCTCCAAGCACAGCAACTACTACTGTAAGCACTCCTCTTCTTTGCCCCTTTTCATTTATAATAACTAATTAACTATGTAAATAGGTTCTGAGATCCAGCAACTTACTATACTCTTTCAGCTCCATAATGTGCCATGGAGCGGTAGAGTACAGCCAGCACCATGGATGGCACTTTGTGTTGTATGTGCCCGGCTTGCATTTCCAGGGCGGTGGGTATCACTTGCTGATATATTCGGCTGCTCTATAGCCTGGTTAAGTACTGTATTTACAGATACAGTACTCTTCCTATATCAGTCTTACTCAAGGATGCTTCAATGGCACCCTCGACTTACATATGAGAAGTTAGAGGAGTTTGCAGTAGCTATTAAGAGAGTAGGGGGCGCAGATGGGGTTTGGGGCTTTGTCGATGGTACTTTTCGGTCTCACCAGCGTCCGCAAGAGCAAGATGCTCAGCGGCTCGTATTCTCAGGCCATAAACGGGCTCATGGAATCAACTACCAAGCAGTAGTAACTCCTGATGGTTTCACTAACAGGCCCGTGGCCTGGTCCTGTAAATGATTGGACGATGTGGTGGCGCTCTGGTGTAGAGGAGCATATACGAGAGGTAAGAGTATTCTATTATTATATTACAATACTAATAACCATCTAGGTTATGCAAGACCATGATCTATTATATCTCTATGGTGATCCTGCATACCAAGCAGGTTATGGTATGGCTTGCCCATGGGCGCACCCACAGGGTAGACACTTTCTTTCAGATGAAAGGAAGGCTTGGAATAGAGCCCTCTCTTCGGTCCAGATTGCTGTAGAACAGGTGTTTGGAGGAGTACAGGTTTCTATGGACATATACAGCATTTGGAAAGGCACTCCGTTCAGGATATCAGCCAGTTGGGGTTTACTATCCTGTTGCAGTTCTATTATCAAATTGCTTTATATGCTTCCGTCACACATCAGCATCTGGATCACAGTTTGTAGTGCCTCCACCATTAATAGAAGAGTATTTATCATTATAAACTATATACATGTATATCTATTATATCCCTTTCTATCCATCTGTACTCTGATGCGTTTGTTCTAATAGATGTAGTATTTGACTCACATCTGCACGTAGTTCTTGGAGTTTTGATTCAACACTCTCGATAGCTTTTGCGTTTGACCGCTCAGCAGCATCAGCGCTTGCTGAAAGCTCAGCAGTCCTTGTGATACTCTGAGCTATTTCAAGGATCGCATCTTTATGAGAGGGTGGAGGGGGGTCTTCAGTGCGCTGTTTCCGCTTTCGTCTTGGTTGAGAAGCTGAAGTTGATGGTGTCGGGGACTCGGAAATATGTAAGGATGCCTTCTCGTCTCTCACTCTAAGGAGCAGACTCTGAGTAGCTGCGGGTCACGTGTGATCATTTGGGCGGGCTAACCGAGTCGGATGGGTTTCGGGTACTTGAGGGAAATGACTCACGAGGTTCCCCCTGGTCACGTGTGATCATTGGGGTGGGCTGTAATGGTGGGTGCACCAGATGTGAGAATCTAGCCACCCAAGGAAGGGATGATTTTACTAAGACAACACACTGTCTTAGGAAACAGAGCCAAAGGGTCGTAGCTTAGACTATTCCACAACGCAGCAATCAGGTGTATGATGTAGTGGAGTGGTTTAGACAAGTTGTAACAAATGTTGAGTCTGAGAACTCAGGGATAAGTCAGAGGTTAGCACCTCACTGACTTTTCAGAAACAAGGAGTAACAAGATCAATGCTTGGAAGCTTGGAAAAGACGTGGAAGTATGTGATAGTCAATTTACTGTATTGTCTGCTTGCCCTTTCTTAAGGAAAGGGCAATCCTATTTATGCTAAAGGAGTGTAGTTCTCTCATTTTCCAAGACTTTCCATGACTAACCAGGCTTGGTAACTGTAGTCGACGTAAGAGAATCCCATAGAACCATCTCCTAGGTTCCTAGCCTATAGGAAGTGAAAGGAGGTCCAAGGTCAGAGTACTCCTATAGACAAATTATGTCATAACTTAACCAATCTTGTGGGTAACTAAAGAGCGATGACGTGTAATGAATCATAGACGGTTGTAGAAGCTTTTGGAGCTATCGTTCATGTTCCTAGGCCTCTAGTTGATAGAGATATGTCATGTGTAGTATTAGCCCAGTAACTAAGGAGTGATGTCATGTAACGAATCATAGAGGGTTGTAGAGATATGCTATGTGGTCATATCGGCCCAGTAACTAAGGAGCAATGACGTGTAATGAATCATAGAGGGTTGTAGCAATCATTGAGTAGTATTGCTCTTGTTGTTGGTGTGACAAGCCAAAATATGTATAGTGACTTGTAGGTTTGAGGAGGAGATTTCTAAGTTTGCTCTTGAGTTTGATAGCAAACTGAGTGCAACGAATGTCAGTATGACACTTGGGTGGCTAGATTCTCACATCTGGTGCACCCACCATTACAGTCAACTCTTGTCACTTCGCCAATCTCTCTTCCTATGCCACTCAATCCACTAAAGATATCAGCTCTCTATGATCAGGTAGCAAGGGCTGGGAATATACATGATGTGATGGCAATTTCAAACTTCCTGAATCCAGAAGAGGAGGTCAAAGTAGAAAAAGATGACGAAGCAGGTCAAGAACAAGTCTTACAAGACTTGATAGCAGAACATTTAGGTGTCTGCCAAACACAAGACGATGATGAAGAAGAGCAGCCTGAAGAGCCTGTCTACTCTATACAAGAAGCTCGAAAGGCTATGCAGGTTCTTATTAAGTTTACTGAAGGTAGTGCTGAGCTCCATACATCTCATTTAAGAGCAATGAGCGTCTAGAGCATGAATTGGAGGCACTGGACCTGAATAGGCGTGCTCAAAGCACTTTGGATACATGGATTATATAAGCTCTAATAATACGATTTATTCGATGGAACGATAATATTTGGTAGCACCAATTCAATCGTCTTAAAGAGGTTATACTGTATTTGGAGCTTCGCTTGTGCTCACCCTGATCTCATGCTACTCGAGTACCTCACGCCCACTATTCCAGAACACAGTTAGGGTTAGGTTGGGGTTTTACCCATTGGCAAGGCACAGCTTATGTACATCATGCGTGTCGCTCGTCGCTTGTCGCTTGTCGCTTCCAAGCATTCTGACACGTCACAGATCTCGTTGCAGCTTGTTTGGCTGAACCGGCGGCAGCACGCACTAGACGGACAGCCCATCCCCTACACCAGAAGCATACCGCTGTTTGCTCGTACTATGGCGCCTTGGACGAACAGTTCAAAGCCGAGCTCGGTAGTCAGAAACCGCCGACGTCCCCGCTCGGTGAAGCCTCGTCTACCATTGCCCCACACGCACCGGCCACCGGGAGGCGCGGCAGGATCAGGGGTGCCTGATCCTGCCGCGCCTCCGCCCAGCTTATCAACATACGACCAGGTGAAGATAAACTATTCGAGTACCGTCGATACGTACAAGAAGATTCTGTCCGCCTGACTGAGCCAAAAAAAAAAAATGCAGACCCTGCGGACTCCTTACACTCTGCAGACCTCGCATCGCAGCAGAACGCGATCGAACAGGACCCAGACAAACGATGGAAGCAGATGTGCCAGCTCGTCCAAGATGGCCTGCATAGGACATAGGAGGACACCAACGTGAAGCAAGGCATGAAAGACGGCATCCAGGCCACCACGGCCGTGAAGGAGGTCATGGCCAGGGCCGCGGCAGAAGCGGCCGTACAGAGCGAATCAGCGCAGTACAACACGCTCTCGATTAGGACTCCCTTGGCTCTATTGCTGAGACAGCCAAGTCGCAGAATGCCAAGCTTCACAGCATCAGCTCAGCTATTTGCGAGCAGGCTAGGCAGCGAGAGAGGATGCACAAGACCCGTGCGGACAACAAGTGCCTGGCGGATCTGTGCAGAACTGATCCTCGCCACGACAAAACACGTATCGAAGAGACCAAGGGCGGCCTACTCAAGGACTTGTACCGCTGGATCCTCGAACACCCAGACTTCCAATGTTGGCGCAATGACCCGCAGAGCCGGCTGTTGTGGGCAGGGGCAAGACGATGCTGCTTTGTGGAATCATCGACGAGCTGCAGAAGTCAATGGGCCAGACTGGCCTTTTGTCTTATTTATTCTGCCAGGCCACCGACTCGCGCATTAACAGCGCTACAGCCGTACTGCGAGGCTTGGTGTTCTTGCTTGTCGACCAGCAGCTATCACTGATCTCGCATGTGCAGAGGAAGTACGGACACGCAGGCAAAACGCTCTTTGAAGATGCCAATGCCTGGTTTGCCCTGTCAGAGATTTTTACAAACATATTGAATGATCCGAGTTTGCGCCTTACGTATTTGATTGTTGATGCGCGATGAGTGCATAATAGACTTGCCGAAGCTGCTGGACTTCGTCGCCCAGAAATCGTCTATGTCTCCAGCCGCAACTGGCCTAGCATCGAGGAACGTCTAGGGAGGGCAGGACATAAGGTGAGGCTGTGCCTCGAGCTTAACGCACAGTCTGTTTCTACGGCTGTCAGCATATATATCCGGCAACATAGAATCAATACGGGAGACTATAAGCCTCTGCGATTCGTTTCTTACCCTGCGAGAAAACACTGTCTACTTTGTGCATCAGTGAGCAAAGGAATTTCTGCTGGCTGGGGCATCTAGTACAGTTTTTCCGTCTGGGAAGGAAGAGGCACACTACTTCTCTTCTCGAGATCTCTCTAGGCCATTCCAGGACACTACGACGAGAAGTCTACGGCTTACGTGCGTTGGGATATCCTACCGAGCGGGTTGAGCAGCCGGACCCAGAGCCATTAGCAGCGTCACGTTACTCGTGTATTTACTGGGTTGATCACCTCAGTGATTGGAATCCCGACTCTTCTGTAAATCATAAGATCGCCCTGCAGGGTGGAGGCGTTGTCGACACATTCATAAGAAAGAAATACCTTTACTAGCTCGAAGCTCTTAGTCTTTTCAAGAGTATGTCAGACGGGGTGTTTTCAATGGCGAAACTCGAGGTTTTAATACAGGTAATCTTTGAATCAGCGATACTATGTATGGTTGACTCATGCTAACATGACATAGGGAAGACCAGATACATCCGTATTACTCGAGCTAGTTCGAGATACCCTGCCTGCAGACGCTCGAGATTGGCAAGCCTCTCATCAACATCTCATTCGATCTCACCGGCTGGTATCTTCACACCGACAGTGGTACAATGGCTCTTTGGGCATCATCGTCGTCATTGTCAAATCGAGCGAGTGTTGCAGATCCACGAAGTCCCCAATACTCTGGCTGGGCTTTAGGTGCAGACGGAGAGTGGATTACATATAATTCAGAAAACTGGGTGTGGCTACCTTCCGAGTACCGACCATCATGCTCGCCTTTGTCGGGGAATGCAATCGGCGTCGGCACTAGAAGTAGAAAGGTATGGATGTGCAGCTTCACAGTCGACAACATTTAATATTTAGAGAGCGTTGCGTTACGTTAAGAATATGGTCAATTAAATAGACAGATTGCCACGCTGACAAGGACACCGTCCTAGAGGAATACACTTAATGCAGCTCCTGCGTGTTGGATGAACATGATATTTGACGTGATACGCAACAGATGAGGACACCAAGGACAAGGTAAGTCTATAAATAAAAAGACAAAAACATAAACGCATCTGACCAATCATCCACACAAACGCAGCCGCCGAGTCTTTCGCCGCTCCCAATAATGTCATCTCTCCTTCCCCTTTCATAAAATCGATAGTACACTATTCTTATCCTTAAGCCATGGCCTCGGCACCACTAGTGGCAATAGCGTCCGCCCTGACCGCCAGGGGTCCACAGTCCAGACGACGCTGTGATGCAGCCTCGAGCGGTCGGCGTCGTGTGTAATTTCCTTATCTGCACACCACCGCGGTGGTGCTTCTCCGCCCTAAACACATCAACACAACAACACAACAACACAACAACACAACAACACAACATCACAACATCACAACATCACAACATCACAACATCATGTCAGCATCAGCGTGTGCAGATGAGGAAGTGGTCAGCTCACCTTGAGAAGGCTTCATCAGTCCATGCGGGACCGCCACTGCATCAGGGGCCGAGGGTGCCTCGCGGTTTGGGTGGTGTCTGACGTTGAGCCGTGCGGTGCAGATGGGGCTAGGGGGGACGTGGACAGGCCCACTTGAGCTCCGTTAATCAATATATTTGTTTGGCGATGGGTGAGGGGGATTTCGTCCCTCGCCACAGCCTTTGGCCTCTATACTCTCTTTAACTATCGTCACTCGTTTGAAAACGTCGTATCTATCCTAGTCTTACGGAGTAGATTACCTGTTCGTTTCGAACCCCCCCCACGCCGCGTTTCGCGCAAACACTCGTTCCAAGACATTTCGCGACGATCACTTGTTCCAGACCACGAATCGTCGACCCAAACACCACCTCGAAACAAAAGAAACCCGAAAAAGCTATCCGGAGCTCCTGATAAGCTCAGGCTCAGTCCGGCCTCACGGCCACAAAACACATCTCTTCCTCTCTGCCACAGAGGAAGACGACACCGTACTCGCGCATCTCACCCACGGCACCGTGTCGTGCACCGCACCCAGATGCCCTCTCCAAAACCATAGGCGGACCACGACATGCCCACGCGCCCTGCGCTCCTAAGCATGCCCTCGCCATCCCTCCTTCCCCCACGCAGGCGGCACGCCTACCTCCTGCGCTCTCTCACCTCCCTGGTCTTGCTCACGGTGTGCTTAACATTCACGCTCGCGCTTGCGGCGAGGCCGCCGACGATACCGGATACGCTTGTCCCGCCTGCTGACTGGGATTTGGCTTCCTACTCCGGTGACCTCCTGAAAAGGGGGTATGTTGACCTCGAACTACGGAAGGAGGATGAGAAGGATAAGGATGAATCCACCGCGACTTCTGCACCCTCCAAGAGCTCCAGCACCATCTCCGGTACGCCCAGCGTAGCAACCGCCACGCCAACAAACACAGCTGTAGAACTCCCAAAGCCATTCGACAGCAACATCGGCGCCAACTTCGCATCAGAAGAATGTGCCGTCTTCATCGCCAGTTTCCTCGCCAACCCCGAATTCCAAGCCTGCTACGCCGTCTCCCTTCTTCTCGAGGTACTTTTCCGCCGCCCCCCCCCCAACATCAAGCAAGGATAACAAGCTAACAAGTGTCATAAAGTCCTCCCAAGCCTTCTTCCAAACGCTCCGCTCCCCCTTCCTCACCACCGCCTTCCTCGACCACTCCTGCGCCGCCCCTGCATCATGCGCACCCTACCTCTCCTCCCTCGCCTCCTCCCTAAACAGCACCTGCCGCCTCGACCTCTCCGGCTCCAACCCCACCGCCACCATGGCCCTAACCGGGCTCCTCGCCTACCCCTCCCTGCGGACCGCAACCTGCTTAAAATCCTCAACCGGATCCTACTGTTTCGCCGACGCGATCACAAATTCTACGTCTGATGAGGACGCGTATGTGTATTACCTGGGGGTGGGGAATCAGTTACCGGCTACCACGAGCATGACGTGTAATCAGTGTTTGAGGGATGTGGTGGGGGTGTTTGGGGCGGCGGCGGCGAATAGGACGAGTCCGGTGGCGCGGGTGTATGCGGAGGGGGCGCGGGTGGTTAATGGGGTGTGTGGGAAGGGGTGGGTTAATGAGACGGTGCCTATGGCGTTGACGGGCGCGGCGGCCTCACCCCGAGGGTTTGGGGGTGTGGTTGTTGCGGTGATGGTGGGGGTGATGATGGTGGTGATGTGAGGGTTTGGTTGGAATACAGGTGATATTAGAATGGGATGGGTTTTATTATATATATTCTGGCGGGCGTTTTTTGGGTTAACAGCCGGGCGCTGGGGTGGGTTTTGGGTTCAGCGGGAGTATATCGGCGTTGTGTTTCATATTTTTCCGTCTGATAATTCTTGGGGAACGCGGAAAGAAAAGAGAATTTAGAAACAATGGGTCTGCATGTGGACAGGGGGAGTGGAAACAAAAAGGGGGGGTTGGGCGGCTTGTTTCTGCCTTTGAAGCCTTTATAGTCGCCGTCTTTTTATCTCTACTCCGATACTTAATCGGAACCGACCCTATTGCATAGGGTCGGGGTAAGTAAAGAGCATTCGCCGCTGCGCTCACCGCCACTTCGTATAGTATCCCCATCCATAGCCTCAACATATGTATAACTTTTAATTTATATCCTACAACTATGTAATTGAAATGGAAGACCCTATTCTATCCGATGCTCGTGAATGGCTTGCGGCAAACCCATCTGAATCCGTTGCCGCCGCAAGCCGGATTTTCAAAGTATCAAAAACGCTTCAATCATCAATTCCTCATAGTAAGCTCCTTACAATTGCTTAAACGAAGGCCCTTAAAGAGTGGATAACTACGCAATATAATCAAGGGCTTGGAGCTACGAGGCAGATGACATTTGCTACCGTTTGCCATATTCGACGGCCAAAACCACCGCCTTCATATAGTTGGCTTATGAAATTCATTAAGAATGACCTTCCTAATTTTCAAAGAAGCCTATTGCTCTACAGCGTGTTCAAGCTCAAGATGAGAGCGTTCTTCAAAAGTGGTTTCGTAATTATAACGATTTTATTACAACTCGGAATATAGGAGTGGATTCTATATGGAACATGGACGAGACTGGCTTTCAAGTTGGAATTCTAGGAGGCAAAAAAGTAATAGTTCTGCACAGAGTTACAGAGCTATATATAGGAAGTCCTGAGAATCGAGCTTTAATTGCGGTAATCGAAGCTGTGTCTGCAAGCGGAAGAGTTACTCCACCCATACTCATTATTCAGGGCAAAAAGTCCACATGAACTCATGGTACCATCCAAGTCTTATTGGCACGGAACGGATTCTATTATCAGAATCAGGATATACGAACGACCAATTTGCTATGTGTGGCTTGATCACTTCATTTTCACACGCATAGCACTCCTACTTCCGACGTTAAGCTACTACTATTAGACTCTCATAGTAGTCACCGAACGCCAGAGTTCACGATATATGCAGCAGAGCATAATATTATCACCTACGCCTTCCCTTCGCATCTTACCCATATTCTATAGCCATTAGATGTTGGGATTTTTCAGCCTTATAAGCATTGGCAGCGCGAAGCAGTCCATTCTGCAATACGGAACCTTGATCTTGAGTATAATATACACTCGTTTATGAGAGATCTCTCTACGATACCAGAGAAGACTTTTAAAGAGCTTACTATTGTTCACGCATTTTAAAAGGCAGGAGTATGGCCTATTAATTATGAGAATGCACTCACGAAGCTACAGAAATACTCAAAGCCAGCTCCTACTTTACCATCTATTATACCAGCCTCTTTTCAAGATTTCGAGGAGCAACTACAGCATTGGAAAGCGACGCTTCCAGTTCTACTTAGTAGCCCCTCTCGACAGCGTTATAATAATTGGGTTATTGGCATAGAAATAGTATTAGCCCACGGACAACTTCAAGAGATTAACGTCTCAATTCTACAACGGCAGGTTAACGACTATAAAAATAGGGGGCGTAGTAGCTGCGTACGCCTACAAATTGGAGGAGATCTTACTGTAGAGGATGCCCGAGCTTAACAGGCTAAAAAGGCAGAGCGAGCAGCAGAGAAAGAGGCTACTAACCAGGCCGCAAGCAGCTCTATAGGGCAGGAGTTGAAGCCCGGAAGCAAGAGCGCCTCCGGAAGAAGAGGGTAAAAGCCTGTCAAAAAGCTGGCAATCCAATTTCTATAGAGGACCAAGACCCAATTCCGGATCCAATTCAGGAAGAGAGCGAAAGTGAGAGTGGAGTGGGAGTGGGAGCGAGCACGAATTTGAGTGGCATGGATATGAGAATTACGAGTAGTTGTTCAATTGCGAACGCCGTTTGCTTCCGTGTACGCTCTTTGCTTACCCCGACCCTATGAAATAGGGTCGGTTCCGACGATTATCTTTTTATCACTGTGACTCGGAGTTTTTTCGGTGGTATCTATCTTAAAAGCGTATGACCCTCATGAAAGGATTATTAATAGCTTCACTTTTCGGGATTGCAGGACTGCAGACACCAACGACGTCCACTCGATTTTCCCGAGGTTTATCACCCTATCTACAATTCAGTTCTATATATCCTCGTAGGTAATCTAGATCACACAAGTGAAGTGCCATGAATGTCTCCAATCTGGTCCGTCCACTCCTTTGGTGTGAATACTTTTACGTTAATCCCATGGGGATGTACCCCTCGAGGTGGCGAGTAGAGAGGGTGCGTATAGTGCAATTTTCGGAACTCGGGGAGCTCGTATAGTGCGATGAAAATAAGGTCTGAACAGGTTGGAGAAAGAGAGTTAGGAGGGAGGTAAAAATCTTAAGTCCATCTACTCATTTTGAAGTGCATCCACGTCCGGAGTTAAGGACGGAGAAGTTAGGAGGCATCCGAATGAGTGAGAGTGGCTGGGATGGAAAGAACGACTACAACTGGGCCATCGTTCCTTCTTATACTGTCGTTCCTTCCTACTGGCAATGGTTCTTTCTCGTGCAGTCATTTCTTCCCATGACAATCGTTCCTTCCCTATGAAGTTATTTCTTCGCAGGGCAGGTCGTCCTTTCCCCTCCAATTGCCAGCCACTCCCATTTATTCTCATACCGCCACACCTAAATTCTCACGTAAATATCACCGAGGAGTTCCATACCACTTCTGAGAAACTTGTTACAAGAACCTCCTTCCTCCCTTCCTTCTCTTTCTATCTCTCCCCTTCTTCCCCCACTCTACCCCTCCCTCGATCGCTCCTTCCCCGACGGGGAAACCAAAATATAACCCAACCCCAGGCACCAACCCCCCCCACCTCACACCCCCTCCCCACCTCACCCACCCCCTTCCCATACCCCCCCTATGCCTTAACCCCCCAAGCCCCCTCCCTCTCATACATACAAATAACCTCCACCTTCTCGCCACTCCTACTCCTCCCATCAAAGCGATATCCCACCCACTCCCTGACCAGTCGTCTCGCGAGCTCGACGCCGATGACGCGCTGCCCCATACACAGGACCTGCGCGTTGTTGGAGAGCACGGCGCGCTCGACGCTGAAGCTGTCGTGGGCGGTGACGGCGCGGATGCCGGGGACTTTGTTGGCGGCGATGGCGACGCCGAGGCCGGTGCCGCAGATGAGGATGGCGCGGTCTGCATCGCCTGCTGCGATCTGGGGGAGGTTAGCGGAGGATAGGGAGAACGGGATTTGTGGTGTGGATGGTTGGGAGGCGAGGATGAGGGGAGAGTGCAGGATGAGGGGAGAGTGCAGGATGAGGGGGTGGCACGAGACGAACCTTTCTAGCGGCTGCTACGGCGTAGTGCGGGTAGGCGGTGGTATCGGAGACGGAGTAGGGCCCGACGTCTGTGACGATGGAGACGCGCGGGTCGTCCTCGAGGTCTTGGAAGATGGCGGCTTTGTAGGCGAAGCCTGCTTCGTCGCCGCCGAGGACAATGCGGAGGGGAGCGGCGGGGGGTGTGATTGTTTTGACGACCATGTTGGCGGTTTATTAGAGGTATGAGTAAGGTAGGGGGGGTGGTGTGGTATCGTTTGGGTAGGGTAGGGTGGTAGGTGAGAGTGGCTTGAGAAAGGGGGTTGACACTGGTCAGAGGATGCAGAAGAAATGCAGTGAGAGACGGGGGAAGTGTGAGAGTTTATATTCCCTCACACCTCCCCCCGGCACTTCGTCTTCCATCCGGACGACAATCAAAGACGCAAGAAGGCACAAGACAATGGAATACGGGCGCGTGCGTCAAGGAATGCCACGGCGCGGTGCGAGGAAACGGATGCGACGATCTCACTCACTAGGCTGTTCCCGCAACCTGGGTAGGTAACTGGCAGCGCACTGAGTGGCGCGCCCCCCTCCCTTTCCGGGACGCAGGCTACCAGGGTGTCTATCGCCTGCTCCTGCCGTATCCCGGTAACTGGACTTACCTTGCTGCATGAGTAGCAGGCATCCGCCTACCTATCGCAGGACCCGGGCTTGCTTGTTTGCAGGCGGTCTGGGAAGGGGGACCCGTGAGGCGCGGGCGGGGGACAAGAGAGTGATACGGATGTGTGGAACCAAGGGACGAGGCACGTATGCCGTGTGCCGGAGGATCTGGATTCTCGGCAGTGCGTCGCTTCTCAGATCTAAGGTGAAGTCAGAGGATCGGATGGTGTGCTAGGTCCCGGAGGCAGTCCCGGACGCGGACGCAGGTAAACGGTACATCAGGCGGCGTGATGGAGCTGAGTGGTGGCAGGTGGGTGTACAGATGAGCAAATCGTGCGTCTTTTGCAACCGGGGAATGGGCTCCAGAGGTGAAATCAGAACGGGCTTTGGGATGGGGCCAGGATGGGCATGTCAGGGGCGGCGCAAGGCGAGCTCTAGCGCGGCGGGCAGGTGGGCTCCCGACCTCCCCGGGCAGTGGCGGCGGGAAGCTGCTGTAGCTCGCCGGGCCGCGACAACAGCGGTGTTGTTAAGGGGGGATAGGAGGATGAGATTGGGGGAGGGATATACGTAAATATAGGACGGTGTAGGGCCGTGTAGGTGCCTAGGCGTTCCGATGCTGGTGATGGTGGCGACGCCGCTCGGGAGAGGTGGATGGCACGGGTAGGTGAGCGGCCAATTGGAAATGAAGAATGGATGGATTGATGTGCAATATGAGAATTGATAGGAGACACGAAGGGAACTTGAAGGAAAATGGGATCTCTGGTTGGACCCTTCGATAGAATATGCATGTTTCATATGCACGGCACGCCACCAGCATTCGTACATTTTCTTCGGATCGATTGAGGCGTCTAGGGGCTTGCGTAGATGACGATTGACATTTCCCATGACTGAGATAGCAAACACTTTCGGATGGGGGATCCGGAGGAAGTTCCGATACCGCGAACGAAACGGTTATTCGGCATCGACATCGACATCGACATCGGCATCGACACCAAGATCGACCCTATCATCATGACTGCCAGCCATCCATGATCATCCCACCATCTTCCGTTCTCTGAGAGAATTGTGCAAATTGGGCAACACAGACATGGTAGAGAGAGACAGGGTAGAGAGAGCTAATCTTGCCTGATCATGCAGTTATCCCCGTAGGACATACAGCGGCTGACAGATCGATCGTGGTGTCTCCTTACACAACGTAGGCCACACTCGCGTCGCGGTACACAGCGCTGTGATTGAGAAAAGGGAGAAGAAAAAAGGCTGCAAACTAGAGAAAAATGTGATGAGGAATTTTAGGAAATGGCGCGGGAACGAGGCTTTCCCTAAATTCCCCCATCTGTCAAATTCTCCTCTCCCAATCGATGCTTCCCCCCGTTTATTTCCCCATTCTTCGGTCCCCTCCCTTGCGACGGTGTCATATTTGCCTGTCTCCCTATCATTCTGTCACAGGGCAGGTCGTCCCAGGCGACAGAAATTTTCTGCAGGGAGAGCTGTCATACTCGGGATATAGAGATTTCATTTCCCCCTGTAATCCCAGCCGCCTGCCAAGCTGCAGATCTGGTACAATGGCTACAATGACCACAAAGGCCACAGGTAGAACTGTGTCGCGGTCAGCAGATACATGATGCAGATAATGCTTGTATGCCCTTGCCACAGATCTTGGGAATCCTACATGGCACGAGATTGCACCATGCTGCTGTCACCTTTTTCGCAAACTTTTCCTCTCACTTTTTGCTCCTTTTCTCGCAGGAGCCACTCTAAGATAGGTGGCCCAAGTTATCCATTCTTTGCGTCTGGTATAGCCTGAGTATACTCCCCGGAGGACTTGTGGAGTAGTGATACTACCAGAAGGTTATGGATGCCAGAATTTACCTGTGTGGCGGTGTTGACGGTGAGGTCGTGATGACCTTGATTGTTACTCTCCATAAGGTGGATTCAGACCATGGTGTTAAGAATCAGTATCTTGTAAAGTGGTGCTGAACCACACTCGCAAACTTCAATTGAATCAAGGGGTTCGTTATACCTCCACTTCTGGCTTTTGGTGAATTCTGACTTGATGTCAGGAGGAATGAATCCGACTTGGTCAGTATCATCCCAAGAACAAGCGCTTCCATCTAATACCTACTCCAAAAAGAGTGAATACCTACCTGCCCTGCAAATTCAAGTGGATTTCTTTCCTCATATCACCCAGTACAAAACCATCTTCCAAGACGAAACCTACCCTTCGTTTCTTCCTCCTCCACCATCAACAATCTACCTGTAGATTGCTACCACACACACCTTCCATCAACCAGTCCATCACCTACTCACCCCAAACAATCACTCAGGCAAATCAATCACTGCTAGCCATGATGGATCCAGCAGTTAAAACCCCAGACCTCAAGGCCCAAGAACCTACCCACCTACGAATCCCAAACCGAGGATGCCTCCAAACCAGCAGCCACAGCCTCAAAGGTCACAGAAACCCCCACCGGACAAACCACGACCAGAGAATCGTCGATCTCAAAGACCTCATCCTCAGCAATCACCCCCGAGGCCCCGGCAGCGAAAGTCCAAGCCAAAGCCCAAGTCCAAGACGAAGCCTAAGCCCAAGCAGGCCAAGAGAGCAGCGTCCCAGACCTCTTCAGCCTCGCAGGAAAAATCATCATTGTCACCAGAGCAGCCTGTGGCATCGGCCTCACCATGTCAGAGTCGCTCATCGAGTGTGGAGCCATCGGTGAGTCTCCCCTCCCTCCCGGCACGCCACAAACTCAACTAACATACCCCAGTTCATGCGCTCGACCTCCTCCCCGGCCCCAGCCCTGAGTTCGACCGTCTGGCCGCCTCCCTCCCCAAGGGAACACCGACCTATCACCCCATCGACGTTCTCGACATCCCCGCGCTGGACACTCTCGTCGCCAGCATCGCCCAGACACACTCCGGGAGCCATGGCCTCATCGCCGCAGCCAGGATCCAGCACTAAGCGCCCGCGATGACCTACTCCGCCGAGACATGTAACCGCGTCCTGGCTGTGAACATCACCGGCGTGATGTGCTCCGCGTAGGCCGTCGCGCGCGCCATGCTGACACACGGCACGCCGGGTTCGATCGCTCTGATCGCCTCGATGAGTGAAACGATCGCGAACCGTGGGTTACCCTGCGCGGCATACAATGCGTCGAAGGCTGGGGTGCAACAGCTGGGGCGTAGTTTGGCGGCAGAGTTGGGGAAGGAGGGGATCAGGGTTAATACGATTAGCCCTGGTTATGTGGTGACGCAGATGGTGGAGGAGCTTTTTGAGAAGATTCCGGAGCGGAGAGATGGGTGGGCGGGGAAGAACATGCTTGGGAGGTTGGGGAAGCCGGGTGATTTGGGCGGAGAGGGGGGTGTTTCTTATGGCGAGCTGCAGTGGGTGGATGACAGGAGGGAATTTGAGGATCGATGGGGGGCATACTGCTTGGTAGGGGGTTGGATATTAGAGCCGTCTTGGAGGTACTTTGAGGAAGATTTTGTGGTGAATTGCGTTGATTTCACATGCTGAGGGCTTGTCTTGTGCCTGGATATATAATTACACAGACAGCCTTCATTCTGGACACACTCCACTCAATGAGAACTATTTACATATACGTCATTCTGCACTAGCTTTAAAAATACTAATAAACGGCGAAATATAAAACAGGAAGATATTGTACTATCTTTTTTATTTGTTTCTTGTATAGTCTCTAGCTTGTGAATGTGGTCAGGGTCAAAGAACGGCCCGGTGACGACTGTGTCAATCAGATTTAATGCCATGAGAGAATGGCCGGTCACAAGTTGGACCACCATGTTACAGATTATTTCCCCGCACATCCACTTAATCCGGGGCTAACCCGCATAAATCTCCGCAGTATGTTGCCCCTTTCACATTGTGCACATTTCTCACCTTGAACCTATGTAGATCGTGATTGACTTTCCCTGTCGCTGGGGGTGGTTTGGATATCTATAAATGAGGCCGATGGCGACCACTTTCCGTGTCTCTTCATTCTGTACGCCGTGCTTGAGATCAAATAATTATCGACATGCATTCAAATTTGTTTCCGGCAACCCAACCGGCGAGCCTGCTCCTCGCGGCCATCTCCTTCCTCCCCATCGCAGCCGCAAAGACCGCCGCAGAATGGCGTGAACTATACATTTACCAGGTCCTGACTGACCGATTTGCAACGACCGATGGCTCTTCCCCAAGTTGTGGGATCACTGACTACTGCGGTGGTACGTGGAAGGGGCTAGAGAATAAGCTTGATTACATCCAAGGAATGGGGTTTGAGGCAGTTTGGATTTCTCCAGTGTAACGTCTCTTGTATCCGCCCAAATAGCAGTTGACTAACACTGTATTAGCGTTCATAACATCGACGGGAGTACTCCTGCCGGCTATGCGTATCATGGATGTGCGTTCTACTTCTAACCCGCACTCTCTATCCACGAAGTTATTCTAACGTTCAAGATGGATTGGGCTGATAATCATTACACGCTCAGGGACCACTTCGGCACTACAGATGACCTTAAGAGCCTTGGAATGCTCTCGATGGGCCGCGGCATGTCACTGATGGTCGACGTTGTAATCAATCACTTCGGAGCAAATCAGGAGTCAGGCTCTGTAGACTACAGTGCATACCCTTCGCCGTTCAATGCCGCGTCAGCGTTCCATCCACCTTGTACGATTGACTACACGAGCCAATCGTCCATCAAGAATTGCTGGGTTGTGACTACGCCTACCTGATGTCAATTCCGAAGACGCATCCATCTTCGGAGCTCTAGTTGATAGTGTCATTGACCTTGTCAGCAACTATAGCATCGACGGCATCCGTCTTGATACAGTCAAGCACGTACCAAAAGAATACCTTACTCAGTTCCAGGAGGCCGTTGGTGTCTTTGTGACAGGAGAGGCCTTGGATGGGGACCCCGCATACGTCCCGGGATATCAAGGCCCACTCAATAGCGCAATCAATTACCCGCTCTAGTACGATCTCATCAGATCCTTTATGGGCGGAAGCTTCGATGGTCTCGCAGCAATGATTAGCACTGAAGCATCATCCTTCTCCAACGTTAATGTCCTGACGAACTTCCTCAATAACCACGACCAGCCGCGCATTGCAAGCCAGTCCAGCGACGATGAGGTCAGAGACAAAAACGCAGTGACATTCCTGATGTTCACTTCTGGAATTCCGATGGTCTACTACGGCTTTGAGCAGCGATTCACCAGTGCAGTTGACCCAAACAACCTCGAAACGCTCTGGACTAGCGGTTACAACACTGACACGACACTGTACAAGTACATTGCACAACTACACGAGATCAAGAAGCCTCGAATGTTACTGATAAGGCTACCTATTTCTCGTCTAATGTAGCAGTCCTTGGCACTTCAAACGAATACATGGCCCTGCAGCGTGGACCCGTCGTGGCGGTGGTGTCAAATGTCGGTGCCGCGGGCACCAGCGACAGCTTCAGCGTCACAGGGTCGCAGTTTTCTTCTGGAGACATAGTTGTTGATCTCCTGGACTGCGCTACGGCGACGGTTGGCGGCTCCGGCGCGTTTACAAACGCAGAACAATGGCAGCTTATGTCCTTAAAGCTTACACCATTGAAGAGAGTTTGGAGATGGCCCTTGTATTTACCATAGTTTGTATATATATTGAGGAGCTTCAAACTATTTGATCAAATAAGATCTAGGTCAGATCGTTGGCGGCTCATCTCATCAGCATTACGAGAAAATTTTGAGCCTCCGGTGGTATTGTAAGCACGATATAGGCTAGAACACTTAGACAGAAATATATAAATGGCGAATTTTCTAGCATTTGCTCTTATAACAGACTCTCAGGAACCAGCTTCCCCCCGAGGCAAGCGTGCAGCCACCGAGCTGGCTTCCCGCTTGCTTGAGGAGGGGGAGGGAGGGGGGACTGGTTCCTAAGGCTCCAGCCACTTCCATAAGCGTCCGGATGAACTATATGTATCAGTTCAAGCGGCTACCCTTTAATTCCAAAGGTCCGATGGTGTAGTGGTAAGACACCGCTTCTCAACTTCCGATTTTGGGCCTCCGGCACTCAAACCCCTTGGATACTTGCGGGTTTGCGGATGAGAATCAGCGGAGATCTCCAGTTCGATCCTGGATCAGACCATTATTTTTTGGGCTTTTTTTTACATTTTTTGGACCGCTTTTTGGAAGTTGGTGGGGGGACATCGGCGTGCAATGTATTATCTTGGAGTTGAACCCGCGTGCCAAATGCACTCTTATAAAAAGAGCATAACGCTCTAGCTTAGCCACGCCCAATGACTTCAAGCTGGACTCGAGTTGCAAGAGTGCCGCATAAATATTAAGTATATGTAGTGATTATGTGCAAGGGATAGAGCTTTCATCTACCATATGATGATGGTGGTCTATTTTCAAACATAGCAATGGAGACATCTTCTGTGCATCGCCAAGGGTTGTTGTGTACTAGCAGTCACATATATAGCATTAGGGATAACTCAGTAGCGTCAATAAATTTATATCCTCTAAGGGGCCAATATTTATAATTTCTAGTATCTACACAGATATAGTAACCGTGAACACGCCACGGTATCCTTTGTGCGAGGCTTCCTTGTAGTTGGGAGTCTACGCACGTCTAAGGCACCCTTGATCCTCCGTCGGCTGCCATATTACGCTCCGGTAGTTGAGTTGCTCGTTCCATTGCCTGGCGAGCTGCCTGAGATGGCAATATTAGAGCAGGTGAGGTATACCTGCCCTGTCTGGAAAGAGTTCCAACGTAGAGAGAGGAGGGTGTGCTCGGAGCTATAGTCGGGGATCTTGATCTTCTTAGGTACGGTATAGCCACCTGCAATCGACGTATAGCACGAGTTGAGTGCCACGTTATCGACACCCTTGCAATTGGTCTGGTCGCCGGCACTGAAGCCGTTTCATGTAAACCAGTCGTTGCGGTAGCAGGCCTCCCCGGACGCACAATCGGGGTTGTACCCGCAGTCCTGCCCCGAGACATCAGTGCAATCCAGTGTACCAGCCTGGAAGCAGACCTCTGCGGCCTGCTTCTCTTCGTGGGTAGGTAGGTAGCTTGCATCTAGGAACTTGTCGACAATGGTCTGGTCTTGGCAGATGCGGTAACTGAACATGCCACCATGATCCCCGTTGGCGTCTACGCACCACTGCACATTGACGATGTCGCCCGGCGCATAAGTCGCGACGGGAGACTTGCCCTAGTTGTCAGATGGCTGGTTGTAGTCGAACTAACGCGGGCATTATAGCCACAGGGCCCGCTCCTTCCGACTGAGGCAGTGGTGAGATCAGGCCAGGCTGATACAGGCTCGAGGATGGTACACTCCGTATATGAATCTAAGTTGGCCTAGTATGGAGATCAGCTAACAATTTACTTTTGGCACGTCCAGCAACTCATATCGAGGAGTGGTATAGTAGGCACCTCGTGGCCAAGGCCAGTACGACTTTCGGGGACAACGAGGTAGCCATGTCCGTAGACAGATGTAGCTAGGCTGAGGGCAGTTAACGTGATGAATGCCACCATATCTGCTTTTCGATGGATGGATTTGCGAGTTTGTGTTGTTGTTGAGAAGCTTCTCTCACGCTTCTCTCACTTTCGCTGGCTTTGTTCAGTGGTGAGCTGTGACAGGTCTTTGGTCTTTGTCTGCTTGGAGATTTCTGGAAGAGCCTGGAACAATACAATCATGCATATAACAGTAGCTCTTCTCCTGAAATACGATAGTTAGACCATCCAGAAAACACATTCTTTGCAACTGTTTGGACAAGGTGTGTCAGGTGAGAAAAATCCTGACTATGGGCTGGGTTGACATATGTGGGATTGTTTCTCTCTTTATAACTATCTCAACCACCTTCAAACATATTTGATCGGCGTCGTCCATTTCTTCCTCTCATAAATTTGCAACGATAGACCGCTGCCAGTGCAAACTCGCAAACCCATCCATCGAAAAGCAGCAAATATGGTGGCACTCATCACGTTAACAACCCCAGCTTTCAGCCCTTAATAGAGGGTCCCACAAATGTCAATCAAATTCCGATCAGGAAAAAATATAGCACAAGACAAGAGCACGATCAGCAGCCAATATAAAAAGACGCGAGACACCAGCATGGGGTGCCGTCATCGGATGATGGCCCGCGACGATCTCTCGGCTAGAGACATACCAGGATTTTGCATCGCCGACGAGCGCCCGCATCATTTCATGCAACAATGGTGCACACTGCCCTGAAGCTTGTCCCTCTTCCACGGATGATCTATCCCATACGTATGCGGGCTAATCGTCGGTGTTCGCACCGACCACCTTACAGGTGGTCGGCGAAAGCGAAGTGCATCCGGAAAGCGAAATTGCATCCAGCCAGCCAGATATCATTAGTATGTAGAATCTAATATAACCACTGTCTAAACAACTAAGTTATACAACCAGTTAAGTGATTAAATTATTAAATAAAATTGACGCTATTCTCACTTTAAAACAACCGTGAATCCAAATTCTCTTCTGTCCTGTCTATAAATATGTCCTCGTCCAAACCACTAAATCTTATAAATCCAGTCTCATCGTCGTCGTCTACCTGTGATCCCGACCATCCCATTGTTGAAATCAATTGAATATTGGCTTCTTCTTGAATCTCTGACTCTTGCGCAATTTTCTCAGCATCAGGAATTGGATTAAGTAAATCAGGAGGCACCTCCTGCTTTGCTTTTAACAACTGGGTAACCTGCCGCTTTCTTGAAAGCTCGGCTTTGCGGGCCTCAACACCACGAATATAAATGGGTTGGGTTCGTGCCCGACCGGTGCGAAGCCCTATATATACATATAGCCAGTATACAATCTACACTGTGCAGCGTACATCTAGGAACGTAGTTCCAACAATGTTACCGCGACGAAAAATGTTAATGAGGAAGATCAGTTGGACATCTAATAATTCAACAATATCATTTTCATGCTTTCTCTCTGTTTTCCTTTTCGTTCGCCATCCTTCTCATTTTTAAGGTGGTCGGTGCGAACACCAACGATTAGGCGGCTAGGAAAACGAACCCACTATCCGAAACGCCACCATCAAATTTAGAATGCACAGCAAAAGGCTAACTGACCATCGGAGTAGGGCACCCATGGGCCGATGCAGGACCGATAGAGGGTTTGTTTAAGAGGATGTGCGATGTTCTTGGCTTTATTAGAATACAGAAGAGGAAATTCCAGCCACTTCCGACAAAATAATACCGTTTCAAAGGGGCCTACAAACGTGACGAGTAAAGGGCCGAAGCTTCGGGCCCTCTTCTCCAGTATCATATCAGTTCCTGCCCAGTCCTGCTCGCTTGGGTCCTATGCGGCTTTAGATCGGCACGTCACCTCATCCCCGCATATACGGTCAGGGTGTCCCCAGCTGCCGATCAATAAGATCCCTGCCTGCCGACTAACAAGGGGCAGCACGCACGCCCCACGCCCCGCTAACCACGACCACGCTGTTGAGAGTAACGGAGATATACAGCTAATTTAGTATGTAAATCCCCGATCACCATAATCAGTCTCTTGGCGCACCAGAACAGAAGCCTCAGCCCCTTCACCGAAGCCTGGGGAGGGCCCCAGCGAGACCTCGCTCCCCTTTTTCAAAGACCTCTACTCCACCGCCGCCGTGGGAAGCTACTCCGCCAACTCCACGGCCGCGGTGAAGACGTACGCTGATGGCTTCGTGGTGATTGTGCAGAAGTATACTCCAGCAGATGGATCTCTAGCGGAGCAGTTTGGGAGGCATGATGGCGCGCCGCTGTCGGCGGTGGATCTTACGTGGTCTTATGCATCGTTCTTGACGGCTACTGATAGACGCAGGGGTGCGGTCCCGAAGATTATTTGAGAGAAGTTACCCGGTTATGAAACACCACTGTTATATTATAGACTGTTTTTTGTTTATGTTGATTTCTTTATGAACTAGAATACTAAATACCTATACCCCCCAATAAACAAAACGGCTCCAGCAATGCGGCATAGCCGACTCGAGAAAACAGAGTAGTGAAGTGATATCCCATCCCCCCACCCGATAAACTCCAAACCCCCAAATACGCAAGCTGCATACTCCTCCAGTCCCCCATCCCCCATCTCATATCCAAAACCCACCACTCTACCAAACCCCAATCTAGCCTCCAATAAAACACCCGATCTACCAGTCAATCAACCCCTCCCACCCAACTCCCCATCCCTCCTCCCCCCTCCACCCCCTCAACGCCCAAAACGCAATAGCACCCACAACCCCCACCCCACTCACCACCCTAACAACAACCCACACCGCCTCGCCCACACGGTCATGTACCCCCAACAAGCCCAACGGATCCTCCCTCCCCCTCCCAACACGATGCATCACCCTCCTCCTCCCCTCCGACTTCCCCGCCCTCCCTCGTCCGGGGCGTGAAACAGCCACCAGCGTTCCGTCAGCGACGCACTCTCCAAGCCGCTGCGTGAGCCACACAGCGCGTTCGCCACGCGCCAGCGCCTCGAAGCGCGCCCGCTCGTTGGCGATGCTGCGCTGGAGGTCTGCAGCCCATGTGCTAAGACGGATGTGGGCAAGGCGCTCTTCGCGCTGAGAGTGGTCGGCGATGCGGGCTAGAGCGAAGGTGTTTGCTGCGCCGAGTGGGGGGCTGAGTATATTTGATGGCTGAATCGGGGCGGGGAGGGAGCGAGGGATGGAGGAGATGGAAGAGTGGGCTGATTTTCGGTGGCGGACTAGTTTGAGGGAGGCGTGGTGGCGGAGATAGGAGATTGCGGAGGGGTGGAAGACGTGGGCGATTAGGGCGGGGAGGTCGGTGGGGACGAGGGGTTGGATGTAGTCTGGTGACATTAGGAGGCTGGCATCCATGGTCTCGCGGTCGTCGGAGGGAAGGGAGGAGACGGCATAGGGGGTTGAGATGCCGGGGTGGGGGAGCCCGCTTTCGGCGATGTTGAGGGAGAGGGGGCGGATGTTGGCGGCTTCGAGGTCGCTTGCTAGGCGGGATTTGAGGTGCTCGCGCTGCTCGGTTGAGAGGGCGTCGGCTTGGGCGAGAAGGGGGATGATATTGGTGAATTGGGAGAGGCGGCGGAGGTACTCGATGTCTACGGGTTTTATGTCTACTTCTGTTAGCAAAGCACGAATGTTTTTTTGGAGGGGTACTCACTTCTATTGATAACATAGAAAACGGCATCGATTTGAGACCCTCCACCACCACTTAGCATGCTGATTAATTCTCCGTCAGAAAGGTCTGCTGAGACGGTACGTTCGTATTGAGACTGGATGTAATCCATAACGGGAGTGATGCATTCCATGCTCTACTAGAAGTCAGTTGTGCTCGATATGGAAAGATAATGATACTCACAGATATCCCACCACTATAACCCGGCGTATCAACAAAGCAGAGGTTGCGTTCCAGCACTGTATCACCCATGCTTCTCCTCCTTCGAAGAATCTTGGAATCTTCAGATTCTGACCACCAGCTTGGGTATGCCCTCGTGCTTGCAAATACTTCTGTGATTTTTGTGGTTGAGTGTGTACGCAGCGTATCCTTAGACTTCCGCCTGGAGTTCCTCACCGCCTCAGACGCGGTTAATGGTATGGATTCGAGAGGGTCGACATACACAATGTCGGAGCAGCTCTGCACAATAGACTTAATGAGGGATGTCTTTCCCACTCCTATATCAAGTCAGTAATTATTCACCTTGGGCACAACGTGAAAGACATACCAGAGTCGCCAGCGATCAGGATCTTGAGCCTCCCCATATCCTTTCCCTTGTCCGTAAACGGCCTCCTGCTGGGCATTTGCAAGCTCGGCATTACCAGCTGTGAGCTGCTGCTGCCTTCCATGACATCCGGTGACTGGGTGTCCTCGTCTCCACTTGAAACTATAGCCTGGCTCCCACCGTCGTCGGTCAGGAAGTCAATCTCAGACGGTTGTCGTGTGTGGGGGAATGTTGAGCCTAACATGGGTGACTCGAGAAAGGAGGGTGTTGCTGAGAGTGGTGCTGTATTTGGTAGGGTTCGCCGTGGCTCGGATGGTGAAGTGTTCCTAGTGACGTCTGGGGAGGACACGCTCGAGGGAGAGTATGAGCCAGCAAGGCCTTCGGAGCTGGTCCTGCTCATGTTGAATTTCTTGCCGCGGCTTCGGGTATTCCGGCCCTCGTCAGTGGTATCTTGGTCGTAACTGTCTTGTGACGCTATCGTCTCGATGCTCTCAACGCCGTAGTTGCTTCGCTTGAGGTGATCGCGGAGATGGCGCTGATTGGAGCTGTTTGAGACAGATCTGTCAAGCGAAGCTTCCATGGACTTCTCGTCGGCTAGGAAGAAGGTCATCGGTGGTTGATCTGGTCGTGCGAGCGGAGTGGCCTTATCACCGTCGTCGCTGGATGTCCGGGAGCGGGAGGAGAAGGCATCATCGCCAGGTATGGGCCGCATGTTGGGGGGGGGGTGTCCGAGGTAGTCGTATTCACAGGCACAGGCAGAGCAACGTTAGGGCTGGTCATATCACGCCAGAGAGTTGTATTTATGAAGACCAGAAGCTGAATCAGGTAGCGGAGATGTTGAGTTGTAGGTAGGCGTTGCAGGTAGGCACGAGATACGTGTAGGATATATTCAGACCATCACGACGATCTCTATTACTAGACCGTTGGGATGTACCATCAAGGTAACTACGTATGATCAGTTATGCGGGTGAATAGCTGTGACCAGTCACAGAGGAGTACCACTCAAGGTACAACGCACCACTTGACCCCGCCGTGTCAGCCTATCACAGCCTATCAGAGCCAATCACAGCCTTATCAAAGACCGGAAGGCTGCGACCCAATGCTATCTAGCCTAAATAGGTCAAGCGTGGCCTCGCCTCCCACCCATCCCACTCATCATCCCACTCCCCCTCTTCCAATCAACCACACACGTACTGATCCCGTACTGATCCCTTACTGATCCCGTACTGTACATCTTATCCCAACGGCGGCAAACTCAGCGCTATTCTTTGGTTGATAAACCCGTCGTCCAGTCTCCATACTGGCCATCCTCAACCACGGCGTCGTCCTCCTCCTCTTCGATCCACGCTACACTGCGGCGCCAACTTCCGCACCTTTCCTCCCTCTCCCCCCGGCAAGAGACGCCCTCCAACAAGGCAGCACCATCAGCGTCCATATCTCGACTCCGAAGCCCTCACCGCAACCATGGACAAGCGGAATCCCAGCTCCTTCCAGCAGCTGGAGAAGCTAGGAGAGGGAACCTATGCCACGGTATGCGCCTCGACCCCACCTCCAGTCGCCACCGCGAGCCTCAGCTAACATGCGCAGGTCTTCAAAGGGCGTAACCGCCAGACCGGCGAGCTCGTAGCCCTCAAAGAGATCCACCTCGATTCGGAAGAAGGCACACCCTCCACAGCGATCCGCGAGATCTCCCTGATGAAGGAGCTGAAGCACCCCAACATCCTCTCCCTCCACGATGTCATCCACACCGAGAGCAAGCTCATGCTCGTCTTCGAGTACATGGACACCGATCTGAAGCGGTACATGGACACGACCGGCGACCGCGGCGCCCTCAACCCCGTCACCGTCAAGTCCTTCATGCACCAGCTGCTCAAGGGCATCGACTTCTGCCACACCAACCGCGTGCTGCACCGCGACCTGAAGCCGCAAAACCTCCTCATCAACGCCAAGGGCCAGCTCAAGCTCGGCGACTTCGGACTCGCCCGCGCCTTCGGCATCCCAGTCAACACCTTCTCCAACGAGGTCGTGACGCTGTGGTACCGCGCCCCCGACGTCCTCCTCGGCTCGCGCACCTACAACACCAGCATCGACATCTGGTCCGCCGGCTGCATCATGGCGGAGATGTACACGGGCCGTCCGCTGTTCCCCGGCACGACCAACGAGGACCAGCTGGTCCGCATCTTCCGCATCATGGGCACGCCCTCCGAGCGCTCGTGGCCGGGCATTAGCCAGTTCTCCGAGTACAAGCCGAATCTCCAGGTCTTCAACACGCAGGACCTGCGCGCCATCCTGCCGCAGATCGACCCGAGTGGTATTGACTTGCTGCAGCGCATGTTGCAGCTGCGTCCGGAGCTGAGGGTTAGCGCCCATGATGCCCTGCAGCACCCGTGGTTCGCGGATCTGAATCAGCCAAGGCAGCCGGCGGGGCAGCCGGCGGGGAGGTATACGCAGGGCCAGAGCGGGTATGAGAATTACTGAGGTGCGGTGGGGGCTGGTGCTATTATGTAAACAGTGACAAAAGTATGGGAGAGGATACAACAGTGGCCGAGAAGACAAAAAACCAGAGATACACCCCGATAGGATAAAGAGAGAGACAGGCAATGCTCAGGGTTCCGACGTAGAAGGTACTGTATCAGAGAAGGATGGATAAACGGCCGTGAAGAGAGGCTCAATGACGATGGCGATACGTCTATTTGCATCTACAGGCGTTGGTGTTGCGAGCAGGATCAGGGACTAGGGGTTCTTGGTAGACGTTGGGGATCGGGTTTATGGAGTGGGGGTGGGGGGTTTGAGTGGCTTGCGAAATATAGGAGTTGTCCCATCTACTCTCGCTACAAGGTTCGGAAAAAAAATGTGATTGTGGTTGATGCGCTCAGGAATCACCATTCTCATCCACTTGTATTAATCACAGCTGTATTCAAAGCAAAGACTGAAGATAGAGGTATCATTAACATCCCTCGTATATCCCCCATATTTTGCCTTTATGCCTACGGATTCACCTATCTTCCCATAGCGAGATCCCCCCCCATCCGGAACGCCATCCACAATCCCACCCCATAAACCCATGCATCCCCCCCCCTCAGTGCTTACTCTTCTTCGTCGGCCTCTCCTCCTCCGCATCACTCCCTGCCCCACTCCCACTCCCACTACTCTCATGCTCCTCATCATACTCCTCCGCGACATCACTCTCACTATCCGTCCTAAAGTCCTCATCCGCGCTCTCCTCATCCTCTTCCGCACTCCCGCGATCCGCGCGCGCCGCCACAACATCCTCATCACTGCTCGCCAGATCCTCCCCACCCAGCGCAGCCGCAAGAATCGACGTATCCTCATCCATCTCGTTCTTGACGCGCAGCCCTTTGACCTTGAAGAACTCCTCGAGCGGCTTCTGCTCCTCGCGGTTGATGTTGCTGAACTGGCTGTCGCCCGCGCCGCCCTTGAGGTGGATGGCGATGTCGAAGGTGCGGCTGGCGGAGATGGCGCCGCCGACGCGCGAGAGCGTGATCGAGCTGACGGAGTCGTAGGCGATGTAGGTGGCGGGCTTGGGGACGAACATGAAGGCTTTCTCGAGGCAGTAGAGGAAGCCCTCGGCGGCTTTGATGGAGCACTTGATGCCGTATTGTTGGTGGTGGCTGAGGAAGTCTTTGGCGGGTTGGTTGACTTTCTTGCCGGTTAGGCCGCGGAAGACTTGGGTGACGACTTGGTGGAGGGGTTGCTCGTAGTGGGGGGCGAGCTTGTTTTCGTATTTCTCCTTGAGCAGCTCCTCGGTCATGTTAAGGTCGATTGTCACCTCCTCGTCCTTCTTGAACTGCATCACTAGGAAGGGGTAGCGGGTCTGGCCCTGGCGCAGCGGCGGGTCGAGACCGATGCAGATCATGAAATGCAGCTCGTCGGGCTTGGGGAGGATCATGAACTTCTTGATAGCTTCGTATTGGATCTTGTAGTCGTATGTCTTACCGCGTAGGCGGAAGGACGATTCGTACATGTCGATATCGAAACGGCCTCTGTTGATAACATATTAGTTACCGCCTTCAACAGTGCAAGAATATAACATACCTAGGCGTCAAGTGCAGCACATCCAAGAATGTCGCATATGTGTCACCAGCAACCTCTCCGATCTCCGCCTTCTCCATCAGGGTATCATAGAAGAGATTTGCCGCATTCTGCTCCTCCTCATCCTCCGCATCACTCGGCGCCTCTCCATCTTCCATCGTCTCCTTCTTGGTAGTCGTGCCAGGAATATAGAAGCGCATCTCAACCAACTGATCCTTCCCCGCGCCAGCCTTCTTCCCCTTCCCCTTCGCACCACCCAAGCTTCCGTTTGCGCCCTCATCGCCACCAGCCGGCAACGAGAACTCAACCGCCACCTCGTTCTTCCCAGCCAAATTCGTATTCGAGATCTCCGAGTAGGGGATCTCAAACGCAGGTCTGTTCTGCACGTTGAATGCCAATTCCGCCTTTCCGAATTCCGCCTTGCCCCAGTTCCATCCTCGTAATGCGTGCTCCTTCGTCTCGAGGTTCGTGCTGTACCAGTTCTTGAATACTTTCGTCAGGCGGTCGAAGTCCTGTACATAGGTTAGAGGGTGCGCCAATTGTGATGACTGTGAGGCTCACATCTTGTTGGAAGCCATCCAGCTGCACAACGCCGGAATTGCGCTGTAGAATCTTCACTTCGAACCCTTTGGATGCCTTGCTCCACTGTGCGCCACCGATGTTTGAGCGATCAAGCGTGAAGGTATCGCCACCGCCCGAAGGCTTCCAGCCAAAGCCATTCTCAGCGAATCTGCATTTGCCCGAATCTTTCGAGAGGTCAAGGTAGATGTTGTCGAAGCTCTCCCTACAATCGCAGCGTGGTTAGCTAGGCACTTCCTGAATTCACCATGAAATGGGCAGGCAATTTCCAAATTGAGCTTGAGGCTGGCAATGTGAAGCTTGTTGCAAAAAATACATACATGATGATAAAGTGGCGAAATCTTTGTGACGGAGTTGGGTGGTAGTTGAGAGGTTTGACTTGGAGCTATGTCAAGGATTATGAGGCAAGAATCTGAAGGTCGTCGGATTTCGCGTAAAGTTGACCGCTACCACACGCGACGACGCGACGGCGAGAGGAGCAATTTAAAAAGGTAGCGCCACGTTAGATAGACTACATCGGAAATTCAAATTTAGTCACTAAGATGATATAAGAACTGCTGTGAGCGACTAATTGACGGAATGTCATTTTCACCTATGCCTCAATACTTCTACTATATGTACCTCCCGACGCCACAGCCTGATCCCTTTGAACGGGCTCTCTCCTCACTTACCTCCTCAAAAACCAATCTTATTATGTGGATGAGAGTATGTTGGGAAGGTAGAGAGAGCATTGCAAGTTGGTGCTAGCCATATTACCCTTAAATTTACTTGTTATTATAGTTTTGACATTCACATATTTCACTGCAAGTTCAGATATCAAGTAAAGTAGAAACCGTATTTCATTTATTTTGCTCTTTTATCTGCCAGCCTGTCCCGTTTAGAACACACCAAAGAAGCAAAGCACCACGTTTATTAACCCTCGGAGACTGTCGTGAGATGCGTAACACGAAAAAGTAAAAAGAGTCGATGCATGAAGTGACTATCGCGTAAAACCAACCGTCAACTCCGCAAATCCTTTGGATGTTGTACACATATCTAGTCGACCTCCTCCATGGCGCTCTCGACAGGTGCGTCGGTGGCGCCGGCCTCAGTCGCGGCCTCACCCTCAACCTCTGGCTCCTCGTCAACCTGGAGTCCGAGGGAGACAAGCTTGTGGATGCGGTCGGCGAATCCAGCTGGCTCCTCAATGGTGAAGCCGGAGACGAGAAGGGAGGTCTCGAACAGAAGCTGGGTGATGGACTTGACGGTGCGGTCGTTCTCGCCGTCAGCCTCGATCTTCTTCCTCAACTCCTTAATAATTGGGGACTTGGGGGAGATCTCGAAGGTCTTCTTGGAAGACATGTAAGAGCTCATGGAGGTGTCACGGAGGGCCTGGGCCTTCATGATACGCTCCATGTTGGCGGACCAACCGAACTGGCCAGTGCGGATAGCGCAAGGAGCGCCAACCAGCTTGTGGCTGACAACAACCTTCTCGACCTTGTCGCCGAGGATGTTCTTCAGGGCCTTGGCGGTGCTCTCGTACTCCTTCTCCTCAGCCTCGCGCTCGGCCTTCTCCTCATCGGTTTCCTCAAGCTCGAAGTCCTTCGTGATATCAACAAGCTTCTTGCCTTCGAACTCTTTGAGCTGAGTCATGGCGTACTCGTCAATTGGGTCGACGAGGAAGAGAACCTCGGAGCCCTTGGCCTTAAGGGAGTCCAAGAAAGGCGACTTCTGAACAGCCTTCAAGCTCTCACCAGTGATGTAGTAGATGTTCTTCTGGTGCTCGCCCATGCGGGTGATGTAGTCAGCGAACGAGGTCTGGTCATCATCACCTGTCTTGGTGCTGTTGTAGCGGAGGAGCTTGGCAAGGGCGCCACGGTTCTGGGCATCCTCGTGGACACCAAGCTTGATGTTCTTGCCGAAGGCAGAGTAGAACTTGTCGAACTGCTCCTTGTCCTCGGCGATCTCCTGGAACAGCTCAAGGGTCTTCTTGACGATGTTCTTCTTGATGACCTTCATGATCTTGTTCTGCTGGAGAGTCTCACGGGACAGGTTGAGAGGGAGATCCTCAGAGTCAACAACACCCTTGACGAAGCTCAACCACTCTGGAATAAGATCGGTGGCATCATCAGTGATGAAGACGCGGCGAACGTACAACTTGATGTTGTTCTTGGTCTTCTTGGTCTCGAAGAGGTCAAATGGGGCCCTCTTTGGAACGAAGAGGATGGCCTTGAACTCAAGTTGACCCTCGACGGAGAAGTGCTTAACAGCAAGGTGGTCCTCCCAGTCGTTGGAGAGGGACTTGTAGAACGCACCGTACTCCTCAGGGGTGATGTCTGATGGGTTGCGGGTCCAGATAGGCTTTTGCTTGTTGAGCTCCTCCTCCTCGATCTTGGTCTCCTTGACCTTCTTGGTCTTCTTCTCCTTCTTCTCATCCTCCTCATCATCTACCTCCTCAATCTTTGGCTTCTTGTCATCTCCCTCCTCCTCCTTGGACTCCTCGGCCTCCTCATCTGGGACCTCGGTCTCGGTCTCCTTCTCGACGTGAAGGTAGATTGGGTAAGAAATGAACTCGGAGTGCTTCTTGACAACCTCCTTGATCTTGGCCTCGTTGAGGTAGTCGGTCTGCTCATCCTTAAGGTGCAGGATGATCTTGGTACCGCGGCCGAGTGGCTCGCCCTCGGTGTCTTGGGTAAGGGTGAAAGTTCCACCAGCGGCGGACTCCCACATGTACTGCTCATCGTCGTTGTTCTTCGAGATGACGGTAACACGGTCTGCAACGAGGTACGCAGAGTAGAAACCAACACCGAATTGACCAATCATGGAAACATCAGCACCGGCAGTCAGAGCCTCCATGAACTGCTTGGTTCCTGAACGGGCGATCGTACCCAGGTTGTTGACGAGATCCTAAAACATTTATTAGCTGGTGGCAAATATGATGTGTGCATGCAGTACTTACAGCCTTGGTCATACCAACACCGCTATCTTGGATGGTAAGAGTCTTGTTGACCTTGTCGGGGATGATATCGATTCTCAGGTCCTTGCCGCTGTCAAGCTTGCTTGGGTCGGCGAGCGACTCATATCTGATCTTGTCCAAGGCATCGGAGCCGTTGGAGATAAGCTCTCTCAAGAAGATCTCCTTGTTAGAGTAGACGGTGTTGATAATGAGGCCCAAAAGCTGGGAGATCTCAGCCTGGAACTCGAAAGTCTCGGCAGCCATATTTGTCGATTATGTATGATAGTTCTAGAAGCGCAGATGTTAGAAATGATGGCCTGTATAGATGGATTCACAGTGAAGGCGAAGTGTTTGTAGAGATCCGATTTGCCTCCCTGATCAGACCATAGCCTCCAAGATCAACTCTTTGGAGAACTATGAGGCTGAAAGCAGCTTCTTCCCCAAAACAAACACACAGAAGCTGATGAGGTGAGTGATTAGACTTACTTGTAGGCGTAGAGTGGATGACCGTGCTAATTGAAGAGCAGGTTCGTGGACAGGTTTAATGGGTATCAATGGTTTGAGAGAGAAAATGCTTTGAAGTTGTGGAGGTGAGGCGGAGGACTAATTAATAGTTTTGGAATTTGCCTGCCTTTCATCCACAGAACCGCCCAGAAACAGAAGCGACCAGTAGCGCGAAAGTCGCAGAAACCCATAGAAATTTAGGCAAGGCTGCCAGGCTCGTCACACACCGTTGCATAGCAACCAAAAGAACAAAGAAACGCTTCAATCTAAATTTATCACAGCTTCACGAGCGTTGATTACATGTGAATTAATTATATTATCGAATTCAATAATCTAAGAAGCTTCACCTGCCTTTATTATGTTGTCTCTGTCTTCAGTGGCGATGTTACACCATTTTGAGGGGCCGCGACCCATCCATCCACGCCCCGGTGTACGCTTGGCTAGTCAGGTCGAAAAAAAATAAAAAAGTCTCATCGATGAGGCTCACCACTTCAAGTATTCTTCACATGGGCAACATCAAATTACTCTTGTATTATTTCCAATATTCTAACAATAATATACATCTATTTGTCTCGCAGACGCTGGTCCCGGGTTCATTCAACCCAGCTTCTCCAGCTCTTCACTTTCCGCCGGGTCTAGCACTTCTATAACCTTCCCAACTTCTCTATAAGCTCTATCGAGATATGACAATCCCCTATCCTCCAAGGTCGCCGCATCCTTCGTTGGTGGCGGCTCAATGATGCTCTCCACATCTGCCAGAACCAGAACGTGGTCACCAACCTCAATCAACCCTGCACCCTCTCCTACGTCTCTTAGCTTGCATCTCAGCACCTTCGTGACGCCTGGCGACGACAGTAATGGCAGAGGATATTTGCTCCCCACATTCCACACAGCAAACTGCTGGTTCGTGAATACATCCGTTGAATTCCCCTTTGTAAAACCATGGGCCACATTTGCCCCAGCTTCCGTAGCAGACAGGACATGTATGAGGAATTGGCGAGACTGGCGTATTGCATCTAATGTCCGAGATGGCCTGCGTATATTGAATGATATAATCGGCGTGGGTGTGAGCGTCACAGTCGTGAACGAGGATACCGTCATTCCTCTAAAATTCGAGGTCGAGGAGGAGGCCGGGCCGCCGGTGCTGGTCGTAGCTACAACTGCAGCATGGGGCATCTTGCGCATAATTTGTCGCAGGTGGGTTGACAGAGGAGGTTCATCGTTTGGGCGAGCGCTCTTCACACGCTGCCTTTTACTTGCGCAGGTGAAGCTACGCGCTTGAACTACGCGCTGGGAGGAGGCCATTGCTTGCGAAAAGCCACAGCATATGCTGTTCGTCCTTGCTGCATGAAATATTAGTAAATTGAGCTTTAAATTTGGATAGCTAAAACTAAAATAAACCAGAACGGCGAGAAACTTACCAAGGCTATTAGCCACTGACCATTCATAGAACAGGGAATAGAACCCCTTCACAGTACTGGGCCTCGCGCTCATCCTCGGGGTATTGGGAAACATTCCGATGGATCCGGTAGGGGCAGCAACAATCGCTGCGGCAGCAATTGTCAAATTGCTAGTGCCGGGCTGTCAAAAGGATTCCGTCAGCAAGACTGTCATTGAAGTTTCCAAGAAACATTTCCGCGCTCCAAGCTCCCCTGGGCAACCGTAGCGACAAAATAATTATATCGACCACCACCATCACCCAGGAGTACTCTATAATATAACCACCCACGACCAGGCCAACGATCCACGGAAACCCAACAACGCAATGGCTTCCCTCCCATCCCACGCCTTACGGCGCGCGTCTCTCTCTCCCATCTCCTCGACATGCGCCAGCAACCAAGTCCGCCACGCCTCTCTGCAGAAGCGCCCGCACCGCCCGTACACCTTCACGCAACTCATCACCCTCTCGGACGGGTCGACATACACGCAGCGCACGACGTCGCCGGCGGCGATATACAAGTCTACGAAGGATACGCGGAACCACCCGTTATGGCAGCCGAGCATGGCGAGTCTGCGGAACGTGGAGGAGGATGAGGCGGGACGCCTGAGGGCCTTCCGAGAGCGCTTCGGGCGCGGATGGGATGTTGAGGGTGGTGAGGAGAGCGCGGAGGGGGAGCAGGAGGATACGATGATGGATTTGATTAGTGGGTTTAAGGGGGTGCAGGTTACGCCGGATCAGATGAAGGGACATACTGCGAAGGGGAACAAGTACTAAGGGGATATCCATATGTCGGGCGGTTACTTCGGACTACCTGTGTTTTCGAGCAGTGTATGATCATTGGGAGAGATGGGACTAAGGTCTCGGGGAGCCATGTACAAATTCAAGGGTGGAAGACAGAAGGGGGTGACATTTGAAGGCGTTGGGATGTGGTATTATCTTTGTACACTATACATTTTGGGGACTGCAGAATGATGAAGTTCGCAAGGTTGTTTCAACCTTGTTATAGCAGAAATGGATGCTAGTGCCCTCTTGCAAATTATTCTTCGTCCTCATGAGCCGTTTCTGACACCGAGTCATTCTGGGTTTCCCCTGAAAGCGACTCTGAGCGTAGAGGGACCGCTGGTGGCTTGTAGTAGGGTTGTTCGCCGTCCTCAGCATCCAGTTGAACTAAGAATGTTTCCCATAGCTCGATGAGCTAAAGTATATGTCAGTAAACTATTTCGGTCACTAGAAGAGAGGGGGGGGTATATACCTCTTTCTGGGCCTCGACAGCGCTCTCCAGGAATGTCTCCACGCCACTCTTGAAATCCTCCACCTTCTCCCGCTCAAACCTCTCCAGCTCAGTTCTTAACAGTCGTCCCATGTCTTCGAATAGCAAACGTGCCTGGTGCACCTTTCTTTCTCCATCTGCAACATCTGCATTTAACTGGACTAAACGGTCTTGTTGAGTCTTGCCTTGGCGTAGAAGCTTGTCCTGTGTTGCCTTGCGCTTCTGCATTTCCATGTCTGCAGATTGCCATGAATGAAATGCCTTCTGTCTCTGTTCAAACGCTGTCTTGATACTCCCAATCAAGCGAATGTATTCATCAATGGTGATGCCAAGGGTCAACACGTCGTGCTGTGCCTGTCGTTCATAGAGTTCTTTGATACGGATCTGGAGGGCGGACAATCCAGCTAACGGGCCTGACAGAGTGGGTGACAGTTCAACAGCGGAAAGGGCATGCAACGATCCAGAGAAATCACCCGCCGCTTCTGCCAACCCCTTCCGCTGGTCTACCACTGTGTCCATTGATTTCAGGAGAGCCTTCAGTTGGTTTTCAAGAGCATCGAGATACACCTTTCTGTCATGGAACCACTGTACTTGTTAGCATATTCCATGCCATTGGGGTCAATACCACAACTTACATCGTCTTGTTCCACGAATTTGCTTCCACTGCCCACTGATAGTCCCAGTCCAGCGAACATACCCTTGCTCTCTCCCAACACTGGCTCCTTACGCTCCTTGTGCTTAACATCCATACTGAATGCCTCGCTCTCTAGGAATATCTTCAGATCACCGTCATGTTGTAGCGTCGGGTGGGCCGCGGTCTTGTTGAGCATTTTCTCCAATGCCATGCGCCTTGATTCCACGAAATTTGTATCAAACCTTCCCATAGCTTGCTTCTCAGGTGGTGGAGGAACGACCACTCCGGGGTTATTTGTATGCAGAGTATTGTACAGCCATAAGAAGTCCTTATATCTACGAGTCACCGAGAATTCCGGTTGCCTGTAGCCTATAGAAGTAGTCTATCATAATTGTCAGGTCCGTTCAGCGATTAATCAAAGCCAAATCATACCTTAGTCCGAACTTGATATACAATATGAGAGCTTGTGAGGTCTCCAACTTTGTGGGGATCGCCGACCGTAATATCGAATGTCGGTTTTGCTGCCTGTTCAATGCTCACACTCGGCTGGAAATCGCGACGCGCAGAGCCTGGCTGGGCGGGTTGGACTGGCGGTGGTATCCTAGCCTTTCGAGAAGATTGCGCCTCGTCATCGTAGTTCGGATCCATGACATCTCGAACCCTCTGTGCAGTGTCTGGCTGCCTTGTGTTGAGGGTAACTGCCTGCTCCTTCATAGGCGGTGCCGGAGGCTGCTCCGAAGGAGATGTAGCCTGCACTCCATTGTCGCCCAGTGGTCCTAACGGTCCCAAAGGCCCCAGTGAGTCGTCAAGGGGTTCGAGACGAGTGGTTTGCGCAGCAACACGGCGGATGGGGCCTCTTGATCGGCCGGGCGACTTCACGTTTGAGGTTGCGGATGATTCGGATAATTGCGCGGCCGCAGTCTTAGATTGAGCGTCTATAAATCCATGAGCATGTTGCGACCAGGTTTGGGTAGGAAAAGAGAGCCTACCTGATTGCCCCGCGTTGAATGAATCGTCTTCACCAGTCTTGGGCTTATTGGCACCTGTCTGGGATTGGGTTGGGACATCTGTGGCAAATTAGAGATCGTGGCAGCTTGACATTCTCTAGAAGACATACCGCCCCATGGCGAGGATCCCCCGTCTTCGAGATCCATTGTGTTGAGTTGGTTGAAGAGGTGGAAGAATGCAGTTGAACTCTCAGGTGTGGAGCTTAGTTCCTCTGGCAGGGTCGCATACGTATGCGAGGCAGCGGCTGCTGCCAAGATAAGCGCGTCACTCATCGAGGTACCTCTCCAGAAGCCAATCCAGACAACAGCTACAAACAAAAGCATATAAATGTTACAACCAATACAGTAAATTTATCTTTTCTGGTATTTTCATTTATATCTAAAATTATAGGGTCTTTATTTGCATGATTTTACATTGTTTAAATAGCTCTCCATATAATGACGATTTATTCTACAATAACTTATTCACGTGTGATTATTATTACCCCTCAGGATATTTGAGAATTTAATCTATAAATCGAGCCCTCTCTATAAACCGAGCTGCTCTTTATTACACCGTTTGAATCCCCTCTATGCCATACAGGAATGCATAGCTGCGCCTTGCTTCTCGCCGCCTTCTTATGAGGTGGCTATTATGATGAGAGCAGAAATTAAACCTCGAATACCAGGGTATCTGCTTGCACGAGTCTGATTTTTGTTGGCGTATATAAGATCTTATTTGTATCCAGATAACAAATTATATGGTGTCCTTTCCATAATCATGAAGTGTCCATAGCATCGCCATTGGATTCCCCACGGCCTTCCGTTCCCCTTCCATCCTGACCGGGCAGAGAACCACCAGACTTTTTGGCTTCTAAACCGTCCAAAAAATTCCGTGCCTTCTCCCAAAGCTCTGCCTCCATGTCCCTGCCGACCTTATTGCCCCGAGTATTAAGCCATCCAACATCTATCGCGCCATTCTTGGTTTCCGGCGCTTGCTTTCCCTTGTCGCCTTCCTCTTCAGTCTCGGGTTCCGCTTTTATTACACCGGCGTCATCAAGCCCCTTGATTTGGCGCTTGAGGCGAACGTCGACAGAATGTAGGTCTTTGAGATATGTGTCTGTTGCGGCCGTAAATGTTTCTCGGCGGCTGGCAGACGTTTCGGACGGTGAATTGATGGACGTTAGAGACTTGATTGCCAGGCTGGCAGATTCAAGAAGTTTTGTGATGCTCTAAACCGCCATTAGAATTATCTTTCAGGCATCAGGGTAGGCTAACCTGGTCAATTTCATTGAGTTGTTTGATGCGCTCTGCCTTCGTGAGGTGTTTGGAAGAGATTGGCTGTTTGTCAAGATCGGAGGACATTGTAAATTTAAATTCTTAATCAATAAATTCAATGATTTGCGATTTATTGTAAAGGTTGAATTTGAGGAAGCTGAGAGGTTGCTTTGAGCTGGCTGTTTGTTGCCCGTGGTAGCTTCTCCACGTTTAAGAAATGAGGCTCGGCGGATAGCTGCAGTAGCGCCATGTTTTCAAGGCGAAACTGGCGATTATGGGCAAGCCATCAAGACACAAGTTCTCGACATATTACCATCTTTATTCATCTAGGGTCCATCAACGTCCATAATCTGAATATTTTTTGATGGTATGATGGGACATGCGACGCCTTCGACATAATCGCCCCATCGAGGAAGATACAGCGACGCGTCGCAAGTAATTAAGCCATCGATATGTCAAACCATCCATCGCAAACCCCCGGCGCTGGGCCACCGAGTGGTAGTATGGGGATGCCAACAGGACAGCAACAGCCGCCTATCCCTCCACCTGTACAAAACATGTCCCAGCAAAACTTGAATCAAATTGTGAGTTCACACTTCTTTCTTCCCATGCCACCTTAGCTAGAGCACCGGAAACCCCCAAAGACATATTGCCTTATTGGCGGGCATCAAGCGATTAGCCTTAACTGGTCTGCTGTGTGCCTTTTAAAAGAATTGCTATTGATGGCCATTTGCACGTGATACTCCTTTTGTTCCGTGTCTCTGGCCAGAACTGCCCCCTACGCATGGGGATAGCCTACGGATGGTTGGGGCTGCATAATGGACCATGAGGCTATATGAAGCCGCGAAAGTGACCATGAGTGTTGGTTATATTCCTTACCATCTGCCAAAGTGGCAGCTTGATTACATTCCTACGGATTTACAAGAAACGAGGAGTAGAAGTCTTGAGTGGGATTCGATGGCAACAGCATGGGAGCCAAGTGGCGAAGCTACCGGCGAGGAAGTATGTGTAGTAGATTCATTTCTATTTCATTCTGGAAATACAGTCATAAAGGAGCATGCTGCAACTCAGCAGATGTCATCTGAAAAATGCAAAACCTACATTGTTTCCGGTCGAAGCGGTGATTCCTTTTGTCTATTCCCAAGCACATATATGCTGTCTTGTTAAAGCTAGCAAAAGGGAGTAATGGGGTAGCTCTAGGCGAGTGAATTTAAAGTCTTATAGTCTTTATATTCTCTCGTCAGTTGCGTCATGCCTCCCCTCAAAGTGGGATGAGGTCGTTCGCCTGGGGAACCCCAGAGAGGGTGTAGATTAAAACTTTCCATTGTTGAATCAACATATACGCGACCCCCAAAAGTTTGGGTAACGTGACAAGCGCTACTATTACATCCCCCTTCTTTCAACGCAAGCGCTAGATTACCCCCACCCCTCCTCCTCCAGGAGCCTGCAGGAGGGAGCTACTGCTTGCTGCATCACCTCCTCCTCTCAAGACAAGAGCTACTGCTACATCACACTCCTCTCAATACAAAAGCTACTGCACATCACACTTCTACCAACATCGTTTCTATATTTCTGCCAACTCTACAATCATGGGCTTTGGAAAAGGAAAAAGAAAGCCTGCTCCAAGTGGCGCGGCTCCCACTGTCAGACTTCACGTTGGCAACCTTTCGCAAGCTGGGCGAGCCCAACCCAACCCTTCGCCAGCTGGACGAGCCCAATCCAACTTTCCATCAAGGCCAGCGGCGGCTTCCGCCAATACTAATGGCCAACCATCGGTCAAACCGAAGAACTCTGTAACTGATGCGAACCCCTCGCAGGTAATTGAGTACCTAATGAAAAAGGGCTATTTGAGGACGGAACAGGTTCTTAGACAAGAATCAGCCCAAGTCGACAAGGATGGCCGTCCCATTTTTGGCCGAGACGAGTATGGAAATGAAAAATATATACGAGGGTTTGAGCTGTTGAGCTCGTGGATCGATTCAAATCTTGACATATACAAGGTTGGTCAATCACAGCACGTCGCTGGACGGCACTGACATTCTTAGTTCGAACTCAACCGTCTCCTGTGGCCAGTTTACGTCTATTCATTCATTGAACTTATTACCGACATGTTCACTGAAGACGCAAAGAAGTTTCTCCAACAATTCCGACCGCGATTTGAAAAGAATCACGCAGATGAACTTCGCATTTTTGAAACGATCTCGCTCAAATCTCACGTCCTCGAAAACCCCGTCGCGAAGCTTTACAGAGAGAACAAATATCGCATTCCACTGAACGCCCACGTGAACTTCAACCTAATCAGCTTCTTGGAGGGACAAGGCAAGAAGGGCGGAAGCATTGTCCTCAACATCCTACAGACATACTGCCAAGTAGTTGAGACGTCTCGTGGGCCAATCGACCAATATAGCTTTGAGGCTATTGTCAACCGTGCTCGTGGCGTCGGGGTGGATGAAGTTGTGGACCTTCAAGAAGGCATTCCGGGAGGGTTTACTGGAGTCAGCAACCAGGATCTTGCGAATAATGATGCCCCTGTCCGGCTGGGCCCGCTCCAGACCGAGACAGAGCTGACGGACGATGTGCGAGCCGAGCTTCTTGAGGCCGATACCAAGAACCCTCCTGCACCAGGCCAACAATCGTTGGTAGAAGCCTATGAGCAAAAGATCAAGCGGGAAGAAAGCGCCGATGCCATACTTCGCACCGAAATACCCCTTCCGCCGTCAAAGGCTCGCGATGTGGTCATGGAAGTCCAAAAAATGAAAGAAAGCAGGGACCGCTTCAAGATTGAAGGCCGTACAGGGGGAGTTGGTCCAGCTGTTTCTGTCTGCATGTTCACTTTCCATAACACTCTTGATACGTAAGTTCATTTCAGAAGACACATATAGATTGACTGACTTATTCTAGCATTACCTGTATGGAATTCTCGGATGACAACAACCTTGTGGCGATAGGCACGGAGGAATCATACATTCGAGTCTGGAACATGCATGGGGAAGCACTGAAGTCGACACTTTCAGGAGGACCCAGCGATGCACCACCTTCGAATTCTCGTCGTCTCATCGGCCATTCCGCCTCTGTCTACAGCGTCTCCTTTGCTCCTTCTATTGCTGGTCCTGAGGGTCCATCCAGTGCTGTGCCATCCACTGGATCCAACCTTCTCCTCTCGTGTTCATCGGATAAGTCCATCAGGCTTTGGTCTCTCGATGCTTGGACATGTCTTGTCGTTTACAAAGGCCACGAAGGCCCAGTCTGGAATGTCCGCTGGGGTCCATTTGGACATTACTTTGTGAGCTGTGGTTGGGATAAGACGGTGCGAGTCTGGACTCAAGACCATATCTCTTACGTCCGCATGTTGGTCGGCCATGACTCCAGCGTCAACCAGATTGCTTGGCATCCGAATAACGCATATGTCTTTTCTGCGTCGGACCAAGTCGACAAGACGGTCCGCATGTGGTCCGTAGTCACCGGCCAATGCGTCCGCATATTCAACGGACACACCGACTTCATATCCACGCTCGAGTGCTCTCCAAGCGGGAAGATCCTTGCTTCTGCTGATGGCGGCGGCTCTATCATTCTCTGGGACTTGGCCAAGGGCACGCAAATCAAGCGCTGCCGTGGCCACGGCAAGGGCGGTATTTGGTCGCTGTCTTTCAGTGCGGAGAGCACAGTTCTTACCTCCGGTGGCGCCGATGGCACGGTTCGAATCTGGGATGTCGAAGTCCCGTCTGACCCATACAAGGGTAGCGATGGCGATCTGATCGGGTCAAGCAACCAGCCAGACGCTACTCGCATTACTGCCAACGGGACTGCTGGTGCGCAAAGTGCGGCTCCTTCAGGTGGAAGCAGCGGGGCCATGACGGGTGTTACGACGGGCAAGAAGAAGGGGAAGGATATGGTTATCACGCCGGACCAGATTAGCGCGTTCCCGACGAAGAGGAGCCCTGTTTACAAGGTCAAGTTCACGAGGATGAATCTCGCTGTTGCTGGAGGGTGCTACTTGCCTTAGATGAGAAGTTTGTGTTGGTGGTGGAAATAATTCGGAGTTGCGATGTGATATTTAGCTGGAGGTGGCAGGCAACAAGGCATCAGAATGGTCGTTTTTCGTTGAGTTCGTTTTATGCCCATAGCAGATTCCGGGCTGTCCAATGCTAGAGTGACCGTTAGGATCGGAAAGAGTGATATCTCTTTGAAGTAATTATTATTATTGTCGTCTCAACAGTGCATCGTAAACGACTGGCCGGTGTATTTAAGACGCAATTATTTGAACAATCTTCTGACCCAGCAGATTTACACTAATCAAACTTGCAACCCTGATGCATCCGGAGCACAGGGCGCCTTCTCGAAATCTATGCCTCGAGTAGTAAACTCAGACTCCACTGGCATATTAAATCATAAATATAATACCAGCCACCCGAAGTCCAAGCGTGTGTCTAAGAAATTATACGTATGGGTATCCATATATATACCCTATCATGATTCCAGCGTCGAGAGTCATTACAAACCTTACTCGCTCTTTCCGCTGTCATTTGCAGATCCAGCTGCGACGGCCAGGCCCTCGAGGATCTCACTTCCCATAACATATGATATGTAACTCGGAAGGGCGAGCCAAGCGCCGCTTCTTGGTGTCAGTAATGCGCATGAAAGTTGGACCGATGGGGTTGCTCACTTGGGAATGATCCAGAGCAGAATCAAGTCTGGCAAGGTGTTGTGGCCGATGTTCTCAAAGCCAGAGTAGTACTCATTAAACCCTGAAACAATGTCAGGTCACGCATATTAACCATAGAACGGGGCACTTACAATACAGCATCGTCTTGGCCAAGGTAAGGATCGCCGAGCTATAACCCACAAGGACAGCGCATGCAGCTTTCTCTCCAGTCAAGGTCCTCTGCTGTCCTAACCATCCCGCGTTCTTGGGCGCACCGCGCCCATGCGCCACCGACTGCTTTCCGAAGTTGAAGACGAGCCAGAGGTAGGTAAAGTACCCGGCAGTCTCGATCAGGTTCATGACTGTCTGCGCAGCAGTAAAGCCGTTCTTCTCATTATACGCCTTCCAGCCATAAATATAGTCTGTCCTGCCATAGAGCTCGTACGGCGCCCAGAGCGGCCAGTGATACTTCCCGCCCGGCATGGAGTGCGGGCGAAGAAGAACATAACCTGCGTCCCAAAGGACGAGCGGGAGAGAAATGGCGAGCCAGACCAAGACGAGGTTCGACGGGGTATGCGCCCACGCAGCTTTGGCTTTGCGCGTCGCGCGCGGCGAGGCTTTCATTGGGCTGAGATCAGGCTCAGGAAAGTCCTTGGGGTGTTGGCGCGTGGATACCATGATGAGTTACTGGCGATGTTATAATTATTCACAAGACTATAGCAGTGTTGATGTAACGATGATGGTCATTAAGTCGTATTGAGATGAGAAGTAAACAAGAGACGGAGGAATTGTGCGGGGGATGTGGCATTTACCCTTCAAACGCGCTCCAGTCGCATCTCTCAGATGGCCATCCAGTGGTCGTGTAAAGGTTGCCAACTCCCTCACAACTTTCCCCAGTGAGCGAATTCCCCGGCCGGCCTCGGTAAAAGAGTAGCTCCGGGCAAGCACAGACGAACAGGTCCCAAGGCACAACAACGTCATCGTCGCCGCTGAAAGATTCCAATTTCAAGATCCATTAACTGCCTTGCGCTTCTCCACTGTGACAATCTGTCCTTCGGCGCATACTATCTCCAGAACACCTGTGGAACCAAGCAGCCTCGTCTTTTTTATTTAAGCTATTTTATATATGTTGTAACCCTCGCAATGGCTGATGTAACACCTCGGCGGTCAACTCGCCTGCAAGGCAAATCTACACTTTCACGTTCAACTTCCAGCACAAGTGGTAACTCCACAGCAGCCTCCACGCCGGTGGGCTCGAGCTCATCAGACACTCCAATGCCGTCAACAAGCACAGCGACCGAGTCATATCCAATGGCAACATCCAAAGTCTCGCCATACCTTCCCACATACGCAGAGTCGATCCTGCTCCTCGTGTACCCGACAACCCTCCTCCTCGGCTCTATATTTGGTCTCATTGACCCCGCCACCCGCGCCTCTCCTTACATGGAAACGCACCAGTCCCACGACCAGGACCAAGCACCCTCATACTTTGCGAAGAAGAGCAACCTCGTCAACATCCTCTTCGTCAAGAGGGGCTGGTTCTGGGTGACGATGTCATTCTTCCTCTTCCTCTTCACGAACGCCGCGATAGGGGCGCGGGGCAGCGACGCGCTGTTGAGGAAGAGGATACAGGGGGCTCTTAGGTGGGGCCTTGTCACCCTCTGGTGGGTGTTTGTGACCCAGTGGTTTTTCGGGCCGGCGATAATCGATAGGGGGTTTTTACTCACAGGCGGCATGTGTGAGTTGAAGGACATGATTGATAGGGTTGAGACGGAGGTAAATATTGTTGAAAGATTCGTCACTCCCATGGCCTGTAAGGCGAATGGCGGGAAATGGAGCGGAGGGCATGATATAAGTGGGCACGTATTCTTGTTGGTTTTGGGGAGCATGTTCTTGTTCCAAGAGGTTCTGCATGTGGCGTTGAGAGCTGCGAAGGGTAGAGAGGAGCGGGTGGTGCTCTTGCATAATGGAGAAATCAAAGGCGCTGACAGTGAATCCGGGGCTGAGAGGGCGGATACGCAGAATGTCATTACTGCGAGCCCGTGGGATTTCGGGGTAAAGATTGCGCTGGGGGTTGGCGCACTGAGCATATGGATGCTGCTGATGACAGCAGCATACTTCCACACGTGGTTTGAAAAGGCACGTATAATCATATCTCTCCGAAGACAACATGCTAACTCTCCACAGCTTACCGGGCTTGTAGTCGCCTTCTCCGGCGTCTTCGTAGTGTACTTCCTGCCACGATTTGTACCATCATGGCGAGCCATCATTGGCATGCCAGGCGTATAGTTTATGTATAATAATGATTTAATTTCAATTCGCTGAAAACATATGTATATGAACAATGGTCTTGTCCACCAACCCGTCCTTCAAACATCGGCGCTGTTGAGATCCACCCCACATTACCGTAGCATTGCGTCCATCGAGGAACAAACTGTGCCCTATCTTGACATCGCAACAAGTACGCAAACCATAAAAGACTGATCAACACGCACAAGCATCTTTCGTCGCTCCATCCCTCGGTCCTGCCAAATTCACCCTCGACTCCTCCGTCCGTGCCGCAGCCGCCGATGCACCCGGCCCTCTAGCACCCTTCAAGCTCGTCTCCGGAATCGCGTTTGCAATAGCCGTGAAAACCTCCGTGACATTCGTGCCCAACTTCGCACTAGTCTCAAAGAAGAGCAGGCCCTCCTCATCAGCATAACTCCTAGCCTCTGCTGTGCTTATCTTCCTCGAATCGCCTTCGTTGTCGTCCTCCTCCTCGCCGTCGTCGTTGCGGCTCTCCTCGCCAGCTTCGTTTGTTAAGTCCAGCTTGTTGCCAACGAGGGCGATGACAATCCCCGGCGACGCCTGCCGTTGGAGCTCTGCCACCCAGTGCTTGGCTTTGATGAGGGAAGTTGGCTTGGTGAGATCATAGACGACGAGCGCGGATTGTGCGTTGCGGTAGTACATCGGTGCGAGGGAGGCGAATCGTTCTTGTCCTGCCGTATCCCAGATCTCGAATTTGATAGTACGGCTAGGGAGGTTGCATTTTTGAGTTAAGAAAGCGGCTGCCGGTTGTCAGTTTTGGGACTTTGATGCTGCAGATAGAGGCTACGAACCGCCGATGGTTGGCTCCTTGTTTTCTTGGAAGTCATTGTTTACGAACCGGAGGACGAGGGACGACTGCAACATGTTAGCGGGCTTGTGTGGCTAGCGGCTGTGGACTATCCATACCTTCCCAACTGCAGCTTCGCCCAGGAGAACCAGCTTTACGCTGCTGCTGGGCTTTGGTGTTCCACTTGTCCTATCGGTCATTGTAAGTTTCGCTCTGGCGCGAGGCGTATGCGGTTTTAAATCGATCAGTTGTGCCACATATGCTGTTGGCTGTTCGCGGAGACTGTCAGTTTTTATAGCTGTTGACGACGTAGTCGGAAGTATAAGGTAGAAGTTTTCTGGTTAAGGTGCCTAAGATGTTGGAATGCTCATGTTCCTGCCTGTGGGACCTTGACGGCTTCGTATGACGAAAGGCCCTGCATACAGTTTAGCGCAATCGCGGAGAAACATCGTTCCTGTCTCCGAAATATTTTCTGTATTGCGGACCTCGATTATATGAGAAAACTGACGGGGATTTCTTTTTAAGTTCATACGCACTGATTCACCACCGTCGCAATGGGCAAACGAAAGGCAGAATCCGAGGTCGCATCCGTCAAGGATATGGGTGCGAAGAAGATTAAGCAAGAAATCGCCAAGCAACCGAAAGTTGAAGCAAATCAGAATCTTCTGGATAGCGATTCGAGCGGGGATGAGGAATCCGACTCTGGCGGCGTGCCTCTAGAAGCGGAGTTCACTGTCAATAAAGAATATGCGAGACGCTTCGAATACAATAAAAAGAGAGAAGAACTGGCAAAGCGTGAGTGTCTGCCCCAATGAGTTATTGAATTCGCTCGCCTAACGTAAAATAGTTGAGGAAAAGTACCAAAAGGACAAGGCGAAGCCGATCAAGGGCCAGTACGGAGACAAATACGATGAGGAGGAGGACAGCTCATCCGACGAGGATGAAGATGACGAAGGCTTCCTTGCCACCGAAGATTTGGACGCCGAAATCTCAGCCACTCTTCAAGCTATTCGCAACAAGGACCCCAGAGTCTACGATGAGAAGGTTACATTCTATGCGCCAATCGACGAGACTGCACAGGATGGGCCGAATGCGAAGGCTGAGAAGCCAGTATATCTGAGAGATTACCACCGCGAGAATCTGCTGAAGGAGGCGGCGAATGGTGATGCTGGTGATGTGGAGATGGATGATGGGCCGCTGCCTACATTCAACCAAGAGCAAGCGATGCTTAAGAAGTCCATCGTCAAGGCTATGCACGAAGCTGGGTCGGATGAGGATGAGGACGAAGATGAAGACTTTTTGGTCCCGAAAGCGAAGCCAGCAACGGCCGTCAAATCAGAAGTACACGAGTCTCGCCGACACAAGATTAAGCTAGACACCGTGGGTGCCGACAAAGACCCAGAGACCTTCCTCTCGAATTTCCTGGCTGCTAGAGCGTGGGTTCCAGGAGAAGGAACAAAATGGGAGCCGTTGGAGTCGGATGACGACGAAGACGATCAGCGCGCCGACAAGTTTGAGACGGCTTTCAACCTGCGGTTCGAGGATCCAAAGGCTAGCAACGAGGTTCTGAAGTCTTTTGCCCGTGACATCATCGCGAAAAAGTCTGTGAGGAGAGAAGAGCCAAAGCCTAGGAAGAGAGCGAGAGACTTGGAGCGCGAGAAGCGAGACGCAGAGAAGCTGAAGCGCGAGGATGAGAAAGCGCGCCTGAGGAAGCTGCAGATCGATCAGATGGAGGAGAAGCTGGCAAAGATCAAGAAGGCGGCTGGTGTCAGTGGCAAGACTCTCAAGAGCGAAGAGTGGACAAAGTTCCTTGGCGAGGGCTTCGACGATGCTACTTGGGAAGCGGAGATGAACAAGAAATTCGGAGAAGATTACTACGCTGAAGGAGAGGCCGGGTCAGACGACGACAGTGAAGATGGTGAGGCTGGCGCTTCTAAGAAGAAGAAGAAGGTCAAGAAGCCCAAGTGGGACGATGATATTGACATCAATGATATCATCCCTGAATTCGTGGATGACGAAGAGGCTGTTGAAGGGGAAGGCTTCAAGTTATCTGACAACGACGAAGACGACGAAAGCCAACCAGCGAAGAAGGGCAAGACAAGCAAAGACCGTAAGGCAGACCTCCAGGCAAAGAAAAAGGCCGGCCGCATCGAGCGCAAGAAGATCGAAGAGCTTGTCGACGCCAAGCTTGACATTGACCATGCAATCCTCCCCACGAAGTCAAAGACAGCATCAACCTTCCGTTACCGCGAGACTTCGCCCACGTCTTTCGGTCTCACAGCGAGAGACATTCTCATGGCGCCAGACAACTCGCTGAACCAGTTCGTCGGCTTGAAGAGAATGGCTACTTTCAGAGACGCGGAGAAAAAGAGGAAGGACAAGAAGAGGCTCGGCAAGAAGGCTAGGCTGCGTGAGTGGCGTAAGGAGACATTCGGCAACGAGGATGGTCCAGAGATCATTATTGCGCCTGAAGCTGCTGAGGCCAAGGATGTGACTGATGATGTAGACATTATTGAGGGCAAGAAGAAGAAGAGGAGGTCGCGGAAGAGCAAGGCTGCAGATGAGGAGATTTAGTTTGATATCAGTATGAGTATGAGTATATGAATCAATTCAAGCCCGTCGATTTCTTGACAGCCATAAGTTAGCTGTGGGGTATCGAAATGGAGTTTCAGATCCGTTTACTTCAAGAAACTAAATTGTTTGTTAGATTTCATAATCCGCATACAGAAATTTCTTGGGTTTAAACATTTGCGCGTCTGCGACAGTACTGCACGTACATGATATTCTCGTTGCTTTAAAACTCGCCAAGGTTAAGTAACAAACTGATGATTGGAATTGAAGAGGCTATTTATGGGCTAAGTGGCGTTGCGTATAACAAATGTTGGATTGAAGAGATCCAACGCGGGATATGGTTAAAGCACCAATCGTACGTACAGCGCAACCCCCACGACGACCCCCCCTCCATTGCCTATCATAGCGGCTAAATATAAACCCGCCGCCGAAAGGCACATAAATGAGGGCTGAGATCAACGGCTTCATCCAAACGAAGGAATCCAGCCAAAGCGGGTCATAGTGTAATCTATTTTCATTCCCATCCATCTGCTGGCACTCTCGCATGGACCGCGGGCGCTTGCATTGTGAGCTCCAGCCCTTGAAACCAGCAACAATCTTGACATATTGACGGCGAGTATTGGATTAGGAAAAAGCTACCCTTGTTCCTGTCGAGCACGTCCGTTCCAACCATCTAGCCCATCAGCTGCCTCACGTCCTCCGGTGGCCACCTGACCTGTGCAAAGCTCAGGCAACGCTTGATGCTCTGCAGGAATTTGCGTGTCACCTCGTCGCCCATGACATGGCCCTTATCGCTCTCGTGCAGCTTCTCGCGCGCTGACCGCTCGTGGATACCCACCATGGTGACACCGATAGGCCAGGCTGCTTTGCCGATACTAAGGGTGAGATACCCGTCGTTGGCGTCCACGTATCTGCGTTCCTGTGCCGCTTTGACAATCTCAACGACTGGCTCGAGGATGCCTATATCGAGATCACCTTTCTCAAACTTCCGGAACAGCTGTTGGATGTTAGCATTTGTAGTATAGGGCCAAGAGAGGGGTCATACCGGCGTCATGTTCTTCTTGCTCTGCGCCATGGCGTTATACGCCGCCTTGCTAGCAAACGTATCCCTCTTGTCCTCCCTCAACAGCGCATCCTCCCACTCCTTAAGCACCATTGTAAAGTAGCTCGCCAACTGCCTATACAGCCACTTCGTCGCCTCCACATCCTCTGGCGGCGGCATCTTGTGAACCTTCATATCCTTCTCGTCCACCAGCTTCAAACTCGTTGGTATCGGCCCAGTGGTCATCACTGTCGTAACCCTCCTATACCGCCTAACCTTCTGTCTGTGATTCTCCCCCGGCAAGCTCGTCGGCTCCCCAATCTCCTCCAACAACTTCAGCACCTCCTCCTCCACAATATCGTCATCGTCCACCGCCTCCTCCTTCTCCTTCTCCACCAGCTCAGGCAACCCCACTCTCTTCCGCCTCCTCGCTTCCTCCTCCTTCTCTTCCTTCTCCCTCCTTGCCTTGCTCTCCTCCGCCAGCCTCCTTCGCTTCTCCTCACGCTCCTCTTTCGCCTCCGCCTCCTCCTCCTCGCGCTTCCGCTTCTGCGTCTCGTGCGCCAATCGCTCCTTCTCTAGTTGATCTTGGTGCGCTGCGTATGCCGCTTGCCGCTCGGCTTCCTCATCGGCGCGTTTCTTGTATTTCTTTCCGTCAGGGGTGGCGCTGGCGGGGGCCTTGGCCTTCGAGATCTCCTTCGACATTAGGGATGCGAAATCCATGGTTGCGGTCGCTTTGGTGTAGTGACGCAAGATCGCGAGGGGTGGGACCGGTTGCCAATGCCGGAATTAATACGTATTGTTGATGTGTAGTATTCGTATCCAACTGTAGCTTGAACGGCGGACAGTAGTTGGTATCGTAAATGCTCAAGTGCACTCAGCGTGGGGTCATTCACAAGTCGATGTCGCACCGGTATTTTAGTACGAGGCTGATCAGGGCCGCCCAGGCGCAGCAAACACAGCGCCAACACTGGACAAACAATACCGTAAGGCTGAGGGGCCGAGACCCCAAGCCCCAAAATCTTCGCCTCACCTCCCTGAATCTGAACCCCGTCTTGAAGAGACAATAATTCACAACCCAATCTCAAACTATCTATTGAATTTCTAGCTGAGCTATTTTGCACCTCATAATCCTCACATCGCCCCGCATCAACGGAGACACTTGCGAACCCAACGACTCGCACCCACCAACAATCCACCACCAATCCACCACCAACACCCCCCAGCAAAAACACCCCCCATCAACCAATGCCAGACCCAAACCGCCGCTACGCATACCTCGCTATCTCCACCCTCGTCGCAATCTGGTTCTGGGTTTTAATCGGACGACCGACCAGCCCAGGTGCCCTCTTCGGCAAGAGCGCTGATCCCGTTAAGCCGCTCGCGGGCTTCACGTCTGGGAACTAGACGTCGGTGTGTGAGAGGTACCAACAACCAGATAGGGTTGGATAGAGGGGTACGAGTACTCTAGGATAGAGAGAGAAGAGATACAACAAGAAAAATAGAAAGAGAAAGAGCAGGAACGCAGGAATGTCCCTCTATTATGAAGCAGCCGACGTGCTGAAAGCACCCACCACAACAGGCGGCAGCCTCAAGTCCCGCATCTTCAGCAAGAAAGACTTCAAGGCCGCCCCAGCACAGATCTACGCCCTAGTGATCGAGACATGCAAGTGGTCGGCCGTACTAAAGGAAGTCATCGAGAAAACCGGACTACTAGGTCTAGAGAGAAAGGTTCGTTCCGTCCCCTACCGCCGCCAGAAAATACCTATCAACTAACACCCCCTTCCCAGCTAACACCCCTCCTCTCCCTCCTTCTAGTACACGACCTCCTCCTCGCCAAGCGCGGCATCTCCCTCCCCGCCACCCACGGCCTCCGCGCCTCCATCGAGCGCCACAAAGCGCGCCTCACCGCTGAATTCACACGCGCCCGCATCCGGCGCGGCCTCGGCAGTCTCGAAGCGCTGACCGAGCACGTCGAGGCGGGGGGTGACAACACGTCCGGCATCCCAGTTACCACGCACCCTCGCTGGATCCGTATTAACACTCTCAAAACCACGCTCGAAGACCAGCTCGCCACGACGTTCAAGGACTACACGCGCGCCCTCGAGGTGAGCGAGGTGCAGAAGCGAGGCGGGAAGAAGATCCTCCTCGACGCGCACGTACCCAACCTCATCGCCGTCCCCCCAAGCGCGGACCTAACGAAATCAGCAGCCTACACATCCGGCGCGCTCATCTTCCAGGACAAGGCGTCGTGCTTCCCGGCGTATTTGCTTGACCCGCTTGCCGAGGATGGGGATGTGATTGACTCGTGCGCCGCGCCGGGGAATAAGACGACGCATCTTGCGTCTATACTGGCGTCGCATTCTCTGGCGGTTGATATAGCCGATCCAACTACCTTGGCGGAGCTACCGCAGAAAATTCATGCGTTTGAGAAGGATAAGGTGCGCGCGACGACGTTGGCGAAGATGGTTGCGCTGGCGGGGTCGGATGGCATGACGAAAATACACGCTGCGACCGACTTTCTCAAAGCTGATCCCGAGTCCCCGCAGTTCGCGAAGGTGGGCGCGCTGCTGCTTGATCCTAGTTGTAGCGGCAGCGGAATCGTGGGGCGCGACGACATGCCAGAACTGCACCTACCCTCTGCCGACGCCAAGAGCGGTGCAGCACCAGGCGGCAAACCCGGCGGAAAAGGGGCCAGGGGAAAGGGCAAGGGCAAAGAGCAGCCAGCCGAAGACGAAAAGCCGTCCCAAAAGCGAAAACGCGACGGCGAGGCAGAGGAGAAAGTCGAAGTCCTCCTCGACGACGACGGAATCCCCACCGCTATCACCTCCGCGCAAGACCTGCAGGCGCGCCTAGCCGCCCTAGCAGCCTTCCAACTCACTCTCCTTCTGCACGCGATGCGCTTCCCCGGGGCGCGGAAGATGACGTATTCCACGTGCTCAGAGCATAATGAGGAGAATGAGGGCGTGGTTTTGGCGGCGCTGGAGTCGGGGGTTGCGAGGGAGAGGGGGTGGAGGGTTTTGAGACGGGAGGAGCAGGTGGGGGGGATGAAGAGGTGGGATGTTAGGGGTGTGGAGGGGCCGAATGGGGAGTATGAGAAGATTAGCCAGGGGTGTATTCGTGCGAATAAGGGGGATGGGGAGGGGACTATGGGGTTTTTTGTTTGTCCGTTTGTGAGGGATGGGGAGGTGGAGAAGAAGGTGGTGAGGGATGAGAGAGGGATGATTGTGAGGGATGCGATGGGGATACCTGTTCTTGCATCTGTATCTGGTGGTGAGGATGTGGCGATGGATGATGAGGATGAGGAGTGGGGTGGAATTCGCGATGAGGCTGAAAAGCAGGTTGTGGAGAGCGTTCCGAATGGAGAGGCTACTGCCGCCGTGGATGAGGACGAGAGCAAAGAGGGAGAGGCTTCAAAGCCTGCTAAAAAGAAGAGAAGGAAGGCGAAGAGGAAGACTTGATGTGGGACGTAATGATGTTTGTGAGTATACAAAGCAGAGAAGATATATAGTGTGTACATGGCGTTCTTTAGTATATAGATAATTTCTCATCTGACTTGCAGTAGCTAATGCATGTCTGTGAATCTTTGCGCAAACCCATCCCCTTCACAACTGCGCCAAAACTGTTCAGACGTCAGCTCACGGACGTCGGCTCACGAACCAACTCGATCATGAATTGGTTCGTTCACGTAGTGGGCTTACGTCGTCGGATTAGTCGTCAGCGCCTAGACTCGGAGTGAACTTTAGTTTCGCGCATACTCAGCTACCTCCGCGCGAAACCAACCCAACACATTCCCACACCACGTGCTTGGAGGGCTGCTTATAAACCAGCCGTCGTAGGCTCATGTAAGGGGTAGGAAAAAGAAGGGGAAGAAGGCCGAAGAGGAAAAGGGGTAAGACGAGAAGGGGTGGGAAGGGGAAAGGGGTAGAAAAAGGGGCGAAGAAAGCCGAAGAGAGGCGTCTGGAAAGACTAAAGCCGGAGAGAAAAAGACCGAAGAAAGCCGCAAATGAAGAAGGAGGCGGCTTAGAAAACGGCAGCGAACGCCGTGGAAAGCCGTAGGGTTTGTTTGGACAGCGTCCAAACTGCCTTTTCGCGCAAATCCAGCTCCATTTAGTCGGATTTGCGCGAAAGCCCATCTAAACATGTGTAGAGAACTTACCAAGAATCAGCCGCCTCACCGCAGACACAGAGAGGCAGCTCGCTTAGTAGCTCGAAGAGCAAGCTCGCAGACAGGAGGGTCACGAAGAAGCTCACGAACCATCAGAGTCATCGAAATTTTGGATCCTGGCGTTTGGCGCAAATCTGCGCTGCCAGAGCCGGATTTGCGCACAAACCCATCACAATATTCTAGGAAACTCACCACTGACCGGCAGTCTCATCGCAGACAGACAGCGAGCTCGCTTACTAGCCCGAAGAGCAAGCTCGCAGACAGGGTCACAGGCGTCCTCGCGATCCTCCGGACTCATCACACTCTGGAATCTGGTGTTTCTGCGCAAATCCACCGTTCTGTAGATGAATTTGCGCACAAACGCTTCAGCACGTATGTAGAAGGCTCCCTACCGTAGACTATTATGCCCATGGCCCCCCCTTTCCCCCCCCCGGAAGGCCGCCAGCCAATCGTAGACAACTAAGGGGCTAGCCGACTCGCAGACAGGGTCGCCGACTTCTTCACGAACTTCCGGACTCATCGACTTTTGGATTCCGGTGGTTTGTGCGCAAAATCCAAAATTCCATATGTGATTTTGCGCAAAAACGCTTCAAGGCATAGCTAGAGTTCTAGCCAATCGTAGACGAGAAAGAGAGAGGCTAGCTCAACTCACAGACAGGGTCAGGTCCGTCCTTACGAAGTTCAGGACTCATCGAACTTTTAGATTCTAGCAGTTTGCGCGCAAATCCGGGATTTCATAGATGATTTTGCGCATAAACGGCTTTACCCCCCACACGGGGCTCTAGCCAATCGCGGACGGATAGGGGGCTAGCTTTCCGCAGGCTAGCCGGGCTCATGAACAGGGTCGGGGCCTTCCTCACGAAGCTGCAGAGTCATCGAACTTTTGGATTCCGGTGTTTGCGCGCAAATCAGCGATACTGCGCATGAACAGCTTCAGCCCCTACTTAAGATAGCCGACCAATCGTAGATAACTAAATAGGGTCACGACCATCCTCACCAACTTCCAGAGTCCTCAAACTTTAGGATTCTGGTGATTCTGCGCAAATCTAGCGGCGCTCTTAGATGAATTTGCGCGAAAACGCTTCGAGGCACGTTAACGGGTCGGGCCGGCCCACTGCGGACCGTTCGTCTGGTTTACCCCGCGCGGGGGGGGCTTACGGATCGTGGTGACGGCGGCTCACGGTGGCAGCTATGGCCTTCCAACGGCTCTAGAAGGGCTCTAGGAGGGCTTTGGAAGGGCTAGCTGGCTGTGCTCACGAGACTCGTGTCGAATTTCAGATTCAGCGCAATTTTCCGACCATCAAGAGGAATATGCGCAAATCCATTCCTGTACATGTATGGGAGACGGGAGGCCAGGCTGTTGACCGTGGCAGCTCAATTTGGACACGCTAGCTAACCGATGGCGGGTGACGGGTCATCGTTAACCTAGCTCAAAGAAATAACAAACAGGATTTTGGACTTGTACGGTTTTCGCGCATATCGACCTCCTCTTTGCCGGATTGCGCAAAAAGCGCTAAACACGCCTCGGTACATGTTTAGAGGGGCCGGCTTACTCGTACCATCGACGGCTTACCTCGGGTGGCTTCTTTTTCATCGTAGATTGAACCGGCTTATATCGGGCGGCTTCTTCCTGCACCGGCACATGCACAGAGGCCGACCATCACGGTAGACCGACAGTCGCCGTAAGCGGCTCATCGCGGGTCGGCTCACCATAGGCCTTGATCGCTAGGCTCCTAGGCTTGTGGACTGACGTTTTGCGCAAATCGGCGCCTAGCTGAGCTAATTTGCACAAACACGTGTCTGCACCAGTGCAGAGGACGGGCCGTATGGTGGTGGCGGTGTATTTGTGTGTTCCCCGCGAGCGGGCTTATCGTGGATAGGCGGGTTCATCGTAGGTCGGCGAGGTGTGCTCCATGGCGGACAGGCGGGCGCGCGCTCATCGAGGCTTGACTTCCTCATCGTTGAACCGGCGACAGCCGAGGCCCCGCCATTCCCCTCCATCGCGCCGCAACCACGCAAAACAGCGGTCACACATGTTTAGAAGGCCTCACCGAAGGCCAGTAGCGCGGCGGGCTCATCGTAGGCGGCTCATACCACCAAGGACTTGACTTGGCTTGGCTTCTTCACCGTAAACTAGCCGGTGAGGGGCGTGTTCACCATCGACTCGTGTCGTCCGTTTGCGGCCTCCCGGCCCTCTATCAGCATCAACCCCGCCAAAGGTGATCTCAAACATGTTCCGAGAAGCGCTTTCTCTCATCGTAGACATGCTGGATCAGGTCACGAGGCGGAGAAGGAGTAAGAGGAATGCCATATGTCATGTCAAACATGTTTCGAGAAGCGCGCTTGCTCTCATCGTAGAACTGGCGTCTTCGGCAGCGACAAGCGCATGAGGAGTGCCATGGTCATGCCATGTTATGTCTTGAATGTCACACATGTTCCTCGAAACACCCGTGACCGCATACGCACGGACACTGATACTGACGTCCTCGGGACACATTAGACTTATAGACAGGACTGACGCGTGGGATCTGGTTGGGTTTGTTTCCCCCGCACACCACCCATCCTCTGTCTAGAGTCAACCGCTTAGAAGCAAATGAAAGGCCAAACAAGTTTAGAGAAGTGCTTCAGACTCACAAACCAGACCTGAGTCGCCTCCCCGCAAACGCGTTCCCAAACACTGTTTCCGATAGACTTTCAGCACGGAACTGTGGACACGCCGTTCACCCGCTTGCGAACGTGCGGGCCGGGCCATGTGTGGACCCAGAACCGACTTTCCAGCATTCCAGCATTCCAGTCAGCATTCCAGCATTCCAGCACTCCAGCACTCCAGCACTCCAGCATTCCAGCACTCCAGCATTCCAGCACTCCAGCACTCCAGCATTCCAGCACTCCAGCACTCCAGCATTCCAGCATTCCAGCACTCCAGCAACTCGGCCAGTCATACTCACGGAGCGAGGTACGTAACCTCCGGTCGGTGAACACATCGTTAGCACGCGCGCAGAGAACCACGACTTGCGCAGAGATCCGGGAGTCAACTACAGCGACGCAGCAACAGAGATAATTCCATAGGGTGTCAACTGTCGAGTAGAGCAAGCTGTAGAGAATTCGATGGCGCGTCGAGAGCACCGGTGGTGGGTAAGACACGCGTCTCACCTTCCGACGTGATAGTCGGGTATAGAAGCGGTTGAAGACTGTCTCGTCTCAGTGACGCGACGCGACTCGATCGGATATTGTATGTTATGTTGAGGCCGTACATCTGCATGTATAACCAACCCAACCCTCGCACTGTCCGTGGTGGTTGTTGTTGGTTTATTTCATCTCATCCCTTCTGGGGAGAGGGGAGGTGATAGATACGGTAAATGCCCTCCCTTAGCTCGTCGGAAACGCGTTCAGCGCGTTTCAATCCGGCGGCTCCCTTCCATACGAGTACAGTATCTACACTCCCCTCCCTGAGTGCGGGATGAAACAACTATTAATAGGCTGGATGGGGTATTGTATGTTGTGTCTAATCTCACCACGTCTCCGCTACCTAAACTAACAGGCGGCTTGTCTTGGTTCGCAGCGCTATCTAACAGGCGGCTTGTCTTGGTTTGCAGCGCTATCAACTAACAGGCGGTTTCAACTAACAGGCGGCTTGTGTTGGTTCGCAGCGCTATCAACTAACAGGCGGCCTTTGGTTCGCAGCGCTATCTACTAACAGGCGGCCTTTGGTTCGGAGCGATATCTACTAACAGGCGGCCTGTGTTGGTTCGCAGCGCTATCTACTAACAGGCGGCTTGTGTTGGTTCGCAGCGGGGCTCAGGAGAGGGGAGGAGGTGTGATGTGTGATGGGATGGTGATGGGATGGTGATGGGATGGTGATGGGATGGTGATGGGATGGTGATGGGATGGTGATGGGATGGTGATGGGATGGTGATGGGATGGTGATGGGATGGTGATGGGATGGTGATGGGATGGTGATGGGATGGTGGATGGATGGGAGTAATCTCCCCCAAGTCGCCCCAGACACGAGATAAGGGGGGCTAGAGTAAACGGGGACAGAGGTCGAGGCGGGTACGCGTCGCTGATTGGACAACGGGCGGTAGGTTCGGGGGAAACATCTACGTACTGGGAATGGCGCGTGGTGATTGGTGGGAAGGAGGAACCCAGTAAAATATGACAATATGAAAATATGGAAAATATGGAAAATATGGAAAATATGGAAAATATGGAAAATATGGAAATACGGAAATACAGAAGTACGGGATGACCCAATGGGGGAGGTTGCTGCCGCTCGGGGAACGGGGGAACGGGGGAACGGGGGAACGGGGGGAACGGGGGGAACGGGGGAACGGACCACAACGCGCATCTAATCTCCCGCTGCCAGGGGGACACGGCATGTACCGGTCGGTACAAACCAAAAGGACAGTATGGACCGGCGTGGAGTGGACGAATGGCGGAGGGGAATGAAGAAGACGCGGCATACCCGCACACGCACGGCGCTGAGACAAACTGGCCGAGACGGACATACTGGCCGAGACTGACCAGCAGGGTTGGCTGCTGTGGACGCGCTGAGGTTTTGTGATGATGATGGATGGGTGGTGGGCTGGTAGCACGATGCTTTCGTTATTGTTGTACGCATATGCTAGGTTTGTGTCGTGTGTGTGTGTGTGTGTGCTGTGTGCGCTGTTTGTGCGCTGTCTGTGCGCTGTGTATCCGCTGTGTTCCGCTGTCTGTGCGCTGTGTGTCTGCTGTGTGTCCGCTGTGTTCTGCTGTGTGTCCGCTGTGTTCTGCTGTCTGTTCGCTGTCTGTCCACTGTCTGTTTGCTGTCTGTCCACTGTCTGTTCGCTGTCTGTCCACTGTCTGTCCGCTGTCTGTCCACTGTCTGTCCACTGTCTGTCCACTGTCTGTCCACTGTCTGTCCACTGTCTGTCCGCTGTGTGTGCTAGGCCTGTATCGTACTGTCAGGTACCATCCCAGCCACCCTCTCTGTCAAGTTTCCCTGTCAAGTTTCCCTTCTGTGCCCATCACCCACCGCCAATCCGCCAACCCACCAATCCACTCTCCACCACCTCACCCCCCCACCCTACCCCCTCCACCCCCCTGTCCCCCCTGTTTCCGCTAACCCTGTCAACACAACCCACTCCGTACCACAATCTCCACTACCACAATCTCCACTCCACCCTAATCTCCCCCTACCCGAATTAATTCCCTTTCCTTATATCTCCCCCCATCCTCCTCTCCATCCTTCTTCTTTCTTTCCTCTCTTCTTCACCCACCACCAACTTCCTTCCCAGTATCCAAACAGGCTTCCTTTGACTTCGGTCGTCCATTCTTTAAAAGAATCAATTCAGCTTCGTCTTTTCAACCCAACACTCCCTTTTTTAAAACCACCTAAACCGTCTTTTATAAAAACTACTCTCCACCGGCAACATGCAATTCACCTTCGCCACCCTTGCCGTCATGGCCACCGCCGTCCTGGCCACTGCCCCAGACTCCACTATCTACCAGACTGAGGAGGTCACCATCACCAGCTGTGCCCCTACCGTCACCGTAAGTACACTCTCCTCCGATCTGAACCTCGCAAACCACCACCAGATCGATCACTAACAATTCCCCCAGGACTGCCCGGCCCACTCCACCGTCGTCTCCCTGACCTCCTACCCAGTCACCACCACCGCCGAGGAGAAGCCCCTCACCACCGCCGCCCCATCCCCCACCGAGGAGGCCGAGGAGACCCTCACCAGCTTCACCACCATCGTCAACACCATCACCAGCTGCCACCCCACCGTGACCAACTGCCCCATCGGCAAGGTGACCACCATCACCGTCCCCCACTCCACCACCAAGGCCGCCGCCGCAACCACCCCCGTCGTCCCAGTCGTCCCCGTCACGACCGAGAAGCCCATCGCCCCTAAGCCAACCGTCCCAGCTCCCCCGGTCACCATCACCATCAGCTCTTGCCCGGCTGTGGTCCCAACCTGGACTTCCGTCCACATTGGCCCAACTGCCCCAGCCGTCGCCACCATCTCCGGCTTCCCCAAGCCAAGCAACGGCACCATCGTCACCCCACCAGTCGTCACCTCGCCTCCTATCACTGGTGCCGCCTCGGCCGTCTCGGGCTCCATCTTCGCCGTTGGCTTCGCCGCCATCGTCGCTGTCTTCTTCGCTTAAGCGGTTTCACTTCGACGATGACCAGAGGGATATATTTCTTCAGTCCGCCGCCTCGCTGGCCGTCTTCGTTCTGATACTACGGAGGGAGAAGGGTTGGAGAGGGCATCGGCTACGACTTTCAACGCATATTGGGATGGCTTTGGGAAAATGAGAGGGGACTGTCCTTTTTTCATGTAATTCGGTAATTCTGGCAGGAGTGGTTCGCACACACATTGGTTTGTTTTGTTTATTATGGTTTTTATTTTACGGAATAAATACAACCGGTTACTTCAAAGTTGCTCTTTTTATTTCCAACGTTGTGTGCAATATAAACCGTGTGTGTGTGCGCTGCTCCTAGTGTTAGTTTTTGCTTCCCTTTTTCGTTTCGATACTGGCGGGGTTGCGTGTGGACTGCAAATATATACCTTTTCCCCCATATATATGCTGTGCCTTGTAATATGTCTTACTTGATGTCAGTGATGCCTCGTCGTATGTGTCTATATGTATGTATCTACGTTGTAAACCCCTCCTTCTCATGTCCCTTCTCATCTCGATAGATGCTGCTATTCACTAGCACCCCCACACAACCTCATATATATCTATACCTCCATCCATACCCTCTACATACCCTGCGTGGCTGTGCTGCGACCTCTGCAGCAAGGGCTGAGGTCCAGTCTCTGGCGCCCCAGCTACCGCCGAAGGAGAGGGATGGAGTTGGCGCAGGCGCGGAGGGACGAGGACTGCAGCAGCGTGGCCCAGTCGAGGTCGTGCGCGAAGGCGGAGGAGAGGGTGGAGTGGGTGAGGGAGGGGTGGCGGGCGAAGAAGGGCGCGAGGTCGTGTGAGCGGATGGTGAAGGAGGAGAGGGAGAGGTGTTTGAGGTAGGGCGAGGTGGAGGGGCCGAGGAGGGGGGTGAAGGATTAATAGTGGTCGCTGTTGGCGCCCCCTTGTTTGATGCAGAGCGTCTGTAGGACTTGGGCACTGCGGGGTCTCTGACGAAGTTGTTGAACCTGGACGATTGGACAATGTGCCTCATATAATCATCCTCGGCCTCATCCTCGCCCCCATTCCCACCCCCACCAGCAGAGATTCAAATTAAATAATTATAGAGAGGTGGTTTAGACGTACTCGAGGAAATTATCCTTTGTCTATGTGGAGAATATGCACCTTCGCACCTGCCCTCTATGCACAATCGGTTGGCTGTGGAAAGTTAAATCGTCCATACATGGGCAACAGTGAGGGTTGGGGTGAAGTTATGTTACGCCTGTAATCGTGAAATTGTGCGTCTGATAACAAGCGCCATAGTAGGCATCCAGTTATCTACATTGCCGCCATGGCGCAGTGGTAACGCGTCGCACTTGTACCACTAAGACAGTAAACTGTCTAGCAATCTAATGCGAAGATCCCTAGTTCAATTCTGGGTGGCGGCATAATTTTTGTATTTTACTTTTTGCCATTTGCCATTTGCCATTTGCCATTTGCCATTTGCCATTTCATTTGCCATCTCATTTGCCTTTTCATTTGCCTTTTGCTTTTTATATTTTTGCTTACATTTTCCTTTCGTTTCCTTCGTTCCTTCCTTTCTTGAATGGCACAAAAAGAAATCCACCACTTTGCGGCCAAGGTCCGTCGCTTACGTGGTAGCGAGTGACCGGAGCCTCGGTGTACCTGCCAAGAAATCCCTGGTTTTGCTTGATTAAGGGAAATCCATAGACTCGTTCCTGCAACCTGCAACGTATGAACGAACCTACGAACACAGGTAAGACGGAAGGGGGCCACCCCCACCGAGAACCCCCATTTTGATTCGTCTCAAAAAGCCAATCCATAACCAGGAGGCTTATTTTGCCTGTATGTACGTGACCGCCTTCCTTCCATTGGAGTCGGTCCATTTTTATAAGCTGACGTCAACGTCACAGCCCAACGGGGAAGTACGCGCTTTCCTATCGCGTCCGGTCCATTATAGCAAGTACTATGAGGCTGAAGTCGGGCTTTCCATTGTTTACCTTTCTGTCATCTACAATCTACATCTTCAAACTTTCCTTCTCCAGTCTTCCAGGAGCAATTGACCACGGATTTACGGAGTACACCTGACTGATGTTGGAATAACACTCGGTGCCGCTAGTCCCGAGACCAACCTCCGCGCCTTCCGGGGACACTAGCAACGGGTTCTCCGGTGCCAATAATTTCTTACTGTTGCTTGCAACCTGTCTTCTTCCCTGTGAATGTCGTGGCTATGGAAGGATCAAGTGGTAAACCATTGGGCAAGACGGGAGTGCCGCTGCTAGAGGAGGAGGCGCAAGCCAATGCCCAAACCCAAACATTGGAGCCACCCCAACAGGCAGCAGCGGAAGACAATGCTCAAACCCAAGCACCGGAGCCACAGCAGCAGGCGGCGGCGGAAAACGAGGGGAGCGATGAAGAGCGTGTTGATTTGCGGAACTTGACGGAAGAAGATGCAGAGTCGCTGGTGGGAGTGTCGATGAACTGGGCGCTCACGCGCCGCAGCTCGCTGCAGTCAACCATCCCAGGCTCCATCGCCGAGGTGGAATTGGAGGGAGGGGAGTTCCTGGAAAGCGACGAGGAGAGGCCGTCGCAGCAAACTACAACGTCGGAGAAAGCGAAGCTCACGGAATCGTCGCGTGCTGAACATCGCGAGACGGTGGTTGAAGGGAAAGAAGAGAAGCGGTCATCTTTCAGGGCAAAGATATCGACGAAGCGAAGGTCGATATCGATATCAGGGGGCGGAGAGTCCCTGAGGAAACTTTTACCTTCTTTATCTGGAAGTATCAAACTTGGCCTGCAGAAGGCACGGAATAAGGCAACAGGAGGGAGTAGTTACTCGTCAAGTCATCAGGTGAGTGGCCAGACAAGTGACCAGGCGACGCCAGTTCCTGGTGGAACTGCCCCTAGCGACGTTTCCGGAACGGGCAGCCCTCATAAGATGGAGTCTAAAATCACACTTGAGCGAGAGAGAACCCCAGACCAAGGAACGACTCAACCGCCATTGCTGCGGGTAATCTCCGATTCAATGCTTTATTCCTCCCTCTCACGCATCTCCTCCCTCGGCGACGACTCCCGCTTTGAAAACAACCACCAGATGATCAATTCTCGCCGCAAGGCATTAAGTGATTCGTTACAAGACAAAAGTTTCAAAATGCCAACCATGCCTAGTTTACCCAACTTGAAGGAAAAATTCAATGCTATCAGTGGCTACGCGACGCGCCCACCGGATGAGAGCTCAAAAGGCAAGGTGCTCAGCGATGCAGCGAAAGGGCAAAGCTTAGATGCCAAGGCAACTCTGTCGTCCGATAAAATGAAGGTCTTTGATAGGGTTATAGAGCATCTGACTGGTGACGTTGTGGTCTTGGGGGGTTACCGAGGATCAATTCTCAAATCAACGAAAGCGTCAGATCGCCCGCTTTGGATACCACCTGTGGGAGTCGGGCTAAATCTTGGGACAGTAGACTTGGAGGTCGGTCTGGAAGATGAAGACGATGAGCGAATGGAAGAGAGCGTCTATGCGTCTGGGATGCTGCGGAACATTGGAGTGGTGGATATATCGCGCCGCCTAATCAAACGGTTGCGGGGGACAGAGAACGCGAAGAATGGGACACTGCGTGTCTGGGATTACGGATACGACTGGCGCCTCAATCCTCACCTCCTAAGCCGCAAGCTGAAGGAATTCCTTGAAGGGCTGCCATGCAATGTGCCTGGTAAAGATAAGGGTGCCCTTGTTATCGCCCACAGCCTCGGCGGCCTCATCACCCGCCATGTCGTCAACCAGCGCCCAGAACTATTTTCGGGCGTCATATACGCCGGTGTCCCACAATCTTGCATTAACATCATCGGGCCTCTCCGAAATGGTGACTCCGTGGGCTTTAACCAGCGCATATTTACTGCACAAGTCAACTTCACGCTGAGGACGAGCTTGGTTCTCCTCCCGCTTGACGGTTATGGTTACATCGACAAGGTGACTAAAGAGCCCTATCACATTGACTTTTTTGACGTGAACGACTGGATCAAATACCGCATCTCGCCCTGCACGGATCAACCGATGCCGGCTAGGAATCCTCCAAATCCATCTATCGCCAGTGCCATCACCAGCAGTCTCACTAGTCTGACAATACCACGCAAGAACCCCTCGCCACCACCACCAGCGACAGGAGTGGTCGCAAAAACCACTGGCCAGAGCACCGCCTCCAAAGCCATGGAAAAGGTCACTTCACCACTGCGAAAGCGAAAAAAGGCAAAGAAACAGTCTGATGCGACTCCCCCATCCTCAGACTCACCCAAAACGTCCCCATCCGTGCTCCCCCGCTCCGCCGCCGTCGCCTACCTCACGCGCATCCTCCCCGTTATCAAGCAATTCAAGCTGGAGCTCGCGCACCGCCCCGACACCGAAGTCGCGAACAAGTACCCGCCGCTCGCGGTCATCTACGCCAAGAACACTCCCACAGTGTGTGCGGCGAAGGTGGATGATCGCGATGCCATACCGTGCGCGGATGTGTATAATAACCTTGCGTTTGCGAGCGGGGACGGAGTGTGTCTAGCCAAGGACGCGCAGCTGCCGTATGGGTATCGGTATGTGCTTAATGGACGAATTAGAACCGAGAGGGGGCATGTTACGATGTTGGGGGATCTGGAGGCGGTGGGAAAGGCGATAGAGGCTGTGTATAAGGGGAGGGAATTGGGAATTGGATTGGGACTTGGGAATAACGAGATATGGGATTAGGCGTTTGCTGAGCGGTGTTGCGCTTTATGTATTGTTATGGTGTTTTAAGACAGATGGGTAAAGCGCAAGCTATGGAAAGGGCTGGAGTTCAGGGGTAGATGATCGGGATGCTGGGCATCCGCTACTAGCTGATGTTTGAGTAACGATTGCACATATTATTATAAACGGCATTATATATGAATCAAGTATCTTCGTCTATGTGCAAATATCCTATATACAACGATTTAACTCCAAAGTATTGCAGCTTCGGAACCGTGCAGTTCTCGCATATAGCTAGACCGCCATTCTGTGCTCAGTGCGAGTGCCGCTATCGTCGTCGCCGGTACGAACGCCACGTACCAAACAACTCGCTGTTCTGTGTAGCAGTCCCACGCCCTCCCTTCGTGCCTCCGGCCTCATGCATACTGCGACTACCGTGCAACGAGCGGGCGGTTAGGCACCTTGATATCCAATGACCCCAGCTCCTCCACCCCCAACCCCCCTTCCCCGCGCACCCCTCCCTCGCTCCAAAAAAAAGGCATCTCCTCCCCACCACCCCCTCACCACACATCCTCCGGATGGACCTCAAAATTCTCCCCATTCTCCCTAACATGCTTCCTCTCCTTATCCCTCCTCAACGGCTTCCTCATATCATACGCGTCCTCCCCCTTCCCCTCCTCCACCCCCGGCGACGGATCATCACTATAATAATCCAGCACGCGCCGAAACACAGAGTATCCCAGCCCCTTATACAGTCCTATCGCGATCTCGTTGCTCTTGCGCACATACAGGTCCACGAAGTAGGCGTTGGACTCGTCGCCGGCGTGCTCGAGGGATTGGGAGAGGATGCGCGCGAGGCCGAGGCGGCGGGCGGGGGGGGCGATGGTGAGGGCGGTGATGTGCGCGTGCCAGGGGAGGGCGTGGGGGGAGTGGCGGAGGTAGGCGGGGGAGGATTCGAGCTTGCCCATTACTGCGGGGGGGTGTTAGTTGAGGGGTGGGATGGTGGGGGGAGGGGGAGGTACTGTAGCCGTCGATGGCGCCGGTGTGGCTTTCGGCGACGTTGAAGAGGTGGGGCCAGCGCGCGAGGTAGGTGAAGTAGAAGTCTAGGCCGTAGGTCTCGGTGAGGGGGTCGAGGTTGGTGGTGTTGAAGTTGAAGACGTCCATGGCTTGGAAGGGGCGGATGGAGGTCATCTTTGCGGTGGGGTGTGGTTCTGTTCGCGCCGGAGAGGGTTGAGGATGGGCTGGATCAGAGTGGGAGGATAAAGATAAAAGCCACAAAGGCGGGGCTGAGATGAGTCGATATATTTCACAAAATGTTCCTGACTTTCATAAAAAGTCAGGGTCGTGACGTGTTGTTCTCGCTTCCCCGAATTTTATTTAACTTGGCGTATCCCTGTATTTGACGACGCCCGCCAGGTGTCGCGCAGGAAATATCTCCAGCCAACAGTCACCCCACCCCCCAATATAGCACATCCCGCTTGTCATCCTCCTCCTCTCACGACCCCACGTCACCCAAAAAAGCGCTCACGCCCTCGCTGGCGTTGACCGCTTTACTCCCCAAATCCCCCGCCCCAGGGTCCCATCTAACCAAGTCAAGGTGGCTTCACGCGCAGTGGCATCGCAAGGTGCCACGACTTTCACATCCTTGGTTCAACACCTGCCCGACTCGCTGCAGAGCTACCTCGACGCCGCCCTCGTCAGCGTCAACAGCGCCTATCAGCAGATCCCTGAGCCTGCCCGAGACTACATCCACGAGGCCGCCGAGCGCTCCTACCTTAATACGCCGGTTGGTCTTGCCGGAACCACACTGGTCCTTGTCGCGGCTGTCGTTTCAATGAGTCGCTGGGGATCTAGCTTCTGGACTGGAGGGCAGCGCCTGTCGCCGTTTGGCTCCAGATCTCACGCCCCGCCTGTTATCTCCGACGATGACTTCTCCTACATCACATCGGAAGACTTGGCGGAACCAAGCAGAGCATATGACCCGCTGTCTCGCCCACCAGCGTCGAGCGACTTGGAGGATGACGTGTTGCTGCTGAAGAACAAGGGAATCACATATCCGCTGAAGTTCCCTGCATTCAGCATCGGAGATGGGAAGCTGCTCGTCCGGGATGTACGAGAGCGTGCTATGGTGGTGCTTGGCATCAGAAACAGGCCTATAAAGCTACTATACAAGGGGGGGCAGCTGAAGGACAACGAGGGCCTCTGCCGCGATTATGGCCTGAAGGATAAGTCCGAGGTCTTGTGCATCGTGGAAGAGCCTCCGGCTGGCGACTCGGACTCGGGTCTCAGCGACACGGGGACCGGTGGGTCCAAGGATTCAAAGAAGAAGAAGAAGAAGAAGTCTAAGAAGGGCAAGTCGGGCAAGTCGAAGAAGAAGGGCGACAAAGACGACGTCAAGGAGGGGCAGGGGGGTTCTGGAGGAGGAGGGTCACGGACAGACTCGCCAGCTAATGCTCCGAAGACACCGCTAGAAAAACTGAACGCTATTGCATCGGACTTCCATACGAAGATCCTCCCGCTTTGTATTGTATACACGGCAAACCCACCAGAAGACCCGAAGAAGAAGGACTTTGAGCATAAGAAGCTGGGCGAGACGATCATGTCCCAAGTACTACTGAAGTTGGATGGAGTTGATACGGAGGGAGACCCAGAGGCCAGGCAGGTCAGAAAGGACCTTGTCAAGGAGACACAGGGAGTTTTAGATGGGCTCGATGCGGCTGCGGCCCGGTCTTGAAGTATTTGTATGGCATGGGAAAGGGATGGGCATAGTACAGGCGTTGTCCACGGTCAAGGAGAAGTTGTATGACAGTGGATGACCAAAGAAATATTACGAAAATACGCGTCTCTCACTTCCATATCCACTTCCGTCAGCAGATTCCACAGTGATTGTAAAATAATAGAGAAGAGATGCTACAAATGGAGAATATAGCCCATGAATAATATTTTGATCACGTGTTTTATCTTTTTGTGCATGCATCGTGGGTAATTTAGGGGACGTTGTGAGAGTTTATGCAGACCCCAAGTTTCGAATGTTGCCGCCAATCATCAAAGCCGACGGACGAGTTACGGACGGATTATGGGTGGCATAGCGCTACGGTGATATATGTTATGAAATGCAAGGACATTAAAACCGACGATCACGGAAATGACATCGCAGCCTCAACTCCCCTTTCCGCCTACACCTAACTGAGCGCGCACGAAAAGGCCTTCACCCTGGCGTCGACAACTACCACACACCAACCTGTAAGCAAACGAACACGAAACACTCGACCCTTACCATGCCATCCACGCCCCATACACCCACGCACTCCCGCCGCCCCTCCGCCCTCTCCAGCTCCATCTCGCCCGCGCCCTCCCCCCAGCGCCGCCAATCCGTCGCCTCCCACCGCTCCAAAACCTCCATCTCCTCCCAAACCCCCACATCCCCAGGAAGCCGCCTCCTGCGCTCCGACTCTCTCAACGACGCGCCCTTCTCCCCCAGCGACCCCGCCTCAAATGGCCTCGGGAACCTCGCAGACGAACTCGCAGATGCCTGGGCAAGCGACGAAGATGAGGCCGAGCCCGATATGAACTTCGCCAGAACCGGCGCTGAGCTCGCCGACGCCTCTGCCGGCTCCCAAGACGAAGCCGACTCAGACACAGGTACAAAAGATGCCTCCCAAAAGCCACGCGAGCGCGACAGCGGCGTCTCCATCTCCGGATCGCCTGCGCCAAGGGGCCTGGCTCCCAACCCCACCGGCCACCGCTGCGCAGCCAGCGACTACGACGGCAGCGACTACGGGTCGTCGTCGTCGCTTCCCGAGACGGGGCTCCCGATGTCGCTGCTTGCGCGCATCAATGGGATCGAGTCGCTCGCGCGGCGCGGGTTAGAGGATAATGGGGACGCGCGCTCGGGGGTCGTGAAGCGCGTTGTAGAGAGCCTACGGGATCTGAGTGGGCAGGGAGGCGTGGAGACGGGGGCGACGAGGTTGATTACTGCGAATACGGCGTTAAGCTCGCATTTGATGCATCAGACGCGCACGCTGCACAGCTTGACGTATCCGCTAATTAGCCCGATGAATGCGCCGCTGGATGAGGAGTCGATTGAGGAGTTGTTGCCGTTGCTGGTTGGGCTGGGGGAGGCGATGCCGAGGCCGGATGTGGGGAGCTTGGTGGCGCTGACGGGGCTGCATGGGGTTACGGGGGAGCTGATTGAGAAGTTGGGGGGGTGGGGGATAGCTTGCATATGAGTCGGCAGACGACGAGTGTGGCGGCGCGGCGGCTGAGGGAGGCGAAGGAGATGGTGGAGGACTTGCGGAAGGAGGAGGAGAGGAGGGAGGAGGGGGAGAGGTGGTTGAGGAGGGGTGGGTGGGGGGATAGGCTGGGGAAGAGGGAGTGTGCGCGTGTTTGTGGGGAGGTGGTGGGAGGGTTTGAGGAGGTGTGTGAGGGGTGGAGGAGGAGGTTGGGAGAGGGCGTTGGTGCTTGATCTATGTTGGATGCAATTGGATGGTTGGAAGATGAGGATGAGGCGTTAGGCGTGTGTGATACCGGATTAGCAATGTAGACTGAAACATGGGCGAAGAACTTGACGATTAGGGTACATATTATATTCATATTTGTCTTTTGAATAGACAGATGGAAACTCGGGCGGAAGAAATGATATCCCAAGAAAAAGAAAAAAACGTAGTCCTAAAGCAAGGTTTTGGAATGCTTTTTTTATCTACAAGTGAAAGAAAAAAGTGCCAATATAAAAACTTATATAATAGACTTTAAAACCGGCGGATTATACGGTGCCCTCATTCTCGACGAGTACAGCAACAAGCCGGCTGCACCTTTAAGTTCTGGGAGCTTGCTGATTGCCACGGGAAGGCGACGGTGCAGCGCAGTGGGAATACTTGCACTGCTATTGCGAACAAGGATGGGCAGTTTTATTTGACGAATGGAGCCAGGAGTGCTTCTATCTCTTGCGAAGGCAATTATTACATACCAATGGCACTGGCATTTTTAACCTTTCAAAAACCAAGACATCCATCAGAGTTTCAAGATGTAATTGCTACAATCTCCTATCATTAATACATCTCCCTGCAGTGCAGACCCCCAAACAAAAACCAGCGTTAACCCACACACATCGCCCACCCAGTCCCGCCAGTCCCAAGAATAGCAACGCACCCCCCCAAATCCGTCGTCAAATCTCAATCCCAATCGTAACATAATCCGCGCGCGCCCCATAAAAGTACAACAGTATGCCCAAGTATGAACAAGTATAATAGCAAGCAAGCAACTAGCGCGAGTAGCACTCCCAGAGCCAAAGTTTGTTGCGCGTCCAGAAAATAAAAATCGTGGTTTGTAAATATACAGTAAAACCAGGGGGTAGATAAAAGCAACGGGCAGCTAACACGAGTTTCTCTTTGATGATGAAGATAGTGGAGCGGTAAAACCAATGCTTGTTTGGTTGGTGCTGGTCCAAAAAACGAATCTGGTGGGACGTTTCAAAAGGCTCTCTCCATATACGGCAATCGTGAGTTGACGATGGTTGGCTGTAGCGAAGCTGACTGTTGCGGGTTGGTGCATAGTAGATAACTATGGCTGCACCTTGCTGGCACTCGCAATCGGAGCCCCATTTCCAGCCGAAGCATGATACTTGCTAATCTTCATGAAGCCCCTAGAAACGAATCAGCATTTTATCCTCTCTCAAAACACAGTATTAGAAACTCACCTCGTCAAATCAAAAGCCGGCTCCTCTCCCTCACTCTCCTCATCCTCCTTATCCTCATTCCTATCCGCCGACCTCTTAGGGCTCTCCCTTCGCCTCCTCGGCGCGGGACTACTACTCTGCGGCGCGTCCTCGCCAAGCCCGCGGAGCGGGCTGACATCGAACCCCAGTCCGCCCTGCGCCCCCTTAATCACACTCGGCGTATTTCCTAGCTCTGCGAAACGCCAGAACGGCGCGGGACTCGACGTCGGCATGTGTTGGCTGGGTCGCTGCGCTGTGCTCGGTGGAGCAAAGTGCGGGTGCTTGCGTACGGGTGCTGGCGTTAGAAATGCCGTGCCCTCTTCCTGGGCAAACGATGATGACAGGACCGGGGACTCGGCTGCATTCTCGCCTATCCCAAATGGGTTATTGCTGCCTGTTCGGCGCCTCGGTAACGGGCTGCCATCATCAGGCTCCTCGCCGAGAAGAGGCCTTGGGAGCTTCAGGCGGTCCGGAGTCTGTTGAGGTCCATTTGGACGGATACCGCGCATAGTTGGGCTCGCACCTGGGCTTCTTTTAACTCTCCTTGATGGGGAGCCACCCTCCTTATCTCCCGGGCCATGAACGGTCCTGGTGATCTTAGGGCCTGGGGACGAACGTGGAGTTCCAGAGGTTTCCCGTCGCTTTGGAGGGGACTTGCGTGCGGACTTTGGACCCCAAGCATCGGAGATCATGTGTTCACGCATGTCGGGAGTGAAGCACCAATACCCTCCCTTTCCGGTGTCTTCTGGGCCGCGCTGGCGAACCTTAAAGCCGGGATTGAGGGAGAGGTTATGGCGGATGGAATTTTGCCAGCCCTTGAAGAACTCAGGGCGGCGGTAGTGAGCGTAATTTCGTTTCATGTATTCGTAGATATCGTTAAGGGTTGCCATCTCGTTTTCGGATGTGTAGAGAGCCTGGCTTATGAGCTGCCCATAGGTGAAAGCCGGCTTAATATGGGACGTCGCATCGTTTTGATAGTCAATCGTATCCGCGCTCATAATTATGGTTCCACCAGCACGTCCAAACGCAGGAGATGATGTAGGAATAGGGCCCCTAGCTCTCTGCTTGGCTGGGGTGTCTGGCTTTTTATAATCCGGAGGTGCAGGCGCCAGGGTTGGGTGGTTCGAACCCAACGTACCCTCTGCTTTCCCTCTGTTCGCAGCAGCAAGAAAGTTGCCTGTAATCGGCAGCTCGCTCTGGAAGGGATCTGAGGCAATAAGGCCCGCTCGCTCGAGATATTTATCGTCGATTTCGACTGGTTGATCGTCTGTTGGTAGAACAAACATCATCTCGACGCCGGCTACTTCGATGACTGCCCCGCTCTGGAGCTTCATTACATGGCCTCGGCGGACCTGCTGGTCGTTGACTTTGATTCCATTTCGCCCATTGACGATGACGTTCCACTGCGACGTCTGGCTGTCAAAGTATATCTCGGCGTGTAGTCGAGAGACCAGCTTGTTAGGTCCAATATCGATATGAATTCTGCTTGGCTCCGTCGGCGCCGCCGGCAATTCCATGCCATCCCCTTCATTGCTCACCGCCGGGGTAGTTGGGGCATTCTCGTCTTGGAGAGGTGCGATATATCCTTCTGGTGGTCGTCCAATGTTGGTCCGGAGACGCTTGACGTAGAACGTCCAGTCCTTTCCGGTAACTTTTGCGTACGCCGCAACGTTCTTGCTTTGTCTTTGGTGATGGTGATTGTCATGGTCGCGCGCAGCTTGAACGAAGTGATCTGGCATGGCCAGATGTTGCGATACGGTCGATACAAGGTCCTCGTCGCTCATGTTCAACTCTGCTTGGCTGGTGGGCAGCTTCGCAGGCTCCGGGGCGCGTGTTTCGGACTTGTTCATTTCGGCCTTTGTCTTCGAGCGAGTTAGTAGTTTCCCTCAACAAGATAAACGTCGTGCTCACCCTTCTTCTCTTCGCGGATTGCGCTGGGGACGTCAAAGTAGTATCCATGTCGTCAGAATGGTTGATGGGCTGCCCACGTTTCGCACGCTGGGTGCGTTTCGTGGAAGGTGGCATTGTGTCGCCTGTAGTTGTATTGTCCAAGTCCTAACAATAGTATATTAGTATGACCGACAGACCGGTTTATTTGAGTCTGGATGGGTAGTCGCAGGGAAGTGTTGTTTGGGGGTTCTGGGCCAGTGGCGGTCATCTAAGACAGTACCCGGAAACCATCAAAGGACTGGATCCGCTCAATACGGACCTCTTACATCAATCTGCGGCAATCGCAATCAAGAGTTGGCTCCTTTTGCACCCCGATAACTTGTACAAACTTTGGATAGTTTTGTGATTGAGGCTCTAGTGGGTTGGTGAATGTGTGTTGGGACAATAAAGTCTATGTGTGTTGCACGACTCATGCCTTCTTCGGTTTGTTTAGCTGGGTGAAATTCCTGTCTGATTCTGTAATCAAAGTGGCAGGTTCGCGTCGTCGCGTATAGGCTATGCGCGTGACTTTTTCCGATTAAAGTGAAGGAGCGCACTGGCCCAGCCTGCTCCTATTCCCCCTCTTAATGATTTTTTTTTTGGGGGGGGGGATAAGGCGTTTTCGTAAATAAAGAGAATGACAATGGTATCCAGCCCTGAGTGATAAAACGCCTGTATGGAATATTGTTGCCTGTATGGAAATATTGTTGCCTGTAATCACTATTATCTTATCGACTGTCCCTCTTCCGATATTCTTAGGCGGCAGCAATAGCCAAGTCCGTTTACTCGAGTACATTTTTTTCATTTTCTGTAAAAGTTTCGCTCGTTTTATCCTGTGGAAATGGCTGTGATTGGCCCAACAAGACCAGATAAACATAATCAAATTCTGTCGTCACCAGCACGTGACTTGGAGGGACCAAAATGCGGGAGAAATAGTGTCAAGTCCTCACAGAGTACTCCGTACTCACCCTGTACAGACTTTTGGGCCGCACGAGTAGTAGTAGTTTGTTCTACAAGAAAATGATTTGGACTTCCTTTGTAGTTGATTATAATTAATTGTATCTGTGCGCTTCGTTCAAGTCATTGACATATCGTGAAACCTGCGAGACGTCAAAGGGGATCCTTCCCCTTTGACGTCAAGACTAGTATGTGCAAAACCAACCCGTAGTACTCCGTACGGAGTATATATATTATATATACTCTAATCTTAGTTGAAGCTAAAACACAACAAAACAAACAGATTTTCGTAACCCCTCCCTCCACGAACTCATTTTATCATGACCAGTACCGTATTATAGAAAAAAAAAAAAAAAAAAAAAAAAAACACCTCAAAAAGGCAAAAGAAATGCCCACATACGGAGTTGAACCGTAGACCTCGGCATCACGTGATCTCATATGACATGAATCGTACTAGTGCCGCGCTCTACCAACTGAGCTATGGGGGCTGATAATTGACATGTTCTCTCTTATCCCAGTATCGCAGCTTTCAAAAAACAGCTCGTCAGAAAAACAAGCTCTCGATTCATACGTCAGTCAGCCTTGGATAACGGCTGAGCAAGCCAACAATGGCGACGTGCATCATCCGATCTTTTTTTAAGAGTGAGAAGTAAAGCATGCAATGTGCGATAGCCGGACATCCCTCCTCCAATCCTATGCAGGCGTACAAGTATGGCCGGGGAACCCCTTGCTGGGCTGGAAAAGCTCGTCTGAGAAATACATCTGCCCCTCACCACCGCCTATTCTGGCTGTGTATCGGCTGGCATGGGAGTTAACCGATCCCGACACTGCACCTCCTCGATTCACGGCCCGAGTGGGGGCGGGGGGGCCGAGACTGCGGAGTAAATTTCCAATGGCCACTTTCTACACCGCTAAGATCACCAAGGCTCGCCTCATCCTCGGGGATAATCAAATCCTGGTCCCAAAAATTCGAATGACACGCAGGACCCCGCGTGGGACGGCATGCAATAGCAGTATGTGTTGTGCGTGTTCTCGTCCGTCCTCAAGAGGTACACCCGAGGCATTGCATCAGAGCATAGTACCGTGCACTATGATGCTCTCTACTCGAGTAATTCGTATGCTGTGATTCGATTGTAGTCTACCCGCCCTGTTGAGTCCCTGAAACAGGTTCTACCGGCCATCTTTAACACTAGAGCAATACTTGGCCCTTCTCCGTGGTCCTGACCATGCAGCTAGCCTCCTATACGTGGTAGGCAAGGAAGCGGTCCAACAGGACGAGCTAGCCGGACCCAAAGATGCACAGAGCATGTCATGTCACCTATGCATCGAGAAAGCTGAGGCGGTTAATGTGCGTGCAACGGGCTCAATAAGTGACGTGCCGATACCATCCACGCGTTTACCACGCCGTTGGGATTTGAGAAGACCACGGTCATATGCATGTCAGTTTGTCCCGCTGCAGTAAGCAATCAAGCCCTCTGACCGATTGCAGCTTGCCCTGCCGGATGCTTACCGGACTGACTGTGAGTGTGTCGGAGCATCCGGGAGGGGGTTTGCTGTGGTGCTGGAGCGGTAGAGGCATCCTGGTCGTAGATCACCGTCTTTTTCGTGGATGGTCAGGCCATCCACAAAAAAGACGGTGAACGAGATATCTGTCCATAGGGGGGTCAGTAAATCAGTAGAAGGGCGGTAATAGGAAGTAGAGTAACAGCATCCAGCATCCAGCATCCACATCCAGGCATTGCCTGTCAGATCTTGGTATGGTATGTACTAGGAAGAGAAAATGACTCGTCATATTTTATATTCCGCATGAAAGGGAGTGTGTGTTTCGGCGAGGTGGTAGCTCAAGACCCGACGGCTCACCCTCAGCTTAGCCGATCCCTATCAGATCCGTAGTGATCCGTACGAATACTCGGCAGGCTTAGTGGACAGATGCATCGTCTTCGTATTTTTCCCATGGGGATACTACCCGTCATGGCCGTGGGACTTCACCAACTTCTTCCGTTCCCGGCAGAAGGCATGCCTTTTCCCACCATTTCCCACCTTTCCCACCTTTCCCGCCTTTCCCACCTACCCCTCCCCTACCATCCGCTGCCCCCTTTAGTATGGGTATGCGAAAGGGGGAGCGGATGGTGTGCTTTTGCTGATAGACTGTCAAGCTGAACGATACACAGCTCCACTGTCGTCCGCCTCCCCCACCTGCTACCACAGTAGTACGAGTAGCCAAGCAGGTAATGCCACTTGACGGGACGTTGCCTTAGATAGTCAACATTGGTCCCTGACCTTCAATTATTACATAAGTACTCTCGTTCTTCCCCCATCCACAGAATCATCATCAGTCTCTCACTGCTCCCTACTGTGCTTTGTCCCGACGGTGATATAAGAGAAATACCTGCTTCTCCTTGGATGCTTGAAATCTATTCCTCGATTCTTTCTCCAAGATCATCTCCTACTTGTTGGCAGCTTCTCGGGAACGGGACCGTCTTTGGATACCTACCTGCCGTTTTCACCTGACATTCCTGTTGTCACGTTTCTTTTTCACAACCCAGTCACCCTTTTCCCTTCGGTCTCGGTCTAATTCCTTAGAAGCGTCTGTGGGACATACACTATGGCCCCTTCAGCAACTTCACCGGGTGTCGTCTCTCAGCTCAACATGGCTAAAGATGTTAAAGATGGAGCAAATGGCGCCAAAGCCCGTCGTTGCCTCATCGACAGGTCATTAAATGAGGTCCCTTTTGAAGTCATTGGATCAAAAGGAAACTATCTTCATATGAGCAGCGGCCCCAAGATATTTGATGCTACAGGTGGTGCTGCTGTGGCATGTTTGGGTCACGGTAACGGTGAGGTCAACGAGGCTATCGTGGACCAACTACAGGTCAATTCATACTGCAATTCTATGCTGTTCACAAACTCGATTAATGGTACTCTGGCCCAGGAGATTATCCATGGCACGGGCAATCTCATGTCGAGGGTGTATATTTGCAGCTCTGGTAAGGACAAGGACACATACACTCCGACTTAACTTTCCAATGTTGACATTCCCCAGGCTCTGAAGCAACAGAGGCAGCCATGAAAATGGGTCGACAATATTTCTGCGAGCTCTCTCCCCCACAACCCCAACGCACCAAATTCATCGCCCGCGAGCACTCCTACCACGGCAACACCATTGGCTCCCTCTCCCTCTCCGGCCACGTCGCCCGCCGCGAAGCCTACACCCCCATCCTCTCCGAAAACATTTCCTGGGTCTCAGCCTGCAACCCCTACCGCCAACGCCTCCCCAACGAATCCGACGCCGCCTTCGTCGCACGAAAAGCTGCCGAGCTAGATAATGAGTTCCAGCGCCTCGGGCCCGACACCGTCATAGCTTTCGTGTGCGAGCCTATCTCCGGTGCCGCTCTCGGCTGCGTCCCTTACGTCGACGGGTACCTATCAGCTATGAAGGGGGTGTGTCGTAAATACGGCGCTCTATTCATGCTTGATGAGATCATGTCCGGTATGGGGCGGTCTGGCACACTTCACGCCTGGCAAGGCGAGCACGTCGACGGCGACCCAAAGCGGGATTGCCTTCCTGATCTACAGATGGTCGGGAAAGGGCTGGGAGGTGGCTACCAACCCATCGCGGCCGTTATCGCCGGTAAGCAGTATATCAACGCCATCAAAGCCGGAACCGGCGGCATCATCCACGGGCAAACCTACCAAGCCCACCCCGTCGCCTGCGCGGCCTCACTAGCCGTCCAACGCATTATCCGGCGGGAGAACCTCCTCTCCAACGTCGTGAGACAGGGCGCCTACCTGTCGCAGCTGCTCAGACAGAAAATCGGATCGCACCCCCACGTAGGGGACATCCGGGGCAAGGGTCTCTTCTGGGGCGTTGAATTCGTGCGGGATAAAGAGACGAAGGAGCCATTTCCCAAAACATGGGGTGTCGCAGGGAGGATATTGGATGTGGCGCTGAAGGGGCCTTTTAATATTACGTTTTATCCGGGGCAGGGGACGGCGGATGGGTGGGAGGGGGATCATGTTATTGTGTCGCCAGCGTATAATGTTACGAAGGAGGATGTAGAGTTGATTACTGATAAGTTGGTGGGGGTTTTGGATAAGGTTTTTGAACAGCTGAAGCGCGAGGGGAAGAATGCGGGTGATAATTGAGGAGCCCGCACGTGTGGTGCTGCATATTGTGGATACTTGACGACGGTGGCGTTCGTGAGCTGTTGGAAAAGCAACGAAAAAGGGGAGCAAGGGGCTGGGCCGGAGGTAATATATTTTGGTGATAAAGTTTTAGCGATTTAGCAATTCTCATTTTTGGTCTTAGTAAATTCTGATAATTATTTCAATTTAACATTATGGATAATGACTACTAGAGTTCAGGGTTAGCAATTTGAATATAAACTTGAATACTAGGCTATATTCATATCCATGAATAAAAATTATTCACATATTCATATTCATAAATACATAACGTATTTGTACACCGAACGGTCCAACACAACAACCACTTAATCCAACCCTTCACACTGTAGAACAGCTGTACAACCACCCGCCACTTTAGATCAATTAAAACTACTTAGATTCGTCATTATCAGACGTAACTACTACTACTTGGCAGGTTCGCGCGTTATGGCTAGTGTTGCTGCAGATGCCACAGCGCTACGCACGCCGTTCAGCCCCCTCTGTACGACGACTACCACAACAAGTTTCCTCTTGTATCTGCTTGCCCACCTCCTTCTCAGCCACTAAATCCTCTACTTCCTAGATACTAAGTGATCCTCTCAGCTGTAGTTGTGTTTTTTTACCCCTCTGGCGCTTGCTAAGCACCTCATTCGCAGCACGGAGGTCCTTTGCCTCATCCTGTAGTAACACTAACTCATGTGCCATTTTGGACATCCCTTAAGCTTAGGCATCAATAAGCTTGTACATATGAGTTAGAGAGCTACTATGGTGCCTAGCAATATTATTTTTAATGACTGTAGACTGCTAGCCCACTTCAACTGCCGTATGAGGAGTCTTTGTAACCCATGAGTAGGCGCTTCTAGGGCGAGCCTAGCAGAGATGGCGTGTTGAACCTTGGATCTAGGCGATTAATCACAGACTCAGGGTCTAGAGGAATAAGCCTAGGAGCCCTAAAGCCAGCCTTAATGTTTTTTTAGTCATAGAAGCATTAAATGCTTCTATATAAGCGGCAAAGAAGTCATCCTTAATAATATGCGTAATCTACATCCTCATCTAGCTAGAAGATATTTACAAATTCCTGCTACTAGTGCTCCTATAGAGAGTTCTTTTAGTATAGGGAGACTTATTATTTCAAAAACTAGGTATAGGCTTTCTAAAGAGGTTTTTAAAGTTATAGCCTGTTTAAAGAGTTGGGGTTTTATAAAGGAAGAAGAAGAGGAAGACTTTAAGGAAGAATTTATAGGTAATTTAGTAGTTTAAATAGCTCTTAGCTTAACTAGTATATTATACTTTCTTATATTCTACTTATATTATATATATTATATAGCCTTACCTCTAAGATAGCTTATAACTTAAATAATAAGTCACTTTGGGTATTAAGAATATCATATAATATTCATGAATATAGAAAATCGCTATTCATATTCATGAATAATTCATGAAATTTGAATATCCAAGCTTACGTAATATTTGAATATTTAAATATTCAAGAATACGTTGAATAATTTTGCAAACAATGCTAGAGTTTCGTACAAGGTTGCTAGAAATGAAGGGTATACGAATTAACCAGAACCAAAACCGGATAATAGTGAGTGTCAAGGACCCCCCCCATCATCATCAAAGCGTCAAATATCCACATCCTGTCTTCCCATTCCGCTGCGAAAGACCGCCCGCACCAGTGAAAAGGCAACAACGCACGTCATTCATCGACCGATCCAGCAACAGAGCTAAATACACACACGCAAAATCGCACTATCCACCATCACTATCATAATCAAACCACCCGTCGCACTTACGGGGGTAACTCCTCAACCTTCCTCTCCCTCGCCACATCCCTCGCCCCCCCATCAATCCCCGTCACCTGCCCCTCCTCACTCAGCAGCGGAATCGAATCCACATTCGCGCCCCCCTCATCCTCCGAGGAAAGCGGGCTCTTGGCCGCCTCAGCGGGCGGTGTCCCAATCGCCAGATCCGGGCTACTCTGCCACTTCTGGACTTCCTTGCGCATTTCCTCGAGCTCGTTCTGGAAGCGCTTACCAAAGACGTCGATGTAGTATGTGGCGCCGTTATAGATACTCCACGTGAACACGCCGAAGAGGAACATGGAGCTGGCCCAGCGGTACCAGAACCAGATCGGGCAGGGCAGCATGGTAGCCAGGGCGTAGGTATACTGGATGAACATGAAAGACGGCTCTTGGAGGCTGTCGGGGAGGGATGTGACGGCGCGGCCGATCCAGGCTTTGGAGTACGACTTCTTGAGCCAGGTGTAGGATGTTGGGCGGCCGGCGGCGATTTGGGCGCGTCGGCGCACGGTGATGAGAAAGTGGTAGGAGAGCTGCCAGAAGGCGTAGGGGAGGGTGGACCACAGGGCCATGGCGGCTAGGGTGTAGTGCTCGGGAGAGGAGGGGGCGGAGGTGCGAATTGTGTGGAGGGCGGGGAAGCGGGAGGCTTGGAGCTCGTCGGGGAGGAGGTGAACCATGCAGTGGAGGGCGACGCAGGGCATGATGTGGATGAAGAGACTGAGAGGGTTAGTTGGTTGATGGGGTATGTGTGGACTGTAGGAACGTACCTCGTGACTTTGTCGAGAGAGTGGAAGACGAGGGAGTTCCTCCACATAGCGATGGCGATCGCATTGTTACCAAATGCGAGGCAGTATGTGCTGATGAAGAGGCGTTTCGACTTCGGGAAAACCCAGATGCTGAGCATAAGGAGGAAGTTGACGAAGTAGCAGAGATCCGCGAGGAAATAGTGTAGGCCGCGGCGCTTGTAGGTGAAGAAGCGGATGGGCATGAAGTAGAGGAGCTGGAGCGTGTACCAGATATGGAACCACTCTGGGCGCCCACCGATGAGGTAGCCGCTGATGAGGATATTGAGGACACCGAAGATGAAGGAGAACTTCTCGCGCAGTGTCACGGCTTTGGTGTCGTTCCACTGCTTCCCAAGATTGTCAACGCTCGTCTTCATCCGCCTGCGGTATTTCTCAAGCTGTTCGTCGGCGGTGGGTACGCGCCTCCTCCATTCTTCCACAACTTTGTCTTTGGCAAGGTTGCCTCGAGACCTAAGCGCATTTCTTTGCCGGAGAACCTTCTCTGTCTGCGCGCTGAGATTCTTTTGGAGCTTCTCCAGTTGTGACGGCAGTGCCAAGTTGTCAAGGAGGTCAAAGACGCTCAGACGGTCAAGCGGTGGGATCGCCTCCCAGTCTTCGTGATAAGAACTACTTCCCGAGAAGGAATTGTTTCGTGATAGACGCGGGCTTCCTTCAGACGCAGAGGCATGCCTGCCATTAGGTGGTGATGAGCTGGCAAAGGACTCTGGGCTTCCGACCGGTAGCTCCCCACCGACATCTGGGGCAGCATCCCCCCCTCTTCTTGGTATCGGTATGGGTTCAGACATCTCAGAGAGTGTTCGTGTGTGTTTATGTGATCGGTCTGGAAAGGAGATACGTCGGAGGACAGCGGCGCCTCGGAGAACTAAAATGTCAGCCATAATGTGGCGACGTCGACGTCGACGATGTTATAACCCAAGGACGCGAAACCCTTGAGGCACGAGACGCGTGAATATGGAGAGGGGTCTCAACTCACCGACGATAGAGCCCTGACTTATAGTAATATACAGAGCTACTCGGCAGTTACTCTTGAGGGGTAACGGAGAACCGCTGGGGTGGGTTGGTTCTTTGCGAGACAGAAGTTTAGGTTGCAGTCTAGGAGCTGCAGTAACGGGATCTGGCTGGAAAATGGCCGCCGAGTTTGACGAGTAAGGAAGCTGGAAGCGTCGATATATGGCGAAAAGAACTAGTATAACGTATTCTTTAACTGGAAGGAGGGCGCATTTACTGGATGTTGAGGTTGGAAATGAAATCGTGCTGCGAGCCGCAGATGTAATTGGGTTAAGGCTGACGAGTGTTTTAAGGGCCGAGGGACCTGATGACGGCGACCATAATGGCCACACCAACTCCAACCAACGCCACCAAAGCGCGTTCTGTACATATTGGTACTTAGGAATAAAAGTTTGAAAACCTGACTCAAGAATCATCTTTTAGGATATTTCTATTCTTGTTATTCTGGAGAATTATTAGGCAGCGAGACATGTGATACCTATGTACATTTTGTATGGCGCAACCCTGTAGTATAAGTTAAGATGATACAAAGCATCCAATCATTGCTCACGTACAACTATGGGCGAGGCTGAGAAAAATATACATCACGTGACGAATACCCATTCGCGTTGGAGGACTCGAGGATGCATCGCGAGAACCGCGACAGATCGCGACGGCGCGCGCAACGGTATCCATAAACGTCAACGAATCCGACAGCTTTTCGGGGTCATTCGTGTAAGCGGCTCGTTTCGACTCTTCCGAGACACTTGCCGGATTGAGTGAATCTATCTCAAAATTGAAAAAGCACCTATGCGTGCTTCTTTCCAAGCTGCCCATTCCTGATTGACACGACTTCACCCCGCAAAGCGCAACTCTCAAAATGGGGAAACTCATCCGCCTCGAGCTCTTCAGTAAGCCAATGTCGGATATTGATTGCGCTGTAACTTGTAATCTGACTATGAGACAGACTTCAAGTCCTACAAGGGCCATCATACCCTTCTGTTCGGCGATTCATACTTCACCTCCATCATTGGGCCCAATGGATCCGGAAAATCAAATTCGTACGTCGCATCATATAATGAGAGACATAGAAAGAGGGACAGTACTGACAATATTGCAGCATGGACGCGATCTCCTTTGTTTTAGGAATCAAATCGTCTCATCTTCGTTCAACGCACCTCAGAGACCTCGTGTACCGTGGTCGCGTCCTCAAGACCTCGAAAATCAACGACGACGGATCAGCGGATGCGCCGGCAGCAAATGGCGACGCAAATGGGGATGCGAATTCTGATGGCGAGGGTGCAGACCTACAGAGATCCGAGCGCAATGATCCGAAGAGCGCATGGGTTATGGCCGTTTACGAGGATGATGCTGGAGATGAGCTGAAATGGAAACGCACAATCACAAACCAGGGGGCCAGCGAATACAGAATCAACAACAAGGTTGTCACGGCTCAGCAATACAATGAAGCCCTCGAAGCAGAAAACATTCTCATTAAGGCGCGGAATTTCTTGGTCTTCCAGGGTGATGTTGAAGCCATCGCGTCGCAATCTCCGAAAGACCTCACACGCCTGATCGAGCAGATTTCTGGAAGTTTGGAACACAAAGCTGAATACGAACGACTGGAAACTGAGGCTCAAGAGGCGGCAGAAAACCAGAATAACAGTTTGCAGCGTCGCCGAGGCATCAATTCGGAGATTAAACAATATCAGGACCAAAAGAAGGAGGCGGATAACTTCCAGGCAAAGGCCGACGAGCGTGATGACGCGATTGTCAAGCATATTCTGTGGAAATTATACCACTTTCAGAAAGTTATCGACGAATCCTCGGAGGAGATCGCAAAGCACCAGGAGGAACTGAAGAAGTTCCGCCACGGAATAAGGAAATACGAAGCTGAACTTGATGAGGCGCGGAAAGAGCATGCTCGCACACAGAAGGAGGTGGGCAAGGTTGAACGTGGCATCAAAAGCAAGGAGAGGGATGTCGAAGACAAGATGAACAGTCTCGTACCAATCGATGAAAAAGTAGAGCACGTGCAAAGGGAGGCGGCCAAAGTTGAGAAGCGCATTAGCGATCTTACCAAAGAGCGTGACAGCCAACTTGCCGGAATACAGAGTGCTAAGAAGGAGCTTGCGCTTGTGGACAAGGCTCACAAACTGTTTGAGACACAGTGGAAAGAGCAGATGAAGAAGCAGGGCAAGGAACTCAGCTCAGATGATTTAAAGGAGTATAACAAGCTCAAGGCCCAGGTGATCAACCAGTCGTCAACAAACCAAGCTAAATTAGACAACCTATTGAGGCAGCTGAAGACTGATGAGATTACCGTCAACTCACTGAAGAGCAAGGTGCAGTCGTCACAATCGCAGGTGGAGAAGCTTGGTCAAGAAGCCAGCCAGATCACTGAGAGAAGGGATGCTATGAAGGTTTCGATGAAACAAATCATGAAGGACATCGACAGCAAGAAAAAGGAGTACAATGTTCTGCAGTCTGAACGTCTACGCGTCAACCAGAAGCGCACAGAAATCGAAGAGAAGATTGAGGATGTCGTCAAGAAACTCGACTTTGCCAATGACGGGAGGCGCCAGAACGATAGGGAGGCCAGAACTAAGGAGATCGTGACGTCGCTGAAGCGCATATATCCTGGTGTTCGCGGCCGAATTGGTGAACTCTGTAAGCCAAAGCAGAAGAAATTCGACGAAGCTGTTATCACTGCCTTGGGCCGCGATTTTGATTCTGTCGTCGTTGATACCGAGAAGACCGGAACAGAATGCGTTCAGTACCTGAAGGATCAACGCCGCGCCCCAATGACGTTCATCCCCTTGGACAACATCAAGGTCAATGCCGTCAACTCTAACCTGAAGGGACTCTCCAAGGCACGCCTGACAATTGACACGATCGACTTTGATTCCACGCTTGAACGAGCAATGTCATATGCTTGTGGTAACTCGATCGTGTGTGACGATCTTGCCACAGCTAAGCAAATCTGCTACGATAAAGGCATGCAAGTGAAGGCCGTTACACTGGAAGGATTCGTCATTCACAAGGCTGGTCTGATGACTGGTGGCCGTGGCGCCGAGGGCAAGGGCGGTAAGCGTCGCTTCGAAGAGCAAGATGTTCAAAATCTCGAGAAGATGCTCGAGAAGTTGAAGACGGAGCTGGATAGCCTGCCCAAGGCGAATCGCAGAGGTGCCGCTGAAGAGACGTTGCAAAGTGATCTGTCGGGCCTTGAGCAGAGGCTGGCATACACTAAGAGTGAGCTTGCTGCATTTGAGCAGAACCTTGCAAGCAAGAAGAAGGAGCTTGATTATGAAAAGCGACAGCTCAGTGATATCCAACCTAAGTACAAAGAGCAAGTTGGGTCTTTGGAGACTCTCCAGGAGTCTGTCCAGAACTTCAAGGATGCAGTCTCCAAGGTTGAGGACAAGGTATTTGCTGGGTTCTGCCAGAGACTTGGTTACGATAACATTCGTGATTATGAAGTCCAGCAGGGCACCTTGGAACAAGAAGCTGCTCAAAAGCGGAACGACTTCGAGCTCCAGAAGCAGAAACTCACTAGTCGATTGACTTGGGAGACGTCTCGTGTCGATGACACCAAGGCTCGCCTCAAGCGCCTGGAAGATCAGACACTTTCCCTTTCTCGGGATATCGACACGTACAATTCCTCAAAGGAAAATCTGGAAGAGTCACTTGATGTCGACAATGCCGAAATCGAGGTCTTGAAAGAGCAATTGGCGGAAGCGAAGCAGAAGTCCTCCAAGAAGAACGAAAAGGTCGTCCAAGCCCGTGACGAACTTCAGAAGAGAAGCAAGAATGTGGACACCGTCCAGAGGGCTATTTCCAGTTTGGAGAGCGAAGCACAACGTGCCGCGGCAGGTCGCTACGCGCAACTTCGTCGCTGCAAACTCGAGCAGATTCGGATCCCATTGGCGGACGGGTCTAGCGACTTGGAAAGCCTTCCTGTCGATAACATGCCTGACGTTGACCCCGACGCAATGGATGTTGATGAGGGCGACGCAGTCGATCCGGTGCTCATCAACGATGGCATCCAGATCGACTTTGACGGACTGGATGAAGACCTTACCGAATCAGGGGAAGAGCACATCGAAGAGACGCTCCTCTCCCACATCACCGCCCTCAATGCCGCCCTCGAGAAACTGAACCCAAACATGCGCGCCATTGACCGTCTCGAAGCCGTCGAGGCACGCCTAAAGACCACAGAGCAAGACTACGAAGAAGCTCGCAAGGCAGCCCGCGATTCTCGAGACGCGTTCTTGGAGGTGAAGGAGAAGCGCTTTAACCTCTTCAACAAAGCCTTCTCCCACATCTCGGAGCAGATCAGCCACGTCTACAAGGACCTCACACGCTCGGCGGCGTACCCGCTGGGCGGGCAAGCATACCTCGATATCGAAGACTCGGATGCACCGTACCTCTCCGGTATCAAGTACCACGCCATGCCACCGCTCAAGCGTTTCCGTGACATGGAGCATCTCTCGGGTGGTGAGAAGACGATGGCGGCGCTGGCTCTCCTCTTCGCGGTCCACTCGTATCAGCCTAGTCCGTTCTTCGTGCTGGACGAGGTAGACGCTGCGCTCGACAATGCTAATGTGGAGAAGATCCGGAATTACATCCGTGAGCATGCCAATCCGGGGATGCAGTTTATTGTGATTAGTTTGAAGACGGGTTTGTTCCAGGGGAGTGAGAGCTTGGTGGGGGTTTATAGGGACCAGGATGCTAATTCGAGTAATACGCTGACGCTTGATGTGAGTACCCCAATCCCTTCTTATGGCCCCTTTCTTGGTCTTTATCAGGGATATAACTGATTGAAAATCCAGTTGCGTAAATATCAGTAGTGTAAATCGTTGCTTGGATGAAGGAGAGGACAAATGGGATGGTGTTAAATGGGCTTGTGCTGGGTTCGCACATAACTTTGCTATACTTTTTGCTGCACGCGGCAGAAGTGTACTTGTATTTAGCCATGGCTAGATCGCCGCACAGATGAGACACCATATACTCCGGCTCTGATTCCACAGCCAATCTGCACGACAATTAATGCCAAAAACGCGTGGTGGTCGTGACTGCACTTTACGCGCCCCAGCCAATCAATGCCCAAGCCACCCCCTGACCTGACGCCAAACGCAGCCATTCGGAGCGCAGCCTTTCGCGTCGCGTAGCGCACGTACTGTACGCCAGTCACAAACAAAGGTGATTCGGCGTGTCGTTCTGGATCATAACAACGCCCTTAGGCGGCCTAACTAAGCCCCTGCTAGATGCCCTGGCTGGTGTGCTGGTAGGGGCCGGTGCACCCCGTTGCGGGCCGCTGGGGGGTTTGTTGTGGTCGTGGAGGCCGAATCAGTGGCCTCGCGAGGATGAGATGGGGGGGCTAATACAGGTGCTGTGTGGGGAGTTGGCGGCAGGTGTGGGGCTAGGGGGGGTAGGGTAGAGGAGAGGAGAGGAGAGGAGAGGAGAGGAGAGGAGAGGAGAGGAGAGGAGAGGAGAGGAGAGGAGAGGAGAGGAGAGGAGAGGAGAGGAGAGGAGAGGAGAGGAGAGGAGAGGAGAGGAGAGGAGAGGAGAGGAGAGGAGAGGAGAGGAGAGGAGAGGAGAGGGGAGGGGAGAGGGGATGGGAGAGGTTAAAAGAGACGCGACGTGATGTTTTGATGTATGTTGTGGTTTTGGTGATGGGGCGGTGGAGTCTGGAGAGGTTGGTGTTGCATTCTGTTTGCTGGCTGGGCTTACTGCTGCCACTGAGGAAGGAAGCGTCAACAGAGCAAGTGTTGAGTGAATTGAACTGGCCATCACTTTGAAATCCGTAAAGGAAATATTTCTTTCATCACCTTTAAAAACATCAAACATTATATTCCTAACCACACATAACCTATCTACACTCACCGACCTCGGCGGTCAAATCCTCGGTCACTCGCTTGCCTCCGTAAATGGCTTAGTGCGGCCCCTACGTATCCCATTATCACGATTGACGAGCGTGGCAACGCCAAACAACCAACAACCTCACGACGACGGCGAATCGAGCGCCAGGCAGGCTTCAGGAATAGCTGCTGTAGCTGCAGGATATCCGACACTTACGCATTACAAAATTGTTGCACAGCGAAACCCGACGGAGTTGAGACTGCGAAATCGCATCTGGAGCGATACAAATAGAAGTGGAGCAACCCCCAATAAACATCGCCAGAGTGGGACTGTCGTGGATTGCGACAGTGATTTGTGCCTGCGACAGCAACGCCGATTATTCACCTGGCTGGCGAGAGGACCTAGTAGCGAATGAGAAGGAGATTTGGCGCCCGGTTCTTGACATCGATCTAGACGAATTATTGTTCCGACGCTATCGCTTTGTTCCTTGCTCACTTTGTTCCTTGCGCGCTTCGATAACCTCACCTTCACCATCTGCGACAACAGATGGCGACGATGGAGGCCAGCGACAACACCACCGCTGACGTGGCTGCAGCTGCTGGTGCTTCAAAAGCTATTGAGAACGATACAATCAACTCACTGAACACACCGCCGCTCGAGAAGGCGCCAGGCAATATGACACTGCCACTTCCAAAGGAGAGGACGAGACGGACGACGGTGAATGCGAACACGAATGCGAATACCAATACCGCCCGCGCACGGTCAAGGACACCGAGTGCGCCTGCGCCGTTGGATCCAAATGCTCTCAGCAAAGCGCTATTCAAGGAGTTTGAGGAGGGAGGAAGGTCGAGAGATATCACACCTGGAGGCAGCCCGAGTCGGAAAAGGCAAAGGGTCTACGGCGATAGGTGAGCTTTGATTTCTGTTGTGCTTTTGCGCATGAAGAGAGGGTGTGGGTGGAGCACGGTGGAGATCACTGGGAGACTCATCTTTGTGGGCTTGTCAGGATCGAGATCGATCTTGTGAATTCAAGATCGATTGACGTTCAGATCCGTTCTTTGACCGCCCTTCAAGACCGATTTGCTGACAAACTGTCCTCAGATTCATCCCAAACCGAGAAGGACAAGACCTACAGGCAAGCTTTAGCTTGCTTCACGATGAGGGTTCGCCGGCGACATCTTCAAAGGCCAAGAAACGGACGCCACATGGCGAGCTACATTTCCAAAAGAGTAAGCTTCACGGTGACCGTGAATTGGGGATAGTCACATGTGCTAATTTGTGATAGCTGAGGAGGCAAACCGGACCTTTTCCACACTTCTACGGGCAGAAATATTCGATACTTCAGTACCCCAAGCTACTCTCACCAATTTATCACCAGACGCTACAATACATTCAACATCTACCACAGCTCACGATCCTACTCGCTCTCACACTCCTCCTAACAATGGATCGAATACCTCTGTTACAAACTCAATGACGCCTTCCACACCTCATAAGAACCTCTTCACATATATGTCGCCCAGACACCACACCCATATCGCAGGACACCCTACACCAACTCGAACGCCTCAAAGTCGGCATGGACCTAACCTCAATGCACGATCTGAGATTTTCAGCCTTTCCCCAGTGCGCCTCAGCAGTCAACATATGCTCCTGAGCCCGCGGAAACAGCCCCGAGCCGTTAACAAAGTTCCATACAAAGTGCTCGATGCGCCGGATCTCGCAGATGACTTTTACCTCAATCTCGTTGACTGGGGGAGCAGTGACATCCTCGGTGTTGGATTAGGGAGCTGTGTATATATGTGGAACTCCGAAACCCAGCGCGTGAATAAGCTCTGTGAACTCGAGGACGACACCGTCACCAGTGTCTCCTGGATCCAGCGCGGCTCGCACATCGCCATTGGCACTGGGAAAGGCTTCGTGCAGATCTGGGATGCAGCCCGGACTCGCAGGCTACGAACGATGACGGGTCACACAGCCAGAGTGGGTGCGTTGGCGTGGAACGACCATATCCTGACCTCCGGATCGAGGGACCGTCTCATCTACCACCGTGATGTACGACAGCCGGATCAGTGGCTGCGGAAGTTGGTGGGCCATAAACAGGAAGTCTGTGGCCTGCGCTGGAACTGCGAAGATGGCCAGCTCGCATCGGGCGGGAACGACAATAAGCTCCTGGTATGGGACAAGCTTTCCGAGACGCCAACATGGAAATTCTCGGAACACACCGCGGCCGTGAAGGCTATTGCTTGGTCGCCACATCAGCGAGGTCTCCTTGCCTCTGGTGGAGGAACGGCAGATCGTAAAATCATTTTCCACAACACTCTCACCGGCACGCTAATCAACGAGATCGACACTGGCTCGCAAGTGTGTAATCTGGCTTGGAGCAAGAATAGCAACGAGATTGTCAGCACCCACGGGTATAGCCAGAACCAGATCGTGGTGTGGAAGTACCCGTCCATGACGCAGGTGGTCAGCTTGACGGGACATACCTACCGTGTGCTATATCTTGCGATGAGCCCTGATGGCAGGGTCATCGTTACAGGCGCGGGCGACGAGACCTTACGGTTCTGGAACGCGTTCCCCAAGAAAGCAGGGCAGCGGGGTGAGGACGGAGAAGGCGGCACCGGGAAGCTCGCAGAGTGGAGTGTCATCAGGTGAAGACACAGGGGGTTAATGATAGGGGGGATATGGGCGTTGTGGCATGACATATGGCTATAGCAACGGAGCTGATGTGATGAGATTTACGAAGCATGGCATTTGCATGGCTGGCGTTTTTTGGGGCTGGGGCTGGGAGAGATGAATCATATATGGATGGCATGGCTTTCGACTTTGCTTTAGCGGGGGGATATATTTTTTGCTTTGGAGTTGGGCTTGGGCATTAGCGTGGCTCTTTCGGGTTCGGGGGGGGCTCGGAATGGGCACAGCGGGTTTTTGTGTGTGTAATGGTTGGAGGTGGGGTGGGAGATTCTCCAGATTATATATAGATTAGCTGGACGTGGCTGCATATCTTGCAAGAAGAAATGGAACATTCTACGCTCCCGTTTATGAGCTGACGTTATACTATATAAAGCGTGAGGTCAGGTCAGTTTATTGACCATACACGCCGACGAAAGCCAATCATATTCGGAAGCACGGATATTCTTGTCAGTAAGCTCATCCTGAAGGATTGAGGGGTAGGTTTTTGGGAGCTCTTCAATGATCTTCTCTGGCTTATGACAGAATGCAGCCGTAGTTATGAACAGTGGACGGGTATGAACCTATCCGCTATTGATTGTATCCAACGTAAGCTTACTTTTTGTTGGATTCATAAGCTTTCAATATAAACTTGCGGGGATATGTCCTCATATTACTCTCCACAAGGCATCATTCCAGCAAGGGATATGGTAAAAGCCACGAACAAGCTATACCCCTACGCCTCAGCTCTCACCGTGCTCGATCTCGGCTGCGGCGTCGGCGAGCTCACAAACCCAACCCCTCGCTTCCGACATAGCCGCTGGGATGCTCGGCCAGCTTGAGTTCCGCAAGACCGACGGACTGGCAAAGGGAATCACGGCTTGGGAAAAGATTGGAACTTCCGTTGACGATGCCCAGTTTCTCTGCATTCTCAGATAACTCAGTGAGCCATGTGCTTGCGGGCTTCGTGCTCTTCATGGTCCCACAGCCCCGCACTGCCTTGAAGGAAATCCGCCGCGTGCTCACGGCTGAGAATGGCGGCGATGCGTTTTCAATGAGCTCCTGGCTGGAGCTGGACAGTGAATGGTACCATATTATGACGCTCACGAACCAGTTCCGCCCGGAGAGACCCTCGGTGAAGATGCCGCAGGAGTGGCTCACGATTGATGGGATTCGAGGTGACCTGGAGGGAGCGGGGTTTCGAGATGTGGATGTCTATCCGCTGAAGACGTATCTTCCGTTTGAGGGATATGAGCAGCTGGCGGGTTTCAGATGTATACGTTTCCGAATATGGATAGGATGACTGTGCTGAGTTTACGGAAGAGGAACTCAAGGAGCTGCGAAGACAGATTATCGAGTATGTCAAATCGCGTCACCCTACGGTGCCTTCTAAGTTGGAAGGCACTGCTATTATTGCAGTGTGCAGGAAGTAAAATGAGAGTTTTAAGGCAATATGGAGGATACATAGCTCATCTGATGATAGATACTAATGCAGATTGTCAACATATCGAGCAATGTAATTTTTTCAAATACACTCGTGACTTCACGTCAACAATAATAATCTATGTCATGTAAACGGGGTTCGATAACTCCGAATCAATTCTATTATATTCTTCTAGAATTTCGTATCAATACATTTTGGTGTAAATCCCATTCTCACACCCCTCAAAGCACAAGGCTTCCCGGCTCCTCCTCCAAGATCTCCTTCACCCTCTCCAGGAACACCAGTCCCTGCCTCTCATCTCCCTCCGGCACGCTGACACTGAAAATGTTCGTTGTAGCTGCTGGTCCTGGCAATGGCGTGGCAGGGATACGCGTAGGCGCCGTGCTCCTGACCTTGCCAGTGAGGAAGTCCAAGACATCGACGTCTTGCTTGACGGTTCTGACGCGAGGCACTGTGGCCATGGCAGTGTGTGGCAGGGCAGTAATTTGTGGCAGGAAGTTGCCGCGGACGCCGTAAGAGCTGCGGATGGCATTGAGGCCAAGAATGTCGTCGAAGAGTTCATCTTGCGATGGCTTTGCATTCTTGGAACGTGGGAGGTCATCGTTGGCGAAGTCGGCGGCGCGAGCGATGAAGGTCGAGAGGGGAAGGTGGGTGCCGAGTTCTCTCTGGATGCGGGCCTGGACCTCGAGTGCTGCAGCCATAGATATGGGGAGAGCAACTTGGACATCTTGCTCCACTGGCTCGGCTACTGGTGCAGGTGCGGCCTTCTTTGGTGCCTCCTTCGGTGGCGCAATCTTGATGTTGCTGAGGTCGAGATGGGAGAGTTTCTCAACCTTGCCAGCAAGTTCCTTCGGGTATGCCGTTGAGATCTGGCCAAGATGCGCGAGGATGTCGCCCTTGAGGAGTTTGTTCTTGGGCCCAGTACGCTTGATCTTGTCGACGTCCGATGCGGCAATACCGTGCTCATGAACGAGGTGAGCAACGGATGGCAAAAGCGGATATTCTCTAGTGCTTTTGTGGAATGGCGCAGACGTCTCAGCAGCCGGCTCTGCGGATTCCTCCTTTACCTCTGCCTCCTTCGCTGGTTGTTGCTCCTTTGGCGATTCCTGCTTCTTGGGTGCTTCACCTTGGACGCTCTCTTCTGCTGGGATTTCCAGCGAGCTTATGTCGTCACCCGATTCAGCAAGAACACCAATCCTTGCACCAACTGCAATGCCCTTTGTACCATCACCTTTGATGATTTTAGCCACTATGCCATCATCTTGAGCCTCAACATCCATGCTGGCCTTATCTGTTTCGATTTCCAACAGAACATCGCCAGCGACGAATGAATCGCCCTCCTTCACTTTCCAGGTCGCAATGTTCCCCTCAGTCATCGTTGGCGACAGTGCCGGCATTGTGAAATTTTGTGCGGCAAGGTTTGCACGAGAGCTTCTGTAGCCTAACCCGCAACAATCAGCAAATGAAGCTCAGCTATTTTCACCGGCGGCACCAGAATCACAAATCCTCACGTACCTCGTGATTGAACATCTCTTCTCAACTGCCTTGTAACAGCCCGTGAGGACAGCCTGCAAGCCGCTGCAATTGACGCCATGCTTGCTGAGTTGGCGAGGCTCAAGTGAGCTTCGACGTGGACGCCAAAGGTTGTTGAGGTTCCCGCCCACCAAAATCATGGCCGACGTGATACTCCGGAATTCGGAGAAATGCAACACCGAGATATTTTTATTACAACCTTCCGCAGCCTTGCGGATTGTTAGTCGTCCCAAATAGGCCTGCCCAAGGTGAGTGATGCTGCAATTAGAGCCAACACGGCCACGCGATAACGTTCATGCCTAACTAATACCCTCTACCAGATGTCCTGCTTCACGAGGAGCGCCATGCTGCGCTTCCAATCCCTCCGCGCGCCTCTCTCCCGAATCGGCCTCAGCAGCCTCCACCCGACACCCCTCCGCACAATCCCACGCCTCCCCCTCGCGCGCACCTTCACCAGCACCATCCGCCTCGCCGCCAAAAAAGCCTTCCCCAAACCCCTCCCCCAAAAGCAATCCCTCAAACCCCCCGCCGCCCCCCCCCAACCCAAACCTACCAATCCTACACCGCGAAACTCGCCTCTCGCTCCGCCCCAACACCCCTCTACATCGCCCCCTCCCACACCTTCTACATCCTCGCCGCCTACACCGGCGCCACCTTCTGCATCGCCTATGCGGGCTTCAGCTACTACGCTAACGTCTACGCCCCCCCCTCCGGCCTCTCAGCATGGGTCCCCATCGCCTTTGCCGGGATCTGCTTCCTCATGGCCGGTATGGGCGGGTGGCTGCTCTTCGCGCCTACAAGCCTCATCCGCTCCATCACCGCTTACCCCGTCAAATCCCTCGTGGCTAACGGCCAACCAACCCTCCGCATCGACATCGAGCTGCGCAGGGTCCTCCCCATCCCCTTCCTCGCCCCCCGCGTCGTCTCCGCGTCCCCCGCCGACCTGCTGCTGAATCACAGCATCTACGTCCCCCCAACGCGCCCCGCGACAGCTTCGGAGCGTTTTGAGCTTGCGAGGCTCCAGGCGGAGGAGCGGGAGGCGGAGAGGAAGAAGTCGGTTATGTTGGCGCCGTTTAGGCATGCGTCGCACGCGGCCTTTGGGCTGTTTGTGGCGATTAAGAGGACGTGGACGAGAGATGGGTTTTTGGATTTGAAGGCGGGGAAGAGGAGGTATAAGTTGGATATTACGGGGGGGTGGGCGCTGGATGAGGGGAGGGCGTTGGATCGGATTTGTAAGGTGATGCCGAGCTGAGGAGAGAGGGGGGATAGGAAAGGGGTGAGTGGTTATATTGTTCGTAGTAGGGATGGGTTGTAAGGATTATAAAGATGTATCATAGGGTTGTATAGCACAAACAAATTCACAACAAATTCACAAGTCACCAACATCATCATGCGTGCCAAGCCCTGCGTGTAGCAGCACTGAAGTCATGAGAAGCTCAACCAGCATTTCAGTACCTGAAGTGAATAGGAAAATTAATCGCACCTTGTCCCCCCTCATTCATCAGCAAGCATGCCCGCAGCCGAAACATGGACACGCGGGTGCGAAACTACAAAAAACACCACTCTTGGTACAATCATGGCATATGGACTTTAAAGAGGCTCTTCCCCGAATAACCCCCCCTCCCCTTTTCGCATAATCCCCCCCCTTCTGCTCCCGAAAGTCCCCCCATATCCCCCTTGTCCCATTTCCAGTACCCACAACGAAATCATTTGCAAGTTAGTGCAGGGAAGCACGGCTCGCCTCACGGCCAAACTGACAAAGTACATATGCCCCCTTCATGCGTCCCAACATCGTTAAAATGTCATATACACAAACCCCTTCCACCCTTACCCTACTTCTCAGTGCCGGCAACCAGGCCATTGAAAACCCCCGTTACTTTTTCTATATCACGTAGGCGCCAGTCGCGAGGTCGTCGGGCTCATGAAGCAAAAAGCTGGGCGGGGGAAAGAAAAAGTCTGCGTAAAATGAATCATAGCGAGGTTCGAAAGAAAGGCAAAATCCAGGGCGCAACGTATGTGATGTTTTGCGAAGTCGAAGAGGCGGTCGTACCAGTCGAAAAAATTGGGGCCGTCAGGATACGGAGAGAGAGGTTGGCAGGAGACCTGCGGAGGATGTTGGAGGAAAGGAATATTTCGAGTCGGCGTTGGTGGTAATTTCGATATGGGAAAAATAAAATAAAGTCGATTTATCTGCGTCCGAACCTGCTACACACGAGAAAGTTCGTAATTGATCTTCTACTTCTTTTGCTTCCGCGGAGGAGTGACAGGCCTGCTCGCGCCTAGACCGCCATAAACGTACTTTTGTTTTTTCTCCGCAGGTTTCAAAATCTGGAAGACGCAGGAAAATCAGTCATCGGTCCCACCACAATAAAAGAGGAACAAAGGGCATATATATCTTACCTGGAACGAACACAACAGACTCCCATCCACACTCATCATTGCACCAGCATTGTCAAACTCTCCACAGTAATTGGGCGCGCTGAACAGCGTGACCAATTGCCGCTTCGAGAAGAATTCATACCCGTCTTCAACGACCTGATGAGCGCGGCAAATCAAGTCCATATCATGCTTTTGAAGGAATCTTGAAACGACGTCGGGACCGAAGATAAACGATACACCTCGGTCATTCTCAGACCATCCGGTTATGCCCTTGTCGGGGTCGGACCAGAGCAAATCGCATAGAAGGCCGCTGTCGGGAATCTATAAAGTTGGTCAGCAAAAGTTCGCGCCCTCTCTCGTCGACGACGAGAGCTGGCAAGGACCCAGCACAGGTTAGGCCTTACGTCAGTTGGGCGCATAACGCGGCGAATCTGCTCCATGGAGTTGAGATCGGGGCTGAGGCCTCCGTGCATTGTGAAGATCTTCTCGTCAATAATGGCAGCAATGGGCAGGCAGTTAAAGCAGTCAGTAAAGGTCTTCCACAGCTTAATGTTATATCTTCTCTTGCACTCGTCGTAGAAGCCGTATATGCGGTTGATCGAGGCGCATTCGTGGTTACCACGGAGGATGAAGAAGTTCTCTGGGTATTTAATCTTGTACGCAAGCAAGAGGCAGATCGTCTCTAGCGAGTGCTTTCCTCTGTCGACGTAGTCGCCCAAGAACAGGTAGTTGGCTTCCGGTGGGAATCCACCGTATTCGAAGAGTCTCAAGAGATCGTAATATTGGCCGTGGATATCGCCACAAATCTGAAAGTAATTCGTCAGCGACTGGCCGGTGAAACGGCACATTACACAAGTGGGATACGAACCTTGATGGGAGCCTCAAGCTCCAGAAGGATCGGTTGAGAGATGAAGATCTCACGAGCTTTTGTGCACAGATAGCGGATCTCAGGCTCCAAGAGCTGAACCTGCTTTCCCGGTCTGTTCCCTCTGACTTCCAACAGACGGTCTATTATGGAATCGAGATCCACATCGTTTTGGTCCGCCATGACGTCTGGGCCTCTCGAAGGAGGTGGGTTGGAGTTGGGGTGTCGGTTTTGCTCGCTGTATGTGCGTCTCGGAAAGTCGATACTGGCTATATCGTGTTTCGCTGTTGAGAGGACTGTAACTCACTTGTTGGACTGGTACGCGTTAGAAGTTAGTTTTTCAAGAGGTGAGGTCGTGCTATCAGCCGCGCGTGTGGCTGGCTGTGACTGGATCTGACGCAGACAGGCTCGGTTTGTTGATGACTCTCCAGAGAAGGTGAATGCTTACTATCAGTGAGCCGGCCTCGGTGAATCGAATGGAGGGGAGCTCAGAGCCTCCAGTCGCTGCAAATTTCGTTTGGAGTGGCGGCTGTTGAGTTGTGCTGTTGACAGAGGCAGAGTTGAGTTGCGTGGTCGCCTGTGATTTGCGTCACGGATAAGGTGGGATCGAAGGTGGACTGAAAGTCTCTGTGCGGTAGTGTAATAGAAAGTCGATATCGACTTCTCGTATGGGTGGATCAAGGTGCGTCAAGAGGCAATCGTTGTGATCCGTGTTTTGTTGAAGTGGTGGTGAAAGGGTGGAGATGTCGCGCGAGGTTGAGATTTGAGTAAAAAGAACTTTGACTATCTCTTAGCGGCTGGCTGGCCTGGCCGACAACACGCAATAAGGGACTTTGGTCGCATAAAGTTGTAATAGCGACAGTAATAAGTTTCAACCCCACAGGTAAAAGGTTCGGCGCTTTCTGATTTCAAGAATAATTCAGTAATCGTCGCGGCAACAGTAGAGCGAGGAAATTGTAGAATTTAATCAAGAGCAAAAGGATAAGTTGATAAGTTTGTTGAGGGAATGAGGGAAGGGTCGGAGGTGGACGGAGGGTTCCTGGGTCGCGGAAACTCGTTTTAGTGTCAAGGGAGCAACGTCTGGGCGTTCTACCTGGTAGAGTGCTGAGACGGGATTAACTATTCTTTCTGCAGGAACAGCCAGAATAAACACAAATACTTCAATAATAGGAGCCACGCTTTTCTTCTTTACTGATTTATACTGATTTATACTGATTTATACTGATTTATACTGATTTATACTGATTGGAAACTAGAATTCTTCTTCTACAGTATTCCATCCATCTATGTAATGGCCATCATCCTCCATGCCCACTGGTGTCTCGGTAGACGCCACGCTGATGCCGCCATGAAAGCCTAGGCCCAACAAACGGTAACTAGACAGAAGGGCGTGGCTCCTAGGGGCGCTAAATCAGAAAGACCCTACGAAACCCCTTCTCCTTCTCGAGTTTCTATTTTCGTTAACTTGATCTTATCATACATCATACCTCATCATAGTTCCCACTCTTCTCGAGCCCAGAGTTCCCACTTTATATCCAGGATTCCCTGCCATGCTTCCTGCAACTCATCTGAACTTCCGAGGGGCTCTCGGAGACTTACTTTATACTCATGATGATGGCTGTCGGATACCGAGCCTATCAGAATGCCAACATTATAAAGGGCTGGTGTGTTGGACAGCATATGCTGGGCCTTGTCTAGCACTCACTATACGTCGAGGTTGGATTCTAGACCCCGTTATCAGGGGTCTAGAATCCAACCTCCCTCAGCCTCATCTCTGTCTTGCAACAGAAGAAGCGCCATGTGGACATATTATAAATGAAGCGTCACACCTCACACCATCAATCATCTCAAAGGCTGCGGCATTATAAGGGTATAACAGATCATGATTCATTCGTAGCCTTCTCTTCCCATGCACGATAACTCCCGCCAACGCCCAGCTAAATTATCCCTTCAAACCCCTCCCTACTTTACAGTGGAAAAATCGCAAAAACCAAACCAAATATCAAGAAAGCCCGACGAAAACAATGCCACGCCCAGGATCAGCTCCGGGGCAATGGATGCAGCAACTACCTGTCCCGCCACTCTTGGACCCGAATCACTCAAGAGCAAACCGCCAAACTCAACCCAGCGCGCAAAAAAAAAAATCAATAAGTCAAAAACTTTCTCAAAAGCGACCTCCGCCCATCCCATCCCAATCCCAATGCTATGCTCCTAAAAACCGCAAAAAACGACAACGACAGACGTGAAGTAAAAACTCGCATCTAAAAAACAAAAAAAACTAGCGAAAATGCCCGACGAAGAAATTCCTACACAAAAATATGCTTTGACAATGAAGTGGAATCTTTTTTGCGGGATGTAGTACAGAAGACTGATATCTTATGTATCAGGCGATCCGCACGCGGGGCTTTTCTCAGCCGAGCGTGCGACCACTCTGTATCGTCTGTTGACTGCGTGGCCGAGGGGTGGTCGAGCTCGGCCGGATGGTGCTCGCGGGGCTGAAATCGCCCGGAGGGTGGTGGGCGGGCGGCTTCTGTGATTCCCAGCCTTCTTCGCTCAGGACGCTGAGCCAGCCGCTGCCAGCCTCGTTGCGGAGAGCCTCGATTTTCTTTCGGTACATTTCGCCGCTGACACTCCAGTCTTGGGTGTCGAGGAATGGCAGCGAAATGGTCGATTCTTCTAAGGGTCTCTCCGCGGGAAGGAGTTGAGGGGTGGTAGTTGTATCGAGGCGAGGCAATATGTCGGGTTGGCTGAATGTACGCTGCGGTCGTGGAGGTGTATAGTCGGGTATAATATGGGATGGCTCTGTGTCAGGACTGACACCATAACCACTATCGGACCCTGCCGTTCCTGGGATTGGTTCCTCGGACTTCAATACCACTGGTGGCTTGGGCTTATTTGGCGACATCTCGGACGTGGATAGGTCAACGATTCTTCGCTTTGGCGTCCTTCTCCGACGAGACGAGCTTGTATAAACATCGCTAGCCGCTGTGTTTGGTTGGGGTCTTTCCTTGCGTAGCACTGAAGCTTCCTTGGGAGAATCATATATAATCGCCGGCTTCGTAATATCTACAACAGTAGGTAGTGGTGGCAATGGCTTCACCACGGGAACGTTTTCACGCTCAGGAACGCGCTCCACGAGTTGTCTCCTCTCGTTATACCCTGGGCCGGAAGCGTCAATTATCATGTCCTCGGTAAACCCAGGCGAATTTCGGAATAAGTTGAAGATGGTAACTCGGTAATTTGGATGGGTCTTGGTGAATGGATTTCCGCCAACCCAAATCTCCTTCAATTCCGGGATTCCAGTCAGCCTGGCAAGCTCAGTAGGATCCGTGAGCCTGTTGTCTCTAAGGTCTAGGCGTTCCAGTGGGTACAGTCGTTCTACTCCAGCTAATGACATCAAGCGGTTCCCCCTGAGGTTCAAGGCAGTGATGGCAGGAAGTGGGTTGCGTGTCAGGGAGTGGAGAGAATCAATCATGCAATTGGAGAGATTAAGAGCCCGTAAAGCTGTCAGAGATGCGAGGGAATCGGGGATCTGCGAAAATAAATTCGAGGATAGATCCAGAGAGTTAAGGGTGTTGGCTAGTGGCATTAGACCCGTAGCAGAGATCGATGTGAGGGAGTTGTCCGCCAGACTAAGATGCTTGAGGAATCGCCATTTCGTGGATGGCAGGATGCACGTTGACAAGATGTTGAAGCTACTACCTCTCGGGTTATACCAAGTATCGGATGTGCTTGAATGGGAGCTGTTGGATCCAGATCGTTTCACTTTGTGCGATCCGCGGACATGGCCGTGGGCAGACCCAGTCCTCGAGCTTGTGGGCCGGACTGGTGAGCTGCTTCTGGGGCGGTTGTTCTTCGTAAGCGATGTCAAGTCTCCAGAAGCAGAGCGGCCGAGACCGAAGTCGCTGTGGTGCATCGCCCGGGACTCGCGATTCTCGGGGCTGCCGACTCGCGAGTCTGGTGATCCTGGCGCAGAATTCGAGTGAACAAGTTCCGCATGAGGTATAGTTGGACTCCTTTTAGGACTAATATTTGGTGCCCAAGGTGAGATAGGTGATGATTGAGCCTTCGACGACCGCCGGCGCCTCTTATCCATGTCATCCAAAACTATGTCGATCAGTAAATCCCCCGGATCTTCTATCGAGGCCCGCTTGATGGTTAAGCTGCGAAGCTGTTCCGCCAATCTGTCCCAGCCAAAAAATTGTCTGATATCGATATCACTAATCTCCAAAGCGCTTAGGTTCTTGAAAGCAATCAGAGGAACGGCAGTATCGAAGGGAAACTCCTCGTATCCAGAGATCAGTCTCGCACGGCGATCGGGTGTCAATCGAAGACAGGGGATCTTGGTGAAGGCTGAGTATAGGTATTTGAGGTCCTCCCTGTTCGCAGCCAGTTGTCTCTCGATTTTGGCAGCAGAGCTTGCACCCCTGAGGCTAAAGCCAGACCATAGCGACGTCATGCCCGACATGACGCTTCGCATGCTTGAAACAGAGTGTATAGAGCCATGGTCGGAGCCGCTCTTTGGATTTTGTGACTTTCCAAGGAAGGAGACATAGTTTGCGGAAGTATCGGAGTGTAGACTTTCCAGTCGCACGTTCATAGGCCCAACAAGTATCCCAAAATCTTCGAATCGCGAAAGGAGGTAGAATAGATGATGCGGCGTGAGGGCGAGCTTCGCTGGTTTGATGTTATGGCTTGCAAAATTTAGGTATGGTAGTGAGAGCGCAGCAGCAAGTGTGCTCGATGTCAGGGTCGATGATGCCGACGACGACGGTGGGCTGATGATCGTTGTTGATGTGCTGGAGGGGACTCCCAACGCCCCATAGTGGCTTTGTGACCGGCCATGCCCGGGTGATTGTTGTTTTCGTAGTTGGAGAGCATTTGCGAGAGCTTTCTCATGAGTTCGAACAAATTGGGCGAGGTTCTAGAGGAGGCCGTCAGTTCTAATTAAATCGTAGACAATTCGGGTGTGTGTGTGTACCTTTACGAACAGCTGCCCATCTTCAGTGTCCATCCCGGCCGAAGAGAAGACGCAGACTTCAACCGCGCGTAGACTTCGACATGAAGACTATATACTATCGGTTGTCCACTGGTAGTACACTGTCGACGCTGTATTACCCAGCCTCGCCAGAGATACTCCTTATGGCGCAACCACAAGAGTCCCAGAGTGTCAGTAGAGGCTGACCTAACCTGCGGTTGAGACAAAGATTAGCAAGAGCCCAGTTGAGATCAAGGGTGCAGGAAAACGTTAGGTTGGCGAGAAGAGAGCCTGCCCCAGGACTCGGGAGTATTACGCACACCTCATGCGAAGAGCTTGACCTCGCGCGATGACTGATCATGGCATCGAAAGGGCTCCAAGACACGGGCGAGTCGTGGGGCTGCACAACAGTCCACGAGCGCGCGGGTCTGAACTTCAAACAAGAACAAGCTTATGTTTATCGCAATAAGGAGAGAAATCTTTCACTTACCAGTGTATAGATCCACTGGATCTATTATGCAACGACACCGAGAAATACCCCGTCGACGCAACAGCACACAGGTCTCTCTGCAAAGGGAAGGGAGGTTCGACGAGAAGCGACAAGGCTGTTGCTCATGTATATAGCAAATTTCACTTGGTAAAGGATTCGCTGGGCACACCGCCAAATAAGCGCAGACGTTGGGGGGGGGGAAGGGGTGCACGGTGATGTACGCTGCAGCAGCGAGGTCGGTGGAGACGCAGTCTACTCAAGGGTCCTTAGTGCACGGTGTGCTGCAGCTAACGAGGGATCCCAGCCACCACTTGCAGGCCAGTGAAGCCAGTAGCCAGTAGCCAGTGAAGCCAGTAGCCAGTAGCCAGTGAAGCCAGTAGCCAGTAGCCAGTAGCCAGTAGCCAGTAGCCAGTAGCCAGTAGCCAGTAGCCAGTATATCCAGCTGGGGAGGGATGCAAACTCAGGCAGTATATCCAGCTGGGGAGGGATGCAAACTCGGGATGAGGATCAGGATGAGGATCAGGATAGATCAGGATGAGGATCAGGATCAGGATGAGGATCAGGATCAGGATGAGGATCAGGATCAGGATGAGGATCAGGATCAGGATGAGGATCAGGATGCTGAGAGTTTCGGTTTTTGCCGGTAGAGTAATGGTTGGTAGTATAGGGTAAAAGATCGAGGAGCTGGCAATATAAAAAATGTTTGTAGTGTGTACTGCGGCATGGATGGGGTACTGTGCAGGTGCAGTGCAGTACAGTTCCAGTATATTTGTAGTCGCAGTACAGCCCAGTACAATAACCTTTCGAAATTGCGAGGTGCAGTATGGGTTACTATGGCTTATTATCTTAAGACAGTATGCACCAGATCAGAGCTGAAATCCTCTACTATCTACTATCGGATCTTATTACGCGCCACCCTCTTGAGAGGACCAGAGGACTATACGCCCAGTTTCACGTACTCCTCCGTAGCTGCAGATATATGTACGCCTATGGAGGAGTGCTTTAACAGTCGGTCAGTACCAGCGATGTCCCTTCATGCGAAGAATCACACTGCCACTTCTGAAACATATACGCCAGTGATCTCCATCCAGTTACACCGACAGCAGTGCGGTAGCGATCGACAATATCGAAAGGGGCGCATGTACCCTCTACTGACGGAGGAGCATGTACCGGTGGAGTAACACAGCCGAGTTGTCATTGAAGCTATTCACAGTTTTGGAGACTTTGGCGGCAAGTCAGGATACTCGAATACTACGAACCCCCTTTCTCTAACAAGAAGAAGCTGGAGATGACGGGCAATGGAGGCGTGTTCAGATGTCAGCACCAGCGACAGATTACGAAGCCGCAAAGTCACGCACACATGCACATACACACGCAACACACTCAGTACTGACTACAATAAGATCGCCCTCATCGTCCGGCTTACCCCCACCTCGCAATAAAAAGCTGAGGCGGAAAACGGGGATGTTCGTGGTATATCTACTCGACTACTCTTATTCACCCCAAGCCCATAAATACATGGGGTTGGCAAGGAAGCCTCTCAAGAAGCTCCCGTGTAGCAATGATCACTCGGTGATTGTCGATAATGCAGACGGGGTTCTCCCATCCAAAGTGAATGGTTGCCATCCTCATCCTCAAACACCCGTGTGGCTTTTGTTTCCTGTTTCTCGATATCATTTCCCAAAGTTGTCCCGTTCAGCAGCCAAGCGCAAGCCCACAACTTGAGACAACCCCACACCTTTCCCTTACATATCCACCAAGGCCGTGTGGCATGGGTATGGGCTGCATGTCAGCCAGTCACGAAGCGATGGATCGCGACAGGCAGTACGCAGGAGGATGATAGCCATCAAATCTCCCAAAGTTGTTGGCTAGCAGCGCCAATCATGGGCCCGAATTGTCTCATCGCTGGGAGGGAGGCATTTGTCTTCATTCAGAACTGTCTAAATTCAACTCTGTCCGGCACCTGTGCTCTTGTGTACCAGAAAAGTATTCTGTTCCACAGCTGCTGGGTGACACTTGAGAGAAAAATGGCTTGCGTCTCGCTCCCACCGCTTGACTTTCTTGCGATTCCGTCAGCGCCTGCAGCGACGACGAGCTCGGGTATGCCGCCGACGACCACACCCACTCGGAGAGCGTGATCGTTTGTAGGTGAGGGCTACTACACATGCAGAGCCCGTCGCCGTACCAAAATGCAACTTCCTACCACTCCTCATTTTCAATACCCACACTCTCCAGCTACTGGGCCAGCCCACCTTCATGGCCATTGGGGTGTCAGGTGCGATAGATGCCATTCGTCCCGTTTCTGGCAATGATGTCACCGCGTACACGACGATACTAACTCTCAAACTCCAAACGTTTCTCTTGAAGCCAGAGCAAAATAGTGTTAGGTCGGCGTTTGTATGGGCGAACGACGCACAGATTCGTCGCGATATAGCAGTCTTATAGCCTCTGAGGAGCAGAGCGTGCGGTCTTGCCCTGCGATTGGCCAGGAGGGCTATCTGTCATTTATGAGGCCAGTACGCACAGATTATGTGTAAATGCCGCGCAGCATGCTCCTCCCTGTTGCAGCAAACCAAACGGCTTTTATCCGGTTGGACCCGCACTCCTTAGTTGCAGATCTGGGGGTCGCTCTCACCACTGAGTTTGTGTCAGATGAAGCGGAGAGCGCGGATCACAGAGACAGAAAGCATCTTAGTCCTTCGTAAAGGTTGCATCTCACCGCCGGCGCAAGCTCGTCGGCGGCCCTTGGCATCACAGATCCCACCTTGCACATGCAACATCCCACTCGCAGCGAGCCGCTCCTCAAGAACGACCCCTCAAGAACGACCCCTCAAGAACGACCCCTCAAGAACGACCCCTCAAGAACGACCCCTCAAGAACGACCCCTCAAGAACGACCCCTCAAGAACGACCCCTCAAGAACGACCCCTCAAGAACGACCCCTCAAGAACGACCCCTCAAGAACGACCCCTCAAGAACGACCCCTCAAGAACGACCCCTCAAGAACGACCCCTCAAGAACGACCCCTCAAGAACGACCCCTCAAGAACGACCCCTCAAGAACGACCCCTCAAGAACGACCCCTCAAGAACGACCCCTCAAGAACGACCCCTCACTCTCCCCTCCATCGCTCCAAGTCGAGCTGGTTCGCCGGAGGCCGTCCCAGCGCGCAGCACTGCATTGTGGTTCACTCATGCCGTGTCTGGCGGTGAGGAGGCCCGAATCCGCGAGTTCGGTTCGCAGTCGCCGACCATACACTCGACCATACACTCGACCATACACAACCTTAAATTAATTCCACATGTAGAGTCTACTCCGTACCTCGCGTATAGATGCTGCAGTGGGTTTACAGCCCTCGTCCCCCCACCACTTCATCAAAAATTTCCCCGCGCAACAATACAGTTATTTATTGTACACGGTACTGACAGTTATCCGACTCGGGGCACTCCCAGAATGACGCACAGCCGTCCGGACCACCGCGCCATGGCACCCCCGCGGTTCCGGCGCCTTTCCACAAAATGGAACTGGTGCTAGGAATTCCTGGAGCGCAAGGGAACGGGTGCAGACACTTGCAGGGCAGGTTACATCCTGGGTTGTGCCGTATCTGACGGCTCTACTGGCGCATTTTGGGGTCCAAGATGTCGATTATGTGTATGTATCAGAGTAATTGCCCAAGCGAGGGAGCAGAGGCCCATACTGACAGGGCAAAGATACCCAGACGCCGACGTCTTGATTGGTTCCATACCCCCCATGAACCACCACCCAGGATTTCGAAGGGCGCGCGCATCTCAATTCCGACTTCGGGCCGGCGAGGATGCGATAAGGCCAATCATGAGGAATGCGGACGACATTTCCTTACCAATGGTGAGGGGCAATCGCGGTGCGGCGACACTGGTGGGAGCACCACACTGCTGGGATATAGATATCACATGCGTCACTCGCTCGCCCGTTTAAGCGAACCTGCATAATCAGATGCCAAGACTAGGCGAGGATAGCGTGGGGTGGCTTGATGGCTTGAGACGACATCATTGCACAGTAGTAGGACGTAGGACGTTAGTATAAGGATGGGCATGACCAAAGATCGGTCTGGAGATCGACTGCGAAATCTGCCAAGTGCTGTCATTGGGGTAGTAGAGCATTGCAAGGCTTCTAACTAACAGTTAGAAGCAGATGGTGTTCGCTGAGCCGTCTGTCTCCATAATACGGAGTTGGGGATCCACGTAGTTGTAGTGTCACCCCTCGCCCTGCTTCTCGGAAGAAACAGGGCGTTAATCTTGACTTCGTTGTTCCAAGGTTTGACAGATTCGGTTGCCCGTGGCAGATACGAAGTTTAGCGCTGCAGCACAGATGTAGTATACTGGGGGTGGCAACGGCAGTTAAAACTTTCACGATGAGTGATAATGTCAGAAACAGAAACAGCTTGCTGTATTCATAATCCCCCCATCAATCTACTCCTGATAAAACCCCATGTTCCCCACGGAAAGAAACCACTGTGCATAATAATTATTAAGATGTCAGGCAATACTCCCTAGACTCTATCCCTCCCGTAAGTGGTCATAGCAACTGTAAGTAAAATGAAGGCTCCCGGTCACTTAGGGACTGTAATTCTTATAGCTGTCAATTTCTAGTTTTGCAAAGCTGCGGTTCAATCTCTCATTGATGCTTCTACATCGCAAAAGTACTCTATTCGCCGTTGTGTTAAGGTAATCTCACCACCCCCCCGAGTGCAATGATGACTACACAAATTTACAATGGTGAAACCATTCTTGTATAAATGGAAAGCCGATGCAATCATTAAGATGACCAGAATAAAAAGCTTCGACCACGGACAACCAGTAATCAAGAACGGCCTGGTTATATGCCTGAATCGCCTGGTGGAGCTTCGCCATTCTGGCGTCTCTCCAGTCGCAGGTCATCCTTGGGTAATTCTGTCGGCTAGTATTTTTGATGGTATAGTATTGGAAGTCTAGCTGCATACATAAGACATATACTTGCACATTTTGCAACCCTGGGTATTCGGTGCCATTGCTTGCTCGGTTTCTTGTTCGGTATCAACCTGGGTTCTTCGTTTTGCGGTGTTCATGGTTACGTTTGTGTTGGCGTCTAATAAAACAGTTTATGGCCTTTGTCGAAATATTTGGGAGAGCGATGGGGCTGGTTTATGAGGTAGGAGCAATGGGCTGATACTGTATGTTGGCCTGGAATTTAGTGTACCATAGGAAGTGGCATCCAAACCTAGGTTTGGCTGATGCATATTATCCGCGTCAAAAATAAAGGACGAATGCAATATTATTTTTACTGAAGCGCCCTATCCTCGTTGACCTCTTCCTCTGTGTCTATACTGACTGACCTCCTCCATAGCCTCTATCCTTGCCAACCTCCTCCCCAGCCTCTATCCTCACTGACTTCCTCTCCAGAATCTATCTTCGCCGACTTCCTCTCCAGCATATATCGCCGAATCCATTTTCAACTTATAGCATGCGCATTCCCCAACCTTTCACCCCTTCATCCCTTCCTCTTCACCCTCATCCTCACTAACCTCCTCAAATGTGAAGGTCACCTCTATCCGCAGATAAGGAAATGAGAGCTATGCAATCTGAGCGTGCTAATTAGAAATAATCACTTTGCCCCTTTTATCATCCCTTAATGTCCATGTCATGGGATTCTCTCTTACATACAGACTACGTTGTACGTCACATCCAGTTGACCAACACCGCCAATCCATAATTCATAACCTTCATTTCTCCCACATCCAGTCACGACACGTACTTCCCATAAAACCCCGTCCATTCCCTCAAGAGCAATCCTCACAAATCGTCCCATCCGGATTCCTCTTCTTCTCATCGTAGGCCGTATCACAAATCACACCTTTAGTCCCCACCTCATCCTCCATAGTTCCAGTCTCCCCCGCAACTATTTTATACCTCCCACCTCCCGGCTGTGCTTCCAAAGTCAACTGATCATGCTCCAGCACTCCCTCTTCTGCGCCGCCGCGGCCTGAACTAGTGACACCGCCAATTGAGGCCCCTGCGGCTATAAAATCTCGAAGGCTCATTTCGGGGGCTGTAGAACCCCCTGTCGTGGTCGTGGCTGTCGCGGCTGTCGTGACCTCTAGTGTGGGGGTTTCGGCGCTGGGACTGATGGCTTTCTTTTTGCCGTCGACGTGGCCGAGGTCTCGGTTTGGATCTATGATATCTCGCACTCGGCGTTTGATATCTTTGATTTCTAGTTATAGGTTAGCATTGTGCCAAGTACAATATTTTTGTATTCTCCCTCCTCTTTATTTTTCACCAATGACACCTATGGTGTTTTTGTAAACACAGAAAGGAGTAACCAAAAACCTCTGGTGGTGCATCCGGAGAAGAAACATACCAGGGAAACCTCCCTCGGTTTTTCGGTCCCATAATAGCTTAGATTCCACAGTCACGCTTGTTACCGTCCCTGTCTCAGCTTGGGTAGTAGAGTTGGGTGTGGTACTGTAGAATATCTCGATTGAGAAGACTCCGCCAGTCGCTGGTTGAAGAGCAACTTCACCCAAGTCCGTCGAGAAGGTGGAGAGTAGTTCTTGTGCAAACTGCGAATAATTAGAATAATGAGTCAATGTAACCAATTATGATTGCAATATATAAACTGAATAAATAAGGGACCAGCAGGCGAGCATAAAATTCCTATATGAGGGAGGCAATGACGTAGTCACGTGTGTCAGGGTTCTCTCCGAGACACTGCAGTTATATAAAAGAAATCTGCTTGCTTGAACATACATAGGCAGCCCGAAGCATCCATTTGCACTGTGTACAGAACTTGATAACAATCCGCGGATGGGGAGCAGAAGCTGCGAGGCCTTTTGGAGCTTCCATGATGAGTGCTTTGATGCCGAGCTGATTTGGGAATGTCCGTCGAAACAAAGAATGAGGATTAGAAACTTCAGATGAACGATTGAAAGTTAAATTACGTTCTCCTTAATGGTGCTTTAGGCTTCTGGAAATTGGCAAAAGAAGGATTTAGTTGGACTCTGTGGCTGTGGTTCGTTGGACGCCATATGCATGTCACCATTTGCTAATCTTCGTTAGTGCTTATGCGAAAAACGGGGCCACTTTTAGGAGTTGGCCCAGAACTTCGAGAGCAAGAAACGCGCAGTGCATATGGATAAAGAATAAGAAACTATAATGAAGTGATACGGGAGATTCAGCTTTAGGTCGTTGGAAGCTCCATTGGAGGCCTCAGCGCTCGTCCGATGCTTCCGTGGCCTCAGTCTCCTTCGCGCACAATTACCAATCACAGTCATCACGAACTCAATCCATCAGGAGATATGTAGCCAATAACTTAAATCAATTGGTTTTCCCACCCTATATAGTTACAAGAAAGCGACGTAAAAAAAGAGCCATAATCGTAAGTGTGGTGGCAAAATGGACGCCCTCCGCCACGAGAAATTGTCCTCGGGCCCCCGTCGTTGTAGTATGAAATCTTTGTTTGTTTGTGGGCAGTATCCTTTCGGGTATCCCATGCTCGCTCGCTCGCCTTCCTCTTCTGTGTTTCCTTTGTTTTTCTCCAGATTATCGAGCAGCTAAATTCATGACGCCAGGCCAAAACGCCTCCATTATTCGTATTCCCCTCCTCACATCACCACGCAGCACCCTCCGGTCGGTTGTGGCGTGTATGGATCGTCCTTCTTGTCGACTGGTCCCCAAACGGATGGAACCATGAAATCGCGTGTCGTATCAGTGTAGGCAATGATGCTGAGCAAGTTAGTGGGATGATCGGTCGGGAAGGGGGTAAGTGAGCAATTCGTACCTCCTCGCGGCTTGGGAAACTGGAATGCGCTCGCGCTCGAGGTCCTCTCGTAAACGATTGTTCAATTCAGTGAGACGGCGTAGCTTCAGGTCTGCCATTGACTGCTTGTTCTTCTTGATTTGGCTCGGGTCCGCCGCGTCGCGAGATGCGTAGCCCATGTTAGCGATGGCTCGATTGAACGATGACGATGCGGGTGTCGGGTAGAGAAGGTTGCTCTTCGTTCTTCGTCGGAATAATTAATTGAGGGCAGTTCTTATGATGTTTGGAGTTGCGGCGTCGGGCTGGTGCTGAAGAGCATGGGAGCTTTGCAATCTCACAGAGTAACTTAGTGAAGAGTATCCGCCTGTAATATTAGATGCGTACTGAAGTCACGCCGCCAATGTATTTCGAAGGGGTCAGTCCTATTATGGTTTAGCGTTTCGGTAAGCCCTTGACCAGCTCGATTCACACAACTGCAAAATTGAAGTAACGCGACGATTCTGACGATTCTCGACGATTCTCGACAAGACCACAGCCTCTGGGACAACTACACGAGTTTCGATCATCGATCAACACGAGCTCGCCCAGCATGCCTCCTCCGCCGCATCAAAAGCCGGAGAACGTATTGAAGAGGGCGCATGAGGTGCGTTCATAGAGAGGATCCTTGCCACCGCGCTATTGCTAACTAATGGTTACAGTTGATGGGAGTTGGACAGCCTTCAGCTGCCCTAGTTCTTCTCCATGAACACATCACTTCGAAGAGATCCAGAAATGTTCCGATCGCGTCGCTGGAGCCGGTGATGCTCCTGTTGGTGGAGCAGTCCGTGGAACAAAAGAAGGGAAAACTCGCGAAGGACGCCCTATACCAGTACAAAAATATTAGCCAGAACACCAACGTCGGAACCATCGAGGTAAGGCTCAGCATACTCCGGAGGATTAAATCGCGTCAATAAGGGACTGGGCGCTAACGTCTAATTTTATAGCTCGTCCTCAAGAAATTTATCGAACTTGCGGAGACCAAGGTCCAGGAGGCTCAGGCCAAGGCAGATGAGATCCAGAGCACCCTCGAGACTACCCAAGCAACCGCCAGTGTCGATGATCTCGAGGCCAGCGAAACCCCAGAGTCGATTCTCCTGTCCATCGTATCCGGCGAGCAGTCTCGCGACCGCACAGATCGAGCCATCGTCACTCCTTGGTTGAAGTTCCTGTGGGAGACATACCGCACTGTTCTCGACATCCTCCGCAACAATGCTCGCTTGGAAATTATGTATCAGAGCACTGCCATGCAGGCATTTGCCTTCTGCCAGAAATACGCGCGCAAGACCGAGTTCCGCAGACTCTGTGAGCTTCTGAGGAATCACGTCCAGACTGCTGCCAAGTACTCCGCTCAGCAGATGCACGCCATCAACCTGAACGACCCAGACACTCTCCAGCGCCATTTGGAGACGCGTTTCCAGCAGCTGAATGTTGCGGTTGAGCTCGAGCTGTGGCAAGAGGCTTTCCGCAGTGTTGAGGACATCCACACCCTCCTTAACCTCAGCAAGCGCCCACCGAAGAACATCATGATGGCCAACTACTATGAGAAGCTTACCCGCATCTTTTTGGTCGGCGAGAACTATCTTTTTCACGCCGCTGCCTGGTCCAGATACTACAACCTTCTCCGCCAGTCTGCTGCTATTGTCGCGTCAGGACAGGGCAAGAAGTCTGAAAACCCAGCTGCATCGGAGGCCGATCTCACCAAGGCCGCTTCCTTCGTTCTGTTGTCTGCTTTGGCCATCCCTGTCATCAGCACCTCCAGATCCCGCGGAGCCTTGATCGATGTTGACCAAGCCAAGAACAACAAGAACTCTCGCCTGACACACCTTCTTGGCATGTCCGCTGCGCCAACCCGCGCGGTCCTGTTCAAGGATGCCATGAGCAAGGGTCTCCTCAGCCGCGCCCGCCCAGAAATCCGCGCGCTTTACAACATCCTTGAAGTGGACTTCCACCCTCTCTCGATCTGCCAGAAGATTTCCCCTATCCTGGCTAAGATCGGCGCCGACGAGGAGATGGCCAAGTACATTGCTCCTCTCCAGCAGGTTATCTTGACCAGACTATTCCAGCAACTGTCCCAGGTTTATGAGACTGTGGATGTGAAGTTCGTGGAGAACCTTGCTCGTTTCCCAGCGCCATTCGATGTTTCAAGGGACACTATCGAGAAGTTCATCATGAACGGAAACAAGAAGGGTGACCTTGCTATCCGACTGGATCACGCCACTGGTGTCCTCAGCTTCGATACCGATGTCTTCTCTTCGGCGAAGGCTGTCCACACCGGATCTGCCGCTGGCTCCGCCGAGACGGAATCTCAATCCGTCCAACGCCTCCAAAGCACTCCCTCAGAAATTGTCCGCACTCAACTCACCCGCCTTGCGAAGTCTCTTTACGTCACTTGCCAATATGTGGATCCTTCCTACAACCAAGCCCGGGTCAAGGCTCGCGATATTGCGTTAGCAAAGGCTAAGGCCGGCGCTGAGCAAGAACATCACGAGTCTTTGGCACGCAAGGAGATCATCCACAAGAGAAAGGAGGCAGCTAACGAGATCATCGCTCGCAAGGAGAAGGAAGATGCGACAAAGAAGAAGATCAGAGCCGCACAACTCCAAGAGGCTGAGGACAAGCGTCTTGCGCAGGAGCAGAAGGAGCGTGAGGAGAAGCGCATGAAGGCTGAGCTCGACCGTGTCCGCAAGGATGAGCTCAAGAAGCAGATTGCCGATCTCAAGATTGGTACCAAGGCTCTCGATATTGATCTTGAGGACCTGGACAACCTTGATGGTAACCGCCTCCGCGCCATGAAGCTTGCCCAGCTTGAGCGTGAGAAGAACGACACCAGCGAGAAGTTGAGAATTGCTGGTAAGCGTATCGATCACATCGAGCGTGCGTTCAGAAAGGAGGAGGCCAAGAAGCTCCCAGCCGACTACGAGGAACAGCGCAAGCGTGATCTTGAGGCGTACAACAAGACCAAGTCGCAGGTCCTTCGGGATGCTCAGGCGAAGCACGCCGAGGATCTCGAGCTGTCGAAGAGACTGACAAGAATCACACCCATCTACGAGGAGTTCAAGACCGACGTCGTCGCCCGCAGGCACGACGAGTTCGAGAAGCGCCGTCGTGATGCCGAGAAGGAGCTGGAGAAGCAAATCAACCAGCGCCGCAAGGAGCACAGGGAGCGCAAGATCCGCGAGAAGCGCGAGCGTGAAGAGCAAGAGAGGATTCTTCGCGAGGAGGAGGAGCGCGCCGCTGTTGAGCTCGCCGAGAAGTCTGCTCGCGAGGAGCGCAGGAGACAGGAGTTCGCCGAGCTCAAGGCCCAGCGTGACAAGGAGCGTCAAGAGGGTGTCGAGAAGGCTGCCCTCCAAGCCCGCCGTGAAGAGGAGGCCCTTGCTCGCAGAGCAGGCGCCAGAGCCACCGGTGGTCTCCCAGTCCGCGCAGCAGAGCCAGAGCGTAGCGCCTCAAGCGACCGCCGCCCACCTCTCCCACTCGCCGGTGCCAAGCTCGGCTGGAGAGAGAAGGAGGCCCTCAGAGCCGCAGGCCAAGAAGTCCCATCTGAACGCACTGCCTCCCCCGCCGCTCCCTTCGCCCGCACGGACTCCAACGACCGCCCGTCAGGCCCACCTCGCCTTGCCCTCGCCGGCGCAAAGCCCAGCTGGAGAGACAAGCAGGCCGCGAGAGCCGCCTCCGGCACCTCTCCCGCGCCTGAGTCCCGCGATCGCGAGGCTCCTGCTATCGCTCGCACCGCCTCTGGAACCGGTCCAGTCCGCGGCCGCACCGATCGCAACGAGAACGAGCGCGAGAGTAGGTCTCCCGCGCCTCCAGTTGAGCCACTGAAGGCCAGCGGTGGCGCTGGGAAGTACATCCCCAAGCATCTGCGCGACAAGGCTTAGATTACGGATGAAACGTAGGGAATATATTGCATGGGCTTTGCGGGTGGGGGTGGGTGGATAGTTGGTCATAGTAGCTCGTTTGGCTAGGCTCTATCTACTCGTCTCTCTTCATTCTTTGATATTGGCGTTTATTTTTGGGCTTTGTAATGTAGTCGATACGTGGCGAGCATTGCGAGTTGGTGGGGGTGGGGGGGAAAGGCTGACAAGCTGGAGGCCAGCCGAAAAGAAAAGTCGAGGTGATGCCGCCAAGGGAGATATGGAGTGCCAAAGTGAGATTAGCATAGTTCAGAAATGAATGCAGATACGAGATCTGTTTTGTGATTTTAATAGAATAAAAATTATTTCATTTTTCCACTCTACAAAATCACACGTGTCCTACGCAGCATATCAGAGTAGTAAGTTAGTTGTAATCCGGATGTGTCTAGAGAGGAGACTAACTCGCCAGATGTCAGATTCCCAACTGCCAAACCATTATACTCACCGTTCAAGGTCAGCGCCGACTACTATAGAAAGCACTTTAGAGAGAGTGGAAGTCAAGTTCTCCCTAAACCTCCCCAACCCCCCCTAACCCCCCCTAACCCCCCCTTAGATCACACCACACCACACCACCTAAAAAAATAAATGAGCAAAACCTCATCACCTCACAGGACAACCAAAACAACGTAAAATTCCGGTACCGGGAATCGAACCCGGGGCTACCCGGCTCCAAAGTCTTTGAAAGCGGGTTATGTTAACCCCTACACTATACCGGATGTATTTGAGTTCCCGATGTGAGGCTATTTGGTCTCTCGTAATCGTGTGTGTGTGTGTGTGTGTGTGTGTGTGTGTGTGCACGACGGAAGGGGTGAGCGTCCCGCGATATGAGGGGGAACTTGGTGGTGGGTTTGGTGAAGACGTGGTTGTTGTTTTCTGGTTGTTTGCGTGGTGGTTTGGGTAGGTGCGTGTACAAATATTGGAAAGAATAACTTATATTTAAATATAAATGTCAAAATATATATTAGTCATAAATTCTGCTGCATCTATGAAGCTGTCGAAATTATAGCACAGCATGGTGTAAATGTAATAAAGCAATTTCACAATTACAAAGACACTCATCGCACCCAAAAGCAAACAAAGTTCCATTCTTTCATCCTTCATCCTACTGACCGCCCATTCATTCAACTTTAAAAATACCCTATACCCTTCACGACCTACCCACCATCGCCGAGCCCCCTCTTACCCTATTAACAGAGTCCCGTCGACATCCATCCCCAAAGTGGCATTGGCACAGATTACCAGTTGATACAACGTGACATCTCCCATTTCTCTCACCCCCCTCGCAAACACGTCAAGCAACCTGCAGTCCCATACAAAGGCACCCAAGCCCATAAACCCGCACGAACCTGCTCATTATGAGAATAGGCACAACACCAACCAGGAAGAGAATAAACTAGCAGATTACACCCAAAATATGGGTAAAAGGGGGCTCCTCCATGCCCAGTCTGCAGCTGACAACCCATCTCACCATTCCAAACCTGAGTAGGAAAGCCACACCCGCAGTGAAGTGAGCGTACAGGACAAACAGCTTTCGAGTTCTGCACCGCCTTCGAGTAAGGACAAGCTTTAAAATCTCCATGCAATCCAGAGGTTGAACTTTCAGGCCCATCCCGTTTCTCATCCCCATTTTCACCCCCATCAGGAACAGGCTGGGCATGATACCCCCCCTCCTCCACAACATTTCCACCGCCAGTTTTAGACCCAGAAGGCGTCAAGGTCTCCGACATAACCGGATCCAACTTCTTAGGCCTAGCCGCCCTTTCAATAATAGGCATCTTCTCACCCCGCGACGCCCGAAGAGCACTCTCACGCTCGCCGCCAAATCCCGGGAGGGAAACCCTATTAGTCTGCCACATACGCCTCTGAACAGACTTCTCTTCCTCCCTGTCTCTAGAAGCCGCAATCCTAGCAGAATATCGACCCGGCTGCGGACTATCCTGCCACATACGCCTCTGAGCATCCATCTCTTCCTCCATGCGTGTCAAAGCTATAGCCCTAGCAGAATACTGATCTGGCTGCGGACTAGCCTGCCCATCACGGCTCCTAACCCCCGCATCGCCATCGACTCTCATAACACGCTCATGACGAGCTGACACCTGATCCGCCACAACAAAAGGATTATCCTTGACAACCCTGCGACTTCTCGGTCCTGGAGGTCTGACAGGAGAAGGTGCCAATCGTAAAGGTTCGGGATAGTCGTTAGCGCTGAGATGTGACAGATCCACGGGAGATGGCGGAGTTGAACGGATAGTTGGTGATTGGGTCGTTGTATAGCATGGCGAACCAGCAGTCGGTGACTGCGGTGTGGTATAATGAGCCTTCGCGAAAGCAGCCTGTCGAGCCCATACTTTAGGAGGCAAATCGGGGGTATCTGGACTATCCACGTAATTCTCCTGCTCGAACTCGCTCGGGGTGTATACATTTTCAGCCCGCATCTGATCCTCCCTCTGCGTATTCCGAGCCTCCATGGCGTCGCTGTCTTCATATATTGCAAATTCTTGGGCTGCTCCATCGATTTTGGCAATGGGCATGAGCCACTCGCAGTCGATGCACAGGCGATGCCCGCAGGAAGCGCATCGTTCAATTTCTTCGTTGATAAACCGGCAGATGTGGCAGCTGTACCGCTTGGCTAGTTGCAGTGTGGTCGATTTAATGAGTGTCAATGGCTGCTGAGGAGCCGGTGCCGCCTCAGGAGCAGGAGCAGGCTGAGGAGAAGGTGCCGGTGGAGGAGCAGCTTCAGCCTGAGGAGCTGCCACCTCACCCCCCTCACCACCCCAAAAACCTCCCCTTGCCGCCTCCACTCTAACACCCACCTCCGTCCCCCTTGTCCTAACCCCCACCCCAACCGCAACCTCATCCCTCACCTCCCCTCTCCCCTCCAAATACCTCCCGACCTGTTTCGGCACCTCACTAGCAAGCTGCCTCGGCACCTCCTTCACAAGCTGCTTCAACCTCTCCGTCCCCGCCAGAACTCCGCTAGACTCGCCGCCTTCATTTTTTTTTGCATCAACATCGAGATCGAGTCCAAAACCCCGTCTCTGGATCCCAAGACCGAGCCCGAAGTGTCCAGATGTCCCGCTCTCGTGGAGGAGTGAGGAGAGGGCTAGGCGCGCGGCGTGGCGATGGCGGTGGTGGCTGTGGCCGTGGGTGTGGCTATCAATCGAGCGATCTCGTTGTCGTTTGGAAGGTTTGAGGTCCTGGTCTGCGGGGGTGGGGATGTCGGGGGGTTGGGCGAGGGAGTGGATCCGTGATAGTTCTGCTGCGGCGCTGGAGATGGAGTTGCCGGCGTGGTGGGTGGATGATTGGTTCGTGGGTGTGTCGGAGGAGGCGGAGCGGTTGTGTTTGTGTTTTTTGTGGGAGGGGCTCATTGTTTGTAGGAAGGTAAATTGAAGGTGTTTGGAGTTGCTGGGGATTGTTGAACTCTCAGTCCCAGTGTGGTTGGATTGGAATCGAGCAATGAATATTCGGTCCTGGGAAGCTGCAGGATAATAGAGATATCCAGACCCCCCGGGTATAAAATGATCCTGGGATAAAGTATGCAGAGAAGAGAACTTGGTTAAAAGAATGAAGGCATACAATGAACGAACGCACATAACGATATAGCCATGGTTGATATGGGGAAGAGTGATATCTGGAAACGGGGAGAGCCACTGCCAAAGCGAGTGTCCGGGCCTTCTCGCCGGTAGAAGGGGAAAGAGCGACTGGTGCGTTGCTCCTGCCACTTTCATTGCAGGAGTAGAAAGGGAAAGGGCGACTGGAGGGTAGTTGCTCTTGCCAATTTCATCGCAGGAGTCGAAAGGGAAGGCACGATGGGAGGGTTGCACTTGTCTATTCCATAAGGATGAATTGCAGTTGTAGAAAGGGACGGCGCGAGCGGCGGGGTGCTCTTGCCTGCTTTATAATGATGATATGATATAAACTTGACAGCCGTGATGAAAACCACTTACCTACAATCAATAGTCGTCACATTAACACAAGGGGCACATCAAGCGACGACATGCACAACACCCTGACGACATTTCACGCGGACCCTGCTCACATAACACGACGCGATCTCGAACATTCTTTGGATATACACGGTACGGTTTTTAATACAACTTTACCATCTCTAAAAGCGCTCTATAACAATCTGAAGCAATCCGATGGATTACTTGAGCGCAGCCTGCAGACTCTCCAGGACCTAGTTCGTTTTCCCAGTCAGCAAATTGCCCGTCTGTCCCACCTGGTGTAGGTTTGTAGTTGGTTGTATAGCATACCTCAATCTCGATGTTGGCCTCAGCGATCTCTGTCGCGCTGCCGTTGCCGCTAGCCACCTTCTGCGCCTCGGTGAGCTGCGAGCGCACAGCCTCGATGCTGAAGTCCTCAAGGGGGAAACCCTCGACGGCGTTGATGCTGAGGACGGAGTTGGGGTTCATGACGGCGAAGCCACCGGACACTATAGCACATCACACCTGTTAGCTGGTATCCCTTTATATCTCCCGACACCAATATCGACCTCGGCCGGGTGCAATTTGCTGGTTCAGGGTATTGGGTAGAGAGGGGGACGCACGGAAAAACTGCTTGCTGCCAGCGCTCTCCTCAATGACCTCAATCAACCCAGGCTTGAGCTGCTCGATCGAAGGGACGTGGTTGGCGAGGAGACCCATCTCTCCCGACTCAGCGGCGATGTTGACCTGGACGACGTCCTGGGAGGTGTAGACCTTCTATAAATCACACACACATGTCAGCCACTCTTCAATCTCCCTTTCCCAATCCCTCCCGGTATCCAATGGCTTCCCCATCGTCGTTGTGTTGTGTCGTGTCGTCAATCCCACGACTACGCTGACACCCATCCCCCATCCATCTCAATCGCCCCCATCTCATCGAAAAACATGGATTCGCATACCTGGTGAGGAAGGTTCAAGCTCAGCTTGATCTGGAACTTGTCCATTAGCCCATGCCACTCCCATAAAATCCTCCACCGGCGGAAGGAAGCAACCGACCTTATCCGAGACAGCCTCAGCGTATCCTCTGCGCTGGACAGGAGCCTTCATGGCAGGGGCGCGAACGCGCAGGGCCGCGCGGGCAATGCGGAAGGAGTTCATGATGTGCGTGTGGAGGGGGTGGGTGGTTCGATTGGGGGTCAAGAGCTTGCGGGAGGGTGGAGGAGCTTCGGGTTTCGCTGGTATAGATTCTCGTGATGGCCTCGCTAAAATGGGATTGATTTCTTGGCGGAGTTTTTTAATTTGGGGATGTTGGATGTGGATGTCAGGTGATAATGACCACGAAAATCAAAAAATTGGACAGGAAGAATTGGGTGCAAGTCATCTATTTCCTACGGGAGTGTATTCTGGCTTTAGTGTCAAGGTAAGAATCGAAGAAGAAGCCATTATTCCTTTCGAAGCCAATCCTCACGTGATCAACATTCGAATGCTGGCGCCTTCCAAACCAGGTACCCACGTCTCACAAACCAGCCACAGCGGTCCCCGTACTCGCCTAATCGCCATCTCGTCCACCGTACTCGTACCCCGCAACGCAACCCTCTGACGAAATCGCCATCGCCGGTTCACGGGCACTAGTCCATAGTGGGCATAGTGCTTTATTTCCCCTAGCCGTGGTGGTCCCCTTAAAACCTCTGGCGACGCAGAGCGATTCGCTGCCAAAAATGCCTCAAGCAAGGATATAATAAGTTATGGGGACATGGATGGGGATGGGGATGGGATGGGGACGTGGATGGGATGGGGACGTGGATGGGATGGGGACGTGGATGGGATGGGGACGTGGATGGACGTCCGTGTCCCCCCATCCACGTCCGTGTCCCCGTCACAGACGCGGATGATTAGAGGGGAGACCCTTGGTGGCGAATAGTTGTTTGCCGATCGATGAGTGTTGTGGCAGCTTGGCAACTGGGTTCAGTTGTTTCCGTGGCGTGGGGGGGAATGTTCATTTGCCGGTCCAAAACGACAAAAGGACGATGGGGAATGTTCATTTGCCGGAGGGGGGGGATTGAGGGATTGATTGAATCAACAACGGAGGTTAAATACTAGCTGCATGACTAGGGCGGGGGATCTTTGTGGTACGTGACCATATCAAAGTATTTTCCTTTCTGTCGTACGGAGATCGAGGATGGATATTTAGAGGGTGGGGGGTAGTCTAGGGTAGGCTGATGGAATGGTGAGTGCTGGTGGAGTGCTGGTGGAGTGCTGGTGGAGTGCTGGTGAGTGCTGGAGTGCTGGAATGCTAGTGGATTACTGAGTGCTGGAGTGCTGGGGTGCTGGAGTGCTGGAGTGCTGGAGTGCTGGAGTGCTGGAGTGCTGGAGTGCTGGAATGCTGGTGGACTGCTGAGTGCTGGAGTGCTGGAATGCTAGTGGACTGCTGGAATGCTAGTGGACTGCTGGAATGCGTTGAGGAAAAAAGAAAATTTTCAGTTGGCGCAAAAGCAGTGCTGGTGACATGTTGCCAGTGTGTTTGAACTGTGCCCATGGCTGTGTGGAAAGATAGAAAAGTACGTACTTTTCTAGTCAGCCACCCCCACCCTCACCCGCCTACCCAAACCCCCCCCCCAATACCCACAAACACAAAGAACCATCTTAAACCCCCATATCCATCCTCATCCTCATCCTCATCCTCTATATCCCCCGCTCCTCTCTCCAACACCACCAACCTTCACACCTTCATACTCTCTCAAAACAACCTCCTCAACTCTCGCTGCAAACGGTTGCTACCTCTACCATCCTCTCCTGACGCTCTTTTCAACCTTCTCGAGAGACATAATTGAGACATCACCAATTTGCCAAGGGCTTGGGTTCTTACATTTCAACAGCAGCGCCACCAATCGATCGTCATCCGGGATACAGAACCAGAGGATCACCCTTTGCTCAACGGCCTTCGCGCATACGATCAACTCATTTTCGGCCTCCAGCCAAGATTTTGCTCTTATCTACGACCTTTCGAGGACGCAAATAGCCCTTTTGGATCATTAATCCATATCCGCAATGTCGCGGAACCTCTTATAGCACAACGGTCCTCAGGGACGCCCCAAAGTATAGGGTACTCGACGACGAGCACATACATACCCTCCGACGACTATAACAGCGTCAGGCACTCTTTTCGCCTCAGCAGACCCCCTTCGTCGGAGCTACTGCGCAATTTCAGCCTTACCAACGCACCGTTCGCTATTACATGTTCGAGAACTGTCTTGCTACGGACGATATCTCGCTATCATATAGCCTTATAACAAGCGACGACGCTGCTGCAGACTCTTTATATTCACATCATCAAGACCTCTAGCAACAATGCCGAGAGATACTGTTCGCCTTCTCGACGAGGACGATCTCATCAGATGGCGCGAAGGAACCATGACGGCCATCCCCTCAAAGGACGAGCCCGGAGGTGCCCCCGACGCCATTACCCATTCCAACCTCTCATCCACGAAACTACCAACGCTCACCGACTTCCACAAGGCCAATATCCAGCTTCGGGCCGATACCAAGACATCACTTCTCACAAAGGCGCTACAGCCAAGCCAAGACGATAACAACGATGAGACCTACATGGCCATTGATATGGCACGCAACCGCTCGTCCAGAAGCACAACGAGCAGCGCATCCACGGCAGATCTCACTTCCGATGGAGGCCTTACCAGCCCTACACGCACAAGCACTCCGAGTCCCCCGTTTCCACCTTCCAGTTACATGTCCTTGGCACCTTATACGTTAGGACCTAAACTGTCACAAACTGCATTCGCCCGCGCACAGCAGAAGAGCCAGGACCCCGCCCTAGCGCAACAGGTGGCAGCATCGACCGTTCCGAAACCCGATCCTGTCGTGGAAGCTCTCGTCAAGAAGCGATGCATCTCATTCGCTTGTGCTGCTCAGAAGCCACAAGACTTTATCAAGTCGACACCTTCCGCTACTCATCCCAAGAACACAGCTGGTACGACGACGACTACGACAGCGCCAAAACGCACAATCAAATTTGCTTGTAACGGGCCGCAACCAGATAGGCAGGCCGTCAAGGTCGTTGAACCTGCCAAGGTTGCTCCGCCCCTCACAGCCACTCCTGCGTCCCCAGCCAAGCCTGGACGTCACACCATCCGGTCGCCTATATTGTCGAGAAAACTGCGCTCGTCCACGCCACAGCCGAAGGCTCAGCGTGATTCGACATTTACCATACGTCGGGCGTCGCAAAGCCCAGCTGCGGTCCGCAGCCGCAAGCCGAAATACATCGTTGCCGATGAGGAGGCCCTCGAGTCATCTGAAGCTACGCGTTTCCACGAGTTCGCTAGCGATGAGCCGCAAGAGGATGACTGGATTCGCAAGGACACGTCTACCATCAAGGGAAAGCTGACCATCCACGACACTCTCAAGAAGGAGAACGCCATCCGACAGCTTGGCAAGGAAGCTGAGGAGGAGGCTCTTGAGGATGACGAGGATGACGAGGATGACGAGGATGATGATGATGATGATGATGACGAGGGGAACGATGATGAGGACGACGAGGACGAGGACGAGGATGAGGACGACGAGGATGATGAGGATGACAACACCATGGATGGCTCGGATGTTGACCTGGGCGCCTCCGACGGCAACGAGACCGATAACGAGGCCGGGTTTGCAGACTCAGATGAGGAAAGCGACCGTGGCGGAGAGTTTCACTTCTGGTCACCTGGAATGTCGACTGGCGAGGCCAGCGCATTCAGGTCGTCAGTTCCCAGAGCTCCATCCGAGTCATCCATTGACTCTCTGAGCCACATGAGCCCCACTCTCAATAGAACGGGCGGAACCCGCAAATCGAAGGGAACTCGCAAGATCAGAATTCGCCCGGGCACTCCCGACCTACCCGACAGCACCGACTTCGTCTGCGGTACTCTCGACGAGGATAGGCCGTTGGAAGAGGCATACGTCTCCTGCATGGAAGCACGCAAGCGCGAGAAGCGCCACGTCATCCCACAAGACATCGACCCAAGTTTCCCTACATCCGACCCCGAGGACGGAGAGGACGAGAACAACGAAGTTGAGAAGCCGAACGATAGCGATGAGGGACTCTGGCTTCATGGCAAGTTTGAGGATTCGGATTCCGAAACCCGCCACAGAAGACGCACTCGCAAGTCTCCCAAGCATTCTCCTAAACGTCTCGTCTCCCCGCCTCCACAGAAATACCGCTCTCCCCCAGCAGCGACAACCCGTCGCTCACCCCGTCTCCGCTCTCCTCCACCTCGTCGCGCTAAGTCGCCGCCGCCTCGCCGCGCAAAGTCACCACCTCCAGCTCGTGCCCGTGCTGTCAAATGGCCAACGGCATCAGCTAGCATCTCCTTCGCGCCCATGCCCAACCGCCCGGACCCTACACACACCAAGTCCCTCCCCCGCCGTCCCAACGCATTCTGCCAACAATACCGCGCGGCCCAACTCGCCTTTGCCAACGACGAGGATAATGATAATAACACGGATGGGTACACCCGCGGTGCTATCGATATCGTGAAGGGCCTGGAGCAGAAGAGGCAGAGGCGGAAGGATAAGTTCTTCTCGAAGTTGTGTAATCGTGCGAGGAAGGGGCAGCAGGTGGAGAGGAGGCCGCAGCCGGGGAAGGGGGCGGAGAGGATGAGGGAGTTGGGGTTGCAGATGGCGGGGAAGACGGTGGATTATAGGGGGGCGAATGCGGAGTATGTTTTGTCGATCTGAGGCGGTGGACGACGACGACGACGACCCAAATCTACGACTTCGATCATCACTATACGACATATACCTTTTCACAACTATACAACTTTAATGTAGGTACACAACTACTTTTCTTCACACAACAAGATAATTCTCTCCCCCCCCCAACACACACACCACGGGGGTGGTCAACTTGTACATACACAACTACTTTTCTTCACACAACAAGATACTTCTCTCCCCCCAAACACACACACCACGGGGGTGGTCAACTTGTACATACACATTCTATCCTCTACAACTCCGTTTCAACACACGCACACCACCAATTTACGGGGATGCAGGCAGGCTTATAAGGACTCTTCAGTCGCCGCCACAACAACACACATTTTATTTTTTTGGGACTAAATAAAGCCCATGGATGGGGGCATTGCGAGCGTGGTGGGGTGGTTAGGGGGTTTGGTTTGCATAGCTAGGGATGCGGGCGTTGGATGTGGCCCGCTGGGTAGGGGGGGGAGCGGGAAATATATATGTTTTGCTGCATTTTGATGGATTGTGAATTGTGAATGTGAGATGTTTGATGCCGTGATGGTTTGGGAGGGTGTGTGAGTCCAGTTGACGAGCTGTAATGTCTATCTCGCAGCTGTGAATAGACACCGTCTCTGTAAGCGTAGACACCAACGCTCTATTACCCAGAGATTCCCACGCACCCGCGCCTTGTCAGAGTCAGCCAGTTAAACCCAGACGCGACGGTCTCTTCAAAGCGTTTCGTTTCTCGTCACTGGCAACCACATAAACACCCCGCCAGAAACGTACAAATTCACCTTTTATTTCTTTTTCACTCCTTGGTCAGCTTAAACTCTGACGTGAAATTACCACCAACCTTTTAACCTTTCAACTACCCACCTCCGTTCAATCACCACCACCACCGTGTCACCCACGTGATAGGAACCACCCGAAGGTGAAGAATCACCTCCTCGTCGCAACGATGATAACCCTCACAAGAGTCCGTCCTCCCCCCCCCTCCTTTTTCCCCTCTCTCCTCCCCTCATTCCTCTTCCCTCCTCCCCTCATTCCTCTTCCCTCCTCCCCTCATTCCTCTTCCCTCCTCCCCTCACCCCAAACTCCACACAAACTAACACCCACCACAGCTTCTACAACTCATCCGCACCTCCGACGCCCTATCCATCACCATCATCGCCAACAAAGTGATCCATCCCGCTGATAGAGAAGATTTTGAGATTGGGAAGGGGAGTTTGTGGGTCAGCGAGAGGGTGAGCTGGAGGAGGGAGTTGGCGCTGGCGTTGGGGTATGGGTGTACGGGTGTCGAGAGCGCTGAGGTGAGGTTTTCCACTTGTTCCTTTTTCCTGGCTTGGAGGTCTGGGAGTTTGGATAGCTGGCTGGGCTGGCTGGCTGGCTGGGGTGAGTTTGTTTGGAAACGAAGGGGGGCTAACAGAAACACACACAGGAAGCGGTGGAATCCAACAAAGCCAGCCCATGGGTTAAATCCTCCGCCGACCAACGTCGCGACCTCTTGCTGCAGAAGGTGATGATGGCGGAGGTTGTGCAGGAATACCTCTTTATGCTTAATGAGGAGGGGGATGATGTGGAGTGGGTTGTTAAGGATGGGGCGTGGCGGAGGGTGTTTAAGATTCAGACGTATTAAGGGATCAGAGCATTTGTTTGCTTGCTCGGGCGGTGTTTTTGCGGGTTTTAGGAGGATGGGACGGGGAAGGAGTCCTGGTATTGTTAAATCGGAGGTGCTTTGTTTGTCTAGTGCTCTTGTGAGGTTTGAGGAGGAGACTGTTTGTTATAAAGTCACAAGGCGGACGCTAATGCACCCCACATTCTGTAAAGTAACTGGCCCGTGCGTTCCTGCCCGAACAGAAAGTCGTCATTGCATGTTTTGGAGGTCGTACTTTCCCTGTCTGTGTAAGGTTCGCTAGTTTACTTTAATAAATGGGAAGGTTCATCTTATCTTCACTGATCAGGTTTCGACTTTGATATGTGGTGAAAGGAAGGTTAAGGCTTGTATTTCGCTGGATGGAAAGTGAATGTGAGAACAGACACACACGACTGAACGATATACGATGGTGGCTATGATGTCTTTGGCTGGGGAATGCGAGGGGGGAACCGTGGGAGCAGTGGCCTATGTTTTATACTGGGGCGCCGGTAGGTTATCTGTGATGCTGAGGGGTATTGGGGGTCTGGCTGACGGTTGTGGTAGATTGGGTTGTCGGTGATGGCGGCGGTGCCGGAGAGTGGATTGGTGTATCCGCTGCTGGGGAGGCCGCATGATAGTCTGTATGGTTGCCATTGCTCTTGTTCTTATCCATGGCTGATGTTTATGCAGAAGTACACAGGTTACCTTTCCAACATATGAAGGCTCTAACTATGACGCTTCGACGACGAACCTTACGTATAGCATACAAGGGAGAGTCAAAGACGAGAAAGCGCGTGTCATTCTATCCTTCATCTCGCCGATAACACCGACCTCAGCATTCAGACAGTCCATGCCAGCATCCTACATCAAGATCTACGTCGAGGGAAACTTTGACCTGTCTATCTACGTAGACATCAACGGGCAATGGATCAGCGGCGACGACGAGAGCAGAATCCAATGGGAGTTCTCCCCACCCCAAGGCCAAGACCTCGGATCCCCGCCCCTCAAGACCTGGAAAATCCGCAGATCAGAGGAGGAGCAATTGAAAGAGAAGAATGACCGCGCGGAATGGGGAACTCTATATTTCACGGGACCGGCGGAGGCGAATCATGAATCCGGAAGTGCTTTTAACATGAGGAACCGGTTTAAGAATACGGGTGCGCTGCGAAATGCTACGGATGGCAATTTTCGGAATATCAATCAGGATGAGCCGGTGTTTGCGTTTTCCAAGGATTTTAAGCTCAAGGGCGGTTTGTCAAAGTCGAAGGAGTTGTCGCGGGATAGTATATTGTTTACGATAGCGCATATACAGGATCCTGTTGTTCAGTTCGCGGCGGCAAGAGGGTTAACGCTGATGAGGCCGTTGTGGGCATCGTGGTTTGAAACGGCTGATTTGATGATCAGTCACCACTATTTGGACTTTGAGAAGTCATCCAAACTAGCTGGGGAGTACTCTGAGCAGTTGGCAGTAGATGCCCTCAAATCTGGATCAGAGGATTACAAAGACATCGTTGATCTCTCAGCGCGACAGGTCATGGGCGCCACAAGCTTTTCGGGGACCTCTGAGAACCCCCTGATTTTCCTCAAAGAGATCTCTTCAAATGGGGACTTCCAAACCGTTGATGTTATTTTCCCAGCCTTCCCGTTCTTCCTATATACGAATCCGAGATGGCTGGCACACTTGCTGGAGCCGCTGCTCGAGCACCAGTTGAGCGGCCAGTATCCGAATAAGTATAGCATGCATGATATTGGCACTTTCCCAATCGGGAAGGGGTACGCGGATGGGAATGATGAGTATATGCCGCTGGAGGAATGCGGGAATATGCTGATTATGGGGCTTGCGTTGGTGGATTCCTTGGGTGGGACTTCAAATCCTCTTGGCCCACTCGGGTCGTTGAGTGATCACGCTGATGTCGCCTCTGGAGGTGTATTCCCGTTGAATTCTCGCATTGACAGTATTGATAGTGCGTGGGGAGGTACTAGAGACAAGAAGCAGGTTCAGAGTTGGTTGAAGAAGTCATACAGGCTGTGGAAACAATGGACGGGATATCTCGTCGAGGAAGCATTGATCCCAGTGAACCAACTCTCAACTGACGATTTCGCCGGCTGGCTCGCCAACCAGACGAACTTGGCTCTGAAGGGCATCAATGGGATCAGAGCTATGAGTGGGCTCTCGGAAGCTCTTGGTGAGAACAAAGATGCGGCGTATTACCGGGAGGTATCAGAAGATTATATCGAGAAATGGCAAGATTACGGGTTTTCTAAAGACGGCACACATGCCAAGATTTCGTACACTTGGTACGGCTCCTGGACGACGATTTACAACCTCTTCGCGGACTCGCTTTTGTGCTTCCACTTGCCGGATACAACTAGCTCTCCAATAGGTTCGAGCCAGTCGGACACTCAAAAGCCTATTGGACATGATCGGAAGGGGAAATCGAGAACTGCTTTCATCGATGAGAAGATTTATAAGATGCAAAGCGATTGGTATCACAATGTGAAGCAGAAATATGGCCTCCCACTCGACAGCAGACACCTCTATACCAAGAGCGACTGACAGTTCTTTGCTGCGGCCGTTGCGAGCAAGAAAGTCAGGATGGAGATCGTGGAGAGTGTAGCGTTGTGGGTTAATGAGACTGTTACAGGCATGTATATGCTTTTGGACACTCTTGACTAAGTGCTAATGGATATCATAGACCGACCACTCACGGACCTTTATGAAACCGAAGGAGAGGGGGACTTCCCGGGACCGCATTTCTTTGCGAGGCCGGTGGTTGGTGGGCATTTTGCATTTTTAGCTTTGGAGAGGGCTTGTGATGGGAAGGCTGTTGAGGGACTGGACTTCTTGAATGAAGTGGATGTTGATGTGGAAGATCGGGAAGAACCAGTGTTGCCACAGGTTGACGAGCTCTGATTGGTCGTCTCATTGTTTACACATAGCCTTTGCTTTGAAAGGAATTAGGAATATTTTACCCATATTTTAATGCTAGTATGAAAGGACAATAGGTGCTAAATTCCTCAAATCTATTGTTTTACTGGCGATAACAAGGGGCTAAAAGTACCGCTCACGTGATCACGGGATTCGCGTACACTAGCGTTGCGCTAAAAGATCCGTTTAACTTGGAAATACGCCAACGAACGCGGCTCGTTCTATTTTCCTCCCAAACTCCATCTCTCTTTCTTCTCTTTCTTTGATCTTCATCTACTCGAGGACGAGTCAACCCATCGGAAACTTGGATCATATCGAGTTTCTGTCTCTTTGATAATACTAATACCTGGTTCGTGATCAGAACACGGTCGGGGTTCCCGTCGCATTTGTTGACAGATATTCAGCTACGCCATCTCTTTCGTCAGCAACTTAATAATCAACATGGCTTCCATGGATTATGAGAACGAGAACGGCACTCGTGGATACGAGGGTACGTTCAATCATTACACTCGCGCTGCCGAATCTCAATGAGACAATGATGCTAACTTATACTCCTTCAGACGAGGCTCCTCGTTACGAGCAACGCGACCGTAGCGCCTCGCCACGCCCACGTCGCCAGGACAGCCCTCGCCGTCGATCTGCCTCCCCAGGTGGCAACGGCCAGGTCGATTCTCGGTAGGCCACTTCTATTACCCATCATTTGCGCAACTATCCTAACTAACAGACCACCAAGTGGCCCCAAGAATGACCGCGGCGGACCTCCTCCCCAGGATGATGGCGCCGTCAACCCCGGATCCAACCTTTTCGTCACCGGTATCCACCCCCGTCTTTCCGAGGCCGAGGTCACTCGCCTGTTCGAGAAGTACGGTGAGGTCGAGAAGTGCCAGATCATGCTTGACCCCCACACCAAGGAGTCCCGTGGCTTCGGATTCGTCAAGATGGTCACTGCCGACCAGGCCGACGCTGCCAAGGAGGGCCTCCAGGGTGAAGTCATCGAGGGCCGCACCTTGAGCATCGAGAAGGCCAGGCGCTCCCGCCCACGCACCCCAACCCCCGGCAAGTACTTTGGTCCACCAAAGAGAGGCAAGTGAAGTCCGATCCCTGTGTCTTACACAATTAACTAAAACCTCAGAAGACGACCCTCGCGGCCCGCCACCTGGAAGATGGGGCGACCGCTACGATGACCGCCGCCGCGGTGGATTCCGTGACGACCCTTACAGCTACCGTGGATCCCGCGGTGATGACCGTGGAGACCGCGGATACGGACGCCGCGACCGTGACGACTACGCTCCCCGTGGAATCGACCGTTATGGAGGTGGTCGCGATGACCGCTATGGTGGACGTGATGACCGCCGTGGCGGCGGTGGCGGATACTCTGACCGCTACGACCGTGGCGACCGCGGTGAACGTGGTGGAGACCGCGATGGTGGACGCTCATCCCGTGATGCAGCTCCGCCAGCCGCCTATGGTGACCCAGCCCCTCGCGGAGATGCTCGGGAGCCATACGGAGGTAGATACAACGATGATGAGAAATACTCCCATCGTGGCTATTGATCGCTAATCCTTATAGGTGCGGAGCGCCCTTCGCGTTAAACAACGACGATCCCACTTATCACAAGAGTCTTTGGATCTGCGACTTTCATTGATGCGGGTGCACCTCCACCAGTTTTTCTTTACGGGTTTCGGCATCAGAGATTTAAGTGCGACGGAACGGATGGGGAAAAGCAATTTGTTATATCAGGGCGTGCTCGGCGGATGGGGCAAAGCACGACTTCTCGCGTGACAGGTTGCTTTCGATACTATGGATTCTTAAGGTTTCTTTTGTCTTTCATCAAGGTGCCATAGGGCATGCGACTTTCGATCGAACAGATGGATCTCAAACGCATGGAACGCAGCCTTTATAATTGGTTCGCGTCTTGCCCTGGATCACAGCACGTCTACTCTTCGATGAGCATGCACAGCACTTCTTGTACCACTAGCCAGCAGTTCGCTTTCGGCTCTGTCGTTTTCGGCATAACTCCTGAGGTTTTCGACTCCGTCGTCAATAGTCCCGCCTGAGAAAAATCGAAGCAACTCAGCCTCAACCTACGTGATCAACCACAGAACAAATGTGCGCTGAATGACGATATATTCATAACGTACCTCTTTCGTCGAAAACGGCTGACTTATGATAATAACTTCGCCTGCCAACCCGTTTTTAATCGCTTCCATTAGTCGCCCTCAACACCTTGTAACTTCGTACTTCTTCCGCCCGCCACGCTGCCGCGCCTAATCGTGATATCCATATCGGTACGGATCCGCTCCCTCGCCTTCTTCGCACCGCCTTGACCACCTCCACAAAACTCGCTTTTCGTCTGACTGCTCCATTGCCCAGATCCCTGGCATATAAAGGTAACTGCTGTATATTTGAGATCCTCGCTAATATGGGGTGGTTATGTCCAGGAAACGTTCGGAGGATTTGCTTTGCTGCATTCCGCCAAGAACCGGCCATTCCGTTTGGACAGCTATCCAATTAGCTTTCGTCGAGCTTCCGTTGAGTCACGTATTCGTGCGACGCTGGAGTTCGCTGGTGTGTATGTGCAACGGACATATCACCAGAGACGGATTCAATCTTACTGTTCCCTCGCCACTTTCATATGGCGAAGGAACTTGCCCCCGATGAAAGTGGTTGGCTGTTGATGGTTTCCTTGGAGGGGCCACCGAGCTTGAGAAGATTCCACAGGCAACTGCCTTTTGCTATACCTCTGAATGAAGGAATGGTAAATGCATTCCGATTGTAACACGATGCTCACATAAACGAGTTGTTCCGTTGCACAGCTTGATGAAGATCAACACTACGTGCTGAAGTAACGTACCAGATCAGGCAACTTCTAATATAAGGCTACCGTCTCATACGTGCTTCTCTATTAATATATATTTTTTCTTTTGTAAAGGACTCAACAGTGAGCCTCAAATATATCAATATAAACATCTCAATAAGAGCATTGACAGCAATCTCGTGATATTCTCAACTACGTGTTTATAATATCACCCGCAGCTTCGAGACCCTGACATAAACAATACCGTTACATAGTAACAAGTCCCCTCCCCGCCTAGTTGCAAGACCCAAACGCCTTCTGGCATCCCGTCCCACAATGCGAACTATCAGAGCCACAAGCCCCAAAACTTGCACAGCAATTCCCAAACCCACTACCCAAACACGTCGCCCCATCCCCACAAAGCCCATCCCAACTCACCACCCCCGGCGTCTGCGTCGGCGTGCTCCCCGTGACCGTCACGCGTGGAATCGTCGTCGTCCGCTGCACGGTCGTCAAGGCAGTCGAGGTGACCACCTTGGTGGTGCGCGAGGTGACAGTCACGGTGCGGACGTCGGTGAGGGTCATGACCAGCGTGGCGGTCTTGGTGCTTGTGGTGGGGTGCGCGACATCGAGGCAGTCGCAGAGTTGTTGGATTAGGGGGAGAGGGAGGTCACCGAGGGATTGGCGCGCTTCGAGGGCGGGTTCGGGGAGGGAGCGGCGGCGGCGGCCGAAGACGGTGGTTAGTTCGGTGACGGTGTCTTGACGAATGTGCTTGGGTGTGTTAGTTGTGGGAGATGCATAGGGGGCTGGAAGGGGACATACGCAGTCTGTGTGGCGGTGGTGTACTTGGTAATGGCCACGTATGTAGAGGTGGTCTTGGTTGTTGTCACGGCACTGGGTGGGTGTGAGTTGTGCGCTATAGAAGGGATTGGGAGGGGGATCAACGTACGGTGGGACGGTGTAGGAGAAGACGCTCGTGCAGGACGCGGAGAGGGAGGAGGGGTCAGGGAATCCGGCTGAGGCGATGGCCTTGAGAGAGAAGCATTGGGCTGGATCGACATGGGCCACAACTCCTGAGGAGAGGGCACCAAGAGCCAGGACAAGAGCTTTGAGGCTGACCATTTTTGAAGCAGTAGACGTGTGGAATAATGATTTTTGCTAGGAGTTAGCAGGGAATGGATCAACAGCTGGGTTTGGGGAGATCCAGAGTACACCTTATATGGATTTTTGGATGAACCATAAGACCCACGGGATAACTCGAACCATGTTCAAAGGGGAACGAAATATGAGTTTGTCTATAACCATAGCATATGGTGGTAGACCCCTCTAGACAATATTGATCATTCGCACTTTGCACCTACAGGCCGATTGGGAAACGAGAGGCTCGCCCCTGGCGATCCAATATACTCGACATAAAGAGAATCGTGGCCAGGCCTTCGTATTTTGATAGATGCGACGGAGAATATTGGCACTATAAGAAATATATAACCTACCAATTTCTATGCGCGAGCGCTGTGACTATGGAAACTATATTCCCAATATCTCAGTCCAATGATGGGATGCCCGCATTCCGGATAATAATAAGAGAGAGTTGCCTGCCGGCTGTGAGGTTCATGATGAAGCAATCTGGCTAGGGACGGCCTGTGTTATTCTCATTGCTCGGCGGCTCCTGTAATACAACGAGACAACTACTGACGGGTCATTCGGAGATCCTGATATTGATTCTGCGGATAGGAGAATATGTCGCCGTGTCCATGGGCTGGTTGAGCTGGATTGTGGGGATATATATACCTGCCGGTCTGAGGTAAACTGGATAGGACTGGTAAAGTGAAAAGCAACAAATGCGGTCGGACGCGGCACGGTCTTTCAGGCGACCTCCGAGATTATATATGATTCCATATTGGATTCCGGATACGGATCCGTGACCAGAAAAGGCAGAATTGAGGCTTCACAAATTGAAGCTTCACAAGTTGTAAGTTAACTTAGACGAGAGATGTGAGGGGTTTGTCTCGGAGTTTGTCTGTTCCTTTCAAGGTTCACGTCTAGTCCCTCGGGCGCTAGCGGGGCATTCATCCGAGTTCGTGCCGCTCTTGACACGACGACAACCACCAACACAGCCAGACCCTAAAGCATTGTCATGCGCCGCTCTTTGAGGATCAGCTGGGAAAACCGACTTCCAACGTAACCATCCCCCGATATACAGCCGTCACAGTCTAAGTACTGGGATGTACCCGGCGCCCGAATGGCTGCTGTCCGGCGAGGCCAAGAGCCAATGAGGCTAGATGTATCAGATGCGCAATTCTCCGACCTACCATTCATCTCTGCCCTCTTTCTCATCCGCTTCGACGCCAAAACTGGCTATGCGATAAGCTGGAAGAGCGCCCTCCCTGGGATCGACCTCGATGGCGGCGTCGAGTACAAAAGCCTGCCATCCGGGTTACATACAGTGAAGGAAGACCTGATTTATTTCGTGCATGGGAAGCATGCGGGACTGAGCGCATTTATTAGCACAGAGGCCTCTGAGGAGTCGCGAAATGCGCGTATGATAGCTGTGGGCGTGCTGGTTCCTTTGAGTTACGGCAGGCTGGGAAGGAGTTGGATGCATGCAGAGAATCTGAAGCAGTTAGCTGAGTATGTTGACCGTTCAGTCGCGTGCCATTGCCCAGTATTAACCAGATTCCAGAAAACTAGCCGTTGAAACTCCGGACTTGGCTCTGCTGGAGGAATACTGGGACACGCATAAGTTGCAAGACGGCAAGGGCTCCGCGCAATTCGACTCCATCCTCGACTCGCCTTCAAGCTTGGTATTCAAGCCTCTGCCAGGTCGACTTATACATAACGATGGGCACTCGAGGACCCGCTCGGCATCGGATGGGGCCGCATTGATACCTCCGGGACAGAGCTTATCACTTTATCACCCTGCTTGGAGTCTGACCACGCTTCTGGATACGTTCGGGCCTCTTGTATTTCCTATTTATCGGTCTGCGTTGCTGCGGAAGCGCATCCTAATTTCCTGCCATGCACCAGTTCAGGAAACCTGTGACTTTGGTAATAACTTGAGGTTCCTATAGTCAAAAGTGTTTAGCTAACAGGAGATAGTTTATGACTTATCTGTCCTCTCCAATATTCCCCTTGCAGTCTCAAATCTCATCAGCACTAGATCGCCGTCCCAGCGCTTACGGCCTTTGTTTTCTATCGGTGTGCATGATATACCCCTCTTAGAAGAGGATCTTTTAGCGTCGACACAGCCTGAAGCAGTAGCCGGCGATGATTCTGACGAAGAGGAAGGTCTGGGGCAGGGCTGGATTGCCTGCACGACAGATGGAATTTTGTCCACAAAAGCAAAACTTTATGATGTGCTTGTCACCATGCCTCTTGCGCATTCTCAAGATGCTGTGGAGAAAGTCTGGCCTGACGTCAAATTTCCCAGTGGAAATGGTGTTAAAGCCACCCAGCGAGACCTCCGCCGCTATAGAAGTCTGATGTGGGGTCTCTCCCGGGCCAAGGTCGAACCGCAAAATCCTAGCCCGGAAAGAAATGACAACGGAGGGAGACTTCGTCGTTCCGATACGAGCACAACTTTGGTAGAGTCCCTAGTGCCAGAATATCCACTGTCGAGTCTTCCGGATACAGATGCCATAGTTGAACCTGTGTCGTGGACGGCACTGGCCTATACGGGCTTTATATGGTGGGCTTCAGCTGGCGAGCGAAGCATCGCTCTCGACGATGAGACGGACCTTGATAACTCACTCCTTGATGGGCTATCACTTGAACCTCAAGCACCTCGAACGTCCAAGGGACGTACATTTTCAGGCGCCAGCACACTTTCTCACAGCGCCGATTCAAGTGCAAAGAAAGAGCTTGCCATTATCGCGTACTTCCACCGGTTGACAACGCTTATACTAAATATACTGTCAGACATTGTCGATGCTGCTGATTCTGATGATGACGATATTGCTCCTCTGCGGCTTGGCGCTAGCAGAGATGAATCCGAGGCACCCCCCATAATTATCAGCAGAGCTGACATCAAACGAATGGGTCTCGACGAGTGGAGTGCTGATGATCGCAGCTTCACAGAAGACATGATGAAGACATACTTTGACCGCAGTGCGAAGGTTGAGAGCCACAGTGTTGATATCTGTGGTGTCAAGATTTGTTAATCAGAGGTACGATTCATTGACGAGAGAGCATCTTCTGCTGTATAACACTTATGATATTATACAATTCAGGGCTTCGTAGAGTAGGCTGGCGTGGAAGGGTTATGAAATATTGTAGGTTGGAAGAGATGGGAAGAAAAGATGGCTGGAAACAGCTTTTACGGGCTTAAAAATCAGCTACAGGTTTATATATAAACGAAACAAATATACCATTTTTTTAGAGGTAACTGTTATCCACTGATATGAAAAGTGATTCTGTTTTGTGACATGTGGTAGATCTTGTGCGAAAAGTGAAGCCTGAGGCCACCGAATTTTGCCCGATCAAAGCTGTCGACATCGGCCCAGAAGTGCTCACCATCCCGACAAGAACAGCTTTGCCACTAGCAACCACTTCAACACAAATATCTCAACCTCAAATACCCACAACCGGTCTTCAATATGTGGATGATCAGTTGGTGTACGTGAAGTGCCATGGGTGGCTTCAGCCGTGGAAATATGCTGACGTTGAGATATGATAGTCTGGGACGTCCTGTCATCCCTTGGACTCCTCAATAAGCACGCCAAGCTGCTGTTCCTGGGTCTTGACAATGCCGGAAAGACGACCTTGTTGCACATGTTGAAGGTAAGAGCATTGGATTATCAGCTGCCGGCGCAGCATGCTGGCAAGCGGCCCGTGGTGGAATGGCAAATAGCTAACATGTGGCCCTTACAGAACGACCGTGTTGCGATTCTTCAACCAACCTTACATCCTAGTAGGCAAATATTGTGGCAATATGGTATAATAGGAAGGTTCTGACAGGAGTGCAGCATCCGAGGAGCTTGCCATCGGCAATGTCAAATTCACAACATTCGATTTGGGCGGACATCAACAAGGTACGACTCCCTTGCCGGAGCTAGTCCGAATTTTATTGTGACAGCTAAATAACCGGCGGTCCATTATAGCTCGCCGTCTATGGAAAGATTATTTCCCAGAGGTCTCCGGTATCGTATTCCTCGTTGACGCCAAGGACCACGAGCGTCTCTCCGAGTCCAAGGCCGAGCTCGATGCCCTCCTCTCCATGGAGGAGCTCCAGAAGGTCCCATTCGTTATCCTAGGAAACAAGATCGACCACCCAGACGCCGTTTCGGAGGATGAGCTGAGGCATCAACTTGGCCTCTACCAGACAACTGGCAAGGGCAAGGTGCCTCTTGAGGGGATTAGGCCGATCGAGGTGTTCATGTGCTCTGTTGTCATGAGACAGGGTAAGCACCAGCGGCCTCACTCGAAGTGCTATATTGACGCGATGCTAACTTTATTCAGGTTACGGAGATGCGATCAGATGGTTGTCCCAGTACGTTTAGACGACACGAGCATACCGACGAAGCGGAGGGGAGTTGGGAGAGCAGCGGGAGGATACAGTTCGGACGAGTATATCATAAGAAGAGGAGTTTTGCAATGGATTTTACCGGTCTACTCTTTTTCGGCGATTAATCCGAATGCGTTTTATGTGCCTACGTTTTTAAGAATCACAATGAAGCTTCAATCCTAAAACTAAGCCCCTCATGCGGCGTCGATCCAACTGGCTCTGTATACTTGTGCGCATAGCCACCGATATCTTCCTTCTAAGGGGAAGCAGTTTAACACTACTCTTATCATCTGTGAGAATTGCAGTTGAAAATGCCTTTGGATTAACGCAACAGTTATAGACGTACGTAGGTTTTGATAAAGAGCTACAGCTACAGTCGCATCCTATAGCAGCTCCTTCAAAGCTGCGATACTATTAACGAACTGTTATACTTGTATACGGGGTAACTTGATTGGAACGAGGTTTCTGGTGCCTCCACCAACAGTAGAGGAATACCTTCTTTGTACTAGCTAGGATATATATGTATTACTTGCCAACCCTCTACCCTGTCATATTCTTCGCTGCTACCTGTACTTTCGATTAGAACGCTTCGTTAGATAGGCCTGTGTAAAGCCTGCTGAAGAAGAGATATCATTGTAGTCTAGCCTTGCTTTAATTCAGCTTGGCCTTCCTGTAGTTCCTGGATCTAATGATCGACTTGCTAGAACTACGAAGTAATTACAGGATTATCGACGTTCCTGTTCTCACTTTCCTACTGCCCTCCCTACACTCTTGCATTACTCTGCCCATACTGATCCTTTACCATACTCATAAACAACTTAAAGACAGATAATACTAGGTCATCAGCCTGCGTATTCAATCGCTCTTTAAGGAGCAATTGAGACTAAGTCGGTGACAAAGTTCAGGGCTGTCTACGAAGGCGTCTTCCTCAACTTAGTAAAAGAGCGAAAGACCGGTACATGGACTACAATATGAATTATTTGCGTATCATGCTCGCATTTTGCGAACATCTGCTCGGTCTGATAATCGGTATTTTTGGATTCTTCCCGGTTCGTTTCAGCGCGGATCACGAAAGGAGACGTGCCCAGTTTTGATATCCACTAGATCAGCTGGTGACCTCATTGTTGCGGTACAAGCCGCGGTCACAATCGGTGCAACTGACATGCTCAAAGCCCAACAAAGAATAAATCCACGTAGCCCACCATGTCACGAGCATTTCGATGTGAGACCTTAACGCGATGAATCTCTATACATAGACCTGCTCCTGTACCTGCACTCAACTGCAGAGAACAACAACTATAAGCTTCGATTTAGAATGGCTGACCGCCGGAAAGCTACAGATGGCCCCCCACCAGATTCAAGGGCGGGTTACGACATCTCTCTCCTGCCCGACTCGCAAGTACAGTTTGTCTCCGAAGACGATCTAGCAGCATTTGCGAAGGCTCTTGCTGCGCCAGACCTCGAGCCTATTGGCGACGATGCGAGCGCAATCATAAGCAACGGCGTCGACACACCGAGGTTGGATCGCATGAACTGGAGCCCAAGCAGAAGAGACAGAACACAGTCGCGAAAGGGCAGCCAGACGAGTCTGTTTATAACGAGCAAGAATGATTGGGCCCCGGTACATGAGAGGGTTAGGAGGAAAGGAGGGAACGGGAAAACGGGGAAGAAAGTTAGGAGGCGGAAGGGCTTGATGAGGACAACGGATGAGACGAGGGAGGGATACCTATACTCGCTGCTGAAGTGGCCTATGCTCTTCATTGTCATGTTATGGGTATCGGGACTGGGGGTATCATATCTTCTGACACGGCTTTATATTTGGTTGTACGAGCAATTCGTCGCCTTGAGGGGCACACGCAGCATGCTCCGGAAAAAGATGCGAGCCGCGACCAGCTATGCGGATTGGGTGAAGCTGGCGCAGGAAATGGATACGTTTTTGGGTAACGACAAGTGGAAGGAGGATGATGAGTTTGCATATTACGATCACAAAACGATTAGAAGGGTGCTTGATAGCCTGCGAAGGCAAAGGAGGAGGGCCGAGGCCGAAGAGGGACTCGAAGGTGGGAGCAGCAAATATGGCACGAGGCCGATTGAAGAGTTGAAGAACTTGGTGCAGGCTTGTGTGAAGAACAATTTCGTAGGAGTGGAGAGCAACAGGTTGTATAGTCAAACATACTTTGGAACGAAGAACCTGGTCCAGGAATTCGTCGATGAAGGTAAAATCCTCCAAGCCCAAGATGCTCAAGGTCATTAACTAACTTATCTTTGCAGTTGAAAAAGGCGTGCAAACCCTCTCTCGGACGAAGAAATTAACACAAGAAGAGAAGCGGGTCATATTCAAGCACATGTACACCAATGTAGGCCGAACAGCACTCTGCCTTTCGGGTGGTGCTTCCTTCGCATATTACCACTTTGGCGTTGTCAAAGCCCTCCTCGACGCCGACCTTCTCCCAGACGTCATCACCGGTACTTCTGGCGGCGCCTTGGTAGCAGCACTCACAGCAACCCGCACCAACGAAGAACTGAAAGCCCTCCTCGTGCCTGCCCTCGCCGCCAAGATCGACGCCTGCTCCGAGCCCTTCACAACCTGGTTCCCGCGGTGGTGGAAGACTGGCTCACGCTTCGATTCAATAGACTGGGCGAGACGATGCAGTTGGTTCTCTCACGGCTCACTCACCTTCCGCGAAGCGTACGAACGGACTGGTAGGATCCTGAACGTGTCTTGTATCCCAGCAGACCCGCACTCCCCGACTCTCCTACTGAACTACCTCACCTCACCCGACTGTGTGATATGGTCCGCAGTCCTCGCCTCCGCCGCCGTCCCCGGAATCCTCAACCCCGTGGTGCTGATGACCAAACTGCCAAACGGCACATTAGCACCCTATTCCTTCGGCCACAAATGGAAAGATGGGTCTCTCCGCACTGACGTACCACTGCGCGCGCTAAACCTCCATTTCAACGTCAACTTCTCCCTCGTGAGCCAGGTGAACCCGCACATCAACCTTTTCTTCTTCTCCTCGCGCGGCACGATCGGCGAGCCCGTCGCCCACCGCCGCGGCCGTGGCTGGCGCGGTGGCTTCCTCGGCTCCGCTACCGAGCAGTACTTAAAGCTCGATCTGACCAAGTGGCTCAAGGTCGTGCGACACCTCGAGCTCCTTCCCCGGCCCATGGGCCAAGACTGGAGCCAGGTCTGGCTGCAGCAGTTCTCCGGTACCATCACGGTGTGGCCGCGCGGCCGCATCACGGATTTCCTCCGCATCCTCAGCGATCCGGATCCAACGCGCTTGGCGTACATGCTGCAGACAGGGCAGCAGAGTACGTTTCCCAAGTTACAGTATTTGGGGAATCGGATGAAAGTGGAGAGGGCGGTTGAGAGGGGGAGGGCGGCGACGAGACAGCATGTTAGAAGGGGGAGTATTGAGAGTATTATCAGTGAGGATGAGATGAGGAAGCTGTGGAAGGGTGATGGGGAGGATGGTAATGGTGGGATGGGGACTACGGATGAGGATACGGATTGGAATGCGGATGATGGGGCGTTATATGAGGAAGGGGGCGATGAGTTGGAGCAGGCCGTGGATGATCATGGAAGAGAGCGTGAGACGGATGGACTAACGATGGCGGGAAAGCGGGCGAGAGAGAAGACCACTTAGATGTGGCCATCTATTTTTTGGGAGATTTAGCAGGTGTCACATTTAAATGATAGATTGATGATAGTTAACGATAAATACGGCAACGAATACATTGAATACATTTGTGTATATACAGTCCTGAAGCGGCCACGCACAAATATTTGGCACCATACCACCATCTATTCAGTTAGCAATGAATCTTCACGGATTTGCTACAGAACGTCGTAGCTCCTACTGTACATTGGCACGAACAGTCACCAGTGTTGCCCGAATACCACTCTGAATACTACTAGCATCCTCGAGTAGAATACTCATAATTGAAGCTCAAATACCAGTACTCGAATACCCTGAGTAGTACTCGCATATAAAATAGAAATTGATATATACTAATCTAACTCTCATTATATGCATCATCGCCGCTGTCTTCGTCGTCGCCTTGTGATATAACACCCCACTTCCGTAAGCAAAGTAGATATCTAAGTGTAGAAGGCGATAGCCGGTTCCGTTTCTTTGTGATAATATCACCGCCGACACTAAATACTCGTTCTGAGTCTGCTGAGGTAGCTGGAATAGCCAGGTAGTCCTTCGCTATACAAGCAATCAACGGATATTGGTATTGCTTACTCTGCCAATACTTGAGAATATCTGTGTCCCTACCAACTGTTGGCTCCTTCATCCATCGCTTCCATTCCGGCTCAGTATCGTGATGGCTTTGTGATACATATAACTCGTCTTCTGAGTCTACATTGATATTCATAGCTTGCTCTGTATCTAGATCCTCATCTTCAATACTATTAATAACGTTTGCTGCTCGAATATCAGACTCACGGCCTGAATATCGGTAGAAGCAGTCCTGCCACTGTGCTTTCGCCCTGTTCCTTTTGGTTCACTGTGTGCTATCTTTCCATATAATATTGAAGACGTTAAAATTATACCGAGGATCACAAATTGTAGCAATTGTAGAGTGACTCTGTTGCTGATTTGTTGCTAGAGTATAGTAGTCGTTAAGCTTCTTTAATACAATGAACGTGGCATTGGCAATTGGGCTTAGTTCTGGTAGCTCACTTCTCATATCTTCGAGCTTCTTTATCATTCCCATATACTGCGGAACAGCATAGTTGAGAGTTGGATAAGAAGAGCCTTGTAACTTCTCAGTTGGGCGGATTGTAATGGTGCACCAGATGTGAGAATCTAGCCACCCAAGGAAGGGATGATTTTACTAAGACAACACACTGTCTTAGGAAAAAGAGCCAAAGGGTCGTAGCTTAGACTATTCCACAACGCAGCAATCAGGTGTATGATGTAGTGAAGTGGTTCAGACAAGTTGTAACAAATGTTGAGTCTGAGAACTCAGGGATAAGTCAGAGGTTAGTACCTCACTGACTTTTCAGAAACAAGGAGTAACAAGATCAATGCTTGGAAGCTTGGAAAAGATATGGAAGTATGTGATAGTCGATTTACTGTATTGTCTGCTTGCCCTTTCTTAAGGAAAGGGCAATCCTATTTATGCTAAATGTCATACTGACATTCGTTGCACTCAGTTTGCTATCAAACTCAAGAGCAAACTTAGAAATCTCCTCCTCAAACCTACAAGTCACTATACATATTTTGGCTTGTCAGACCAACAACAAGAGCAATACTACTCAACGATTGCTACAACCCTCTATGATTCATTACACGTCATTGCTCCTTAGTTACTGGGCCGATATGACCACATAGCATATCTCTACAACCCTCTATGATTCATTACATGACATCACTCCTTAGTTACTGGGCTAATTACACATGACATATCTCTATCAACTAGAGGCCTATGAACATGAACGATAGCTCTTTGTCTATAGGGGTACTCTGACCTTGGACCTCCTTTCACTTCCTATAGGCTAGGAACCTAGGAGATGGTTCTATGGGATTCTCTTATGTCGACTACAGTTACCAAGCCTGGTTAGTCATGGAAAGTCTTGGAAAATGAGAGAACTACACTCCTTTAGCATAAATAGGATTGCCCTTTCCTTAAGAAAGGGCAAGCAGACAATACAGTAAATCGACTATCACATACTTCCACGTCTTTTCCAAGCTTCCAAGCATTGATCTTGTTACTCCTTGTTTCTGAAAAGTCAGTGAGGTACTAACCTCTGACTTATCCCTGATGTAACGCTGACTTCTAAACGATAGAAGACACAGAGGTTCTCTTGCGTAAAGGTTTACTTATCAGAGGAGGCAGGGGATCAGACACAAAGGCTTCAAGTAACACGTTACTAGTATATAACAAATACTGTATTGAGTTGAGCACGAAGCTCCTATCTAAGGAAATACTATCTACTTATATAGTGGCGTCGTGCCTAGTGGACTCTTGGAAACTCACTCGAGTCCTCGGAGTCCTGGACTCTTAGGACTCTTCTCATCATCCTGCGAGTCCATCACGTGCCTAGTGGACTCCTGGGAACTCACTCGAGTCCTCGGAGTCCTGGACTCTTAGGACTCTTCTCATCATCCTGCAAGTCCGTCACGTGATACTTTCGGAACTACTATTCCCCGCTGCCCCTCCAGGTACCAGGGCCGGTCTCATGCGACCTCCCTCCTTCCTGTCCTGTAGTTGGCCAGCCTTCTTGTTCCGTCGTAACACTCGCTCCCTTCCCCTGGGCATTCGTCTCGAATCCTATAAGTACGTCCATGTCCCCGGGACTCTGCTGCTCCTCAGCGAGTCCTTCAACATGCAACATGCCTACTGACACTGCCCGCAAACTCCAGGAACGCAACGATCTTGTCCGTCGAATAAAGAACCACGGATACGAACTACCCGAAATGGATTCTTGCTCGAACTGCGTGAGGCGAAACGTTACTTGCGTGTCGTCTCCAAATGATTCACGGCGGTGCGCCGAGTGCGTTCGTCGCAACTTAAAAGAAAAATGTGACTGTATGGGTCCTGAGCATCCCGACTGGGTGAAGCTCGAACGGGAGGAGGATCGCCTGGATCGCGAAGAGGAAGAAACCCTTTCGAAGTTACTTCGTCTGCGGAAGCAGAAACGCCTCATCCGAACCCGTGGTAAAGATATGCTCCGGCGAGGTTTGAAAACCCTCGACGAGCTTGATGCGGCAGAGGAGGCCGAACGTGTGGCTGCTGAGAAGCGTGACGCTGTTGAGGTCGAGGAACAGGCAGTTAGCGCTGCCTCCTCGTCTGTGACCGGGACCCCCGCTTCCTCTGATCCACTGGCCTACTCCCCTGCATCTTGGGATCAATGGCTGGCGGATGGCGGTGTCGATATTCCTCCAGCAGTTCTTTGCTGATGTTCCTTGTTGGTTCCCACGAATTATCCGTAGGTTCGTAATTTTCCCATTTTATCAAAAACTCTTCTTGACGTCCTACTAACCTTCTGTCTAGGATTGCTTCGACCTCATATTCGATTATCTCATTCTCGGGTTGGAGTTCGGTGTCGGTCGCAATTGGGGTATTTCCTCTTGCTGGTTCCAGTAGTGAGACATGAAATACCGGGTGTAGTCTAGACTTCTTAGGTAGCTGCAGTCTGTAATTAACTGAGCTGACTTTGTTCAATATTTTGAATGGTCCCAATTTCTTGAAGTCCAACTTTGTGCTTGGTCGTTTCGTTTTGATATGTTTCCGGAGTAGGTATACTTTATCCCCCTCCTTGAAGGCAGGTTCCATACTGCGCTTCTTGTTTGCGTATGCGGCGGATCGTTCATTTAAGAATTGGATGTCCGTCGCAAGTTGTTCGTGGAACGATTTCAGTTGTTCCACCATGATCAGGGCTTGTTCAGCTCGTGATTCATCCGGTCTTGGTTGCCTATATGCTTCTGGCTGGTAGCCGTAATTGGCAAAGAACGGTGAGACTTTCGTTGCTTCTGTCATCGCGCTGTTATATGCAAACTGTGCGATGGGTAAGATCTGAACCCAGTTATCCTGTTGATGATTGACATAGCTTCGCAGGTACTGTTCAAGGGTCTGATTTAATCTTTCTGTTTGGCCGTCTGTCTGGGGATGAAAAGCTGTTGACAGCTTATGATTTGTTCCCAGTAGCGCCATCAATGATTTCCAGAATTTCGAAGTAAAGAGCTTGTCTCTATCTGAGATGATTTCTTCTGGCATCCCATGATCGGCTAATATGACTCGAATGAAGGTATATGCGAGCGCCTCGGCGTCGCTAGCTTCTAGATATGGTATAAACTTCCCATATTTCGTGAGTCTTTCCGTGATGACGAGGATAGAGTCGTATTCTATTCCTGTTAACGGGTCCTTGGAGGGTGGAAGCTTGACGATGAAGTCCAAAGCTATTGATTTCCACGCTCCTTTTGGTACTGGTGTCGACTTGAGTTGTCCGTATGGCAGATGCCTATTGGATTTTGACTTGCTGCAAATGTCGCACTCTCTTACCACTGTCTCTACCTGCTTCCTCATACCTGGGAAGTAGTAGTGTCGGGTGATTCGTTCGAAGGTTCGTGTTACTCCCTGATGACCGTGTGCTGGTAACGAGTGTTGTTCTTGCACCAGCGGGCGTCTCATTTGACTTGGGACATACACTAACCCTTTGTATCGAATCAATCCTTGTTCGTCGATGGTGAAGTCGCCTTCGACTTTGGACAAGACTCGCTTGGCGCATTCGTCTGTTGCGTAAGCTTTCTTGAGTCTTTCCTCGAGTTCTGTATCTTCGATGACTGAGATCGTCGCTAGTAACTCGTTGTACTGTATTCCTGCATCTGTTTTCTTCAGAATTGCTCTAGGTCTTTCTTCCTTTGGGCCGGCGTAGTCAGTCCGTCTGCTGAGAGCGTCTGCTCTTGCATTCTCGGAGCCCTTGCGATAGGTTATCGTGAAGTTGTAGGCTGCGAGGGTTTCTGCCCAGCGGACTTGTCTGCGGTTTAAAACCTTGGTCGTGGTGAAGTATATGAGGTTCTTGTGATCCGTCCATACCTGCACCGGGTAGGTGGGTCCCTCAAGATATACTCGCCACTGCTCAAAGGCAACGACAATAGCCAGTAGCTCCTTGTCGTGGATGTCGTAATTGAGTTCCGCGGGTGACAGTTTCCTAGAGTAGTACGCGATTGGTTTGAACTTACCGTTCTCGTCTGGTTGATTCAGACATGCTCCAATTGCGAAGT